TCGCACGTCCCCTAATCTGCATATCTTTCCATTTTCTCAAGGAATTTGCCCTGAGGAGAAATGGATTATCCGATCCGGACATCTCTGAAAGGCTTTTTAAACTGTTTTTTGTTTTTTTCGCCCTGTATTTTGTGTGATCTGAGTAGGCACAGTCCACAGTTTGATCTTAAAATAATCAGGAAAGCGTTCATCTCGAAGGAATCCGCTTTTATTTCGAAGAAAACAACCGATTTCAACGGATTTTGAAGCTTTTCTGTAAATGGAAACAGCTATTATGCACAAAAAATGGCGTATTACAACCAATAATGCTGTTAGTGGCGACAATTTACCTAGTTTTTAAAAGTTTTTGGCCGAGATTTTGTACGTTACGTGCATTTATTAATCTTACAATAAATATTTCCTGTTTTGGAGATCTCCCCCGCCTTCTCGGTAATCAGATTTCTCTCCACTTACTCTCTCATTCACCCTTTTATTCATGGAGTTACGTTCTTTGTGTTCCGGGCCTTTCTTCGAGTCCAAACTTCTCCCGTTTAGTACCTACTACAACATTCAAAATGTCTTATATTTCTCGAGTCTACAGTCTCATCGAGGAGGGTCCAGGTTTTATTTTTACTTCGTTTCAAAGCCTTTATCTTTTTTTTCAACCAATAAAAGTGCATTAGTCCTTCTCTGCCTGGCAATCTTTGTCAAATTTCGTCCAAATACGGTAGATTAAGTGTTTAAAGTGCCAAATATCTGGATTATTGTTATTGTCTATTCAAGGAGAGATCCAAAGATCAAATTCTTGACTTTTCTCAAAAGTAATCATGGTATTTATAACAATTTATTCGATTACCTCCACGAAATACCTGGGAATTGGATTAGGCAATTTATTATGAGAAGAGGGGTTGGAAAAGTTGTGATTACGCCGATTTGGCCTCAGGGCGTTCTGGTTATTTTTGTTTTAACTCTTTTAAATTTCAAATATTTGTTTGATTTTGTATGGTAATACGGATGACACTTGCTTCTAATTCAAGGTATATTTTACGATAGCTTAAGGTGTTATGTCTTTGTGACTCGGATGTGGGGATATAGACGCTTATGACATCCAAAAATAAGTCGAATTTTTAATAGTAACTGTGGAAATAATTACTATCTATTTGCAAAATATATACTTGTTGTTGTACTTAGGGCATCGTAATTACCTCCTTCCTTTCTTGGGATTACTGTAATGTTTCTTGATCGTCGTATTGGCAGAGGGCATGTGACTTACAATAGTTGTAAATAATAACACTCTTAAGGCGCTTACAACCATGTATATTTGGGTGTAAATCTTATACTCCCTGCCCACTTATTCCCCTTTTTTATATTTATCTCTGTTTTTGACATCTTTATATTACATACAGTTTAAAAAAAAAAGATCTAATTTGTGTGTACATAATTTACAATTATTTTTCCTGCTTTTGAGAGGGATATTAGTTATTCCAGTAACTGATTACATGATATTTTTCTTGAAATGTTTGTTTAAATTCGAAACAAACATTGGTTTAGACGTTTGGAGAGTGTAATGTGGTGTTATTTACATTTTAAAGGAGCCGGGGACAACCCGGTTACATCCTTTTTGCATATTGATGGCTCTTGGGTGGCCAGACACAAAATCCGTGCCGGATGTGGCTTTCTTGTCAATGATTTATCGATCTGTTTTCATCGTCAAGGTCACTTAATTGCCCTTTAATCTCTGCCTGCTTTTACACCTATTCTGTGGTCCCGTTATTCTTAATTTTATATTTCAAGCCCAGACAGGAGATGGCAAATGAATTCTGTTCAGAAATTCAGAGTGAAAACGCGAAGATGAGAGCGGGGGAACACCAAGAACACCAACAAGGACAAGGAGCAGAAGATGTTTTGGCTTTGTTTGAGAGTTTGGGTGGCAAGATCTAACCTGGGTTACTCGGCATAGAATTTAACAAGTGCAGTGTGCCGAACGATGACGTCATCGTCTCATGCACTTAGAGGATCGTTAACTCGGGGTAGAGGAAGAAGATCATGAACAAATTATTTACGTAACAAATGCTAAGGACACAGGTTTCAGCTGGTTCTCAAATTGTTTATTGCTTTCGGAAATTCTTTGTTTATTCCAGAAACACTTTTTATAGATAAAGTGAAGCTTGCGGGTATTAAACCATATGTCTTGAGGTCGTATAGACATCTTATCAGATGTTTTTAGTGCTTGAGATTACTTTTCTTGTTGCCTTGAGGAAGGGCTAGACCTGAGAGGTTTATCTTGCAAATAACTTGGAAAATAATAACAGAAATTTTTTTTTTTTTTTGAGATACAACGCTTCTGAACATGTTTGCTGTCATAATCTACTCGCAACACCCCTCACGACTAATTTCAAGGAGCGACCGTTTCATTGACTTAAGTTTGGTCCCTAAAAACATAATTTTTGTAAATCTTGATGCAATATTTTCCAAGCAACCTGCAAATTAAGCCTGTTCAGTCTTACTGACGCATCACAGGCCTTTTTGTTGAGATGAATGTCAATCTCTTGGCCAGTAAGCCCAGTTTAAATCTTGTATTTCCCCAACTTTTTACTTGGCTTTTCTTCTGAACCACGCTTTAGATAAAGTGTTGAATTTTTTGCCCTTGAAAACACCATTTATGTGGTAGTTAAGTAGTGATCTTATATTCAAATTATTAAATACCAGGTCTAATCTCTGGTGATGACTATTATTATTTTCAGTCTGATATTTTTAATTCCCCAAATTTTATCTGAATATTTAAAGAGTAATCTTGTAAAGAGTAATATTTTAAATCCTATTCCGAGCCGGAATTTGCCATTTTTTGGGGGCTAATTAATTCGTTGTAACGCCAGGTGTGACGGGTAATTTAATTGTAATTCCAAAAATCCAAATGTTAATGCGTCCAAATTTAGCAAGTAATTCTTTTTGAGGGTTTCCTGCATAAATCACAATCCATTTAAGGTTACTTTAGTTATAATATCAAGTGTAATATCTACTACTTTGCCTCTTCTTATATCGAATTATGATGTAGGAACTGGACAAAGAACCTCAGGATCTTCTCAAGTTTCGCTCCGGTGGCGGGATGAATTATAAATTATTCGGCCAAACCAACTTCTTTAGGTTCTTTTGCCTTAAAAAGTGATACTTTACAGCTTTTATACATACTCTGCCCAAAAACACTCTCAATTTGTATTTCCAAGTATTTTATTTTCTCGTTAAGGCCTCGTTGAATGGGTAATCAGCTGAATCGGCTAATTGTAACTTACTTTTTAATTCTTTTAGGGCCTTCTTTAATATTTAATCTCCGTTTTTTAAATGGAAACTTTCCTTTTCTTCATTCTCTATTTATTTTACAGTAAACATTGGCTTTGTCCTCGAGACGTGGGCTCGTTATTCACTTAGGAAGTCATAAGTGGAGTTGCGAAGAGTCTTACAATTAATCCCGAATTAAATATTTTTAGAAAGCAGTACCTTTTTGAGTCCTAATTTTTGCCATTTACGGCATTATTAATGCGAATGTAACTCCTTTAGTACACTCTATCCTCCACATGTTACAATATGCCCTTCAGTAGGCTAAATTCAAAAATGTGTTCAAATGTCTAATTTGGTGTAATCTTGGCAATGAATCACGTTTTTTGGACCGCTGACGTCTTTTACATTTCCTGTAGATGGCGTTGCTCCAATTAACGTTTGGCTAACCCCATCCGCCTGTTTTTAAGTTCAATTTCCCGGGTTTTACACCCAAAAATATAAATAAATTATAATTCCAACATTTGAGTGTGTGGCCATCAAAATCTACTCCTTTTTAGGTTTGTAATGAGTTCCCTGCGGGGTTGTATGTAGTGTAATTACCAAAAAAAGCATTGTTTATAGTCTAATTAAGGCGTGTTATGGTATCTGAGATCATGTCATCTCCCCATTCGCGCTGTTTGTTGTGCATTTTTATACATAAATGGGCTGAATATTAGAACAGAACGGTCGGTTCTTACAGGGAGGTGGGCATACAATCTTAATATCTATTTGAGTGTGTATTGTACTTGTATTGGATGTCATGCGGGCAGAAAAGGCTTCATTTTCGGTCGAAACCTTAGATATTTACGTCGGGTCTGTGGGAAGACTGTTTTGATATCCTCCAAGTCCAATAGATATCAGATTACCCCTGTAAATTGCAAATAAGGGACTGTTTGTTTACTGAGTGATACTGATTTCTGGTTTATCCCAGTTTCAAGTGCATATTTTGGCTGTTGTTTCATTAAGATTAATACGAATATTTTCATCTGTGATTATCACCGGATATTCCAATTAATTTCCCTAGATTCTCCATGCTTCGAGGCTCTGTTGAATCCCAAACCTGGGCCTTTCTTGAACATCCGCTGGGCCAGGGATGGAAGAAATGATATACTCGGATTAAAAGGGGCCGAAGGCGTGAACCAGAGATTAGCACGGGTTTGCAAGCCAAGACAATTTACAGATTCCATTCTCTGCCTGATGCCCGGAGGCTGTGGGGGGATTTTAACATCTGAGAGGCGGAGATTACCGTGTTTGGTGGGATTCGGGATAAGAAAGGGATCGCCATTGTTGCGGCTCAGGCAGTAGTTGGGTGCCTTTCCCCATCTGCTCAAATTTCACAATTAAAGATTACATTACCACTTCAACAGACCTCTTAATCATCATTTCCATTTGTACTATCTGAAGAATGTTTGATGTCTAAAATACTCTCTGTCTGCATGTTCAAAGTACAAATTAGTCCCCAATTAAGCTGAATTTCGGCTTCGTAACACAAACCGCTTCACAGTCATTGCAAAGTTTGTAGGTTGCGTGTTACACAATCCTATGGTACCTTAATGAAATATGTCCCAATACTCACTACTCGTATCGTGTTCGGGGCATATTTGCAGAACCTTTACTTGTTTCTTTTCCTAATATTCGTGGTATATTATGCATGAGTGGCATATGTCAGTTGGATTCTCTTGTTTCAATTAATTTTTGCAGATAAAATGGAGATCGTAACCGAATCTCCGGCAGCAGAACAGCCCTTCGAAATGGGACAAGATGGCGATCTGGTGGTGCCGGAAAGACTGATCTCAGATTGGATTGAGATGGCTCTGTTGGGAATGATGATCACAATCGGAGCGCCTTTGAATGCGATGACTTTATTTAGGCTTGAAAGACAGCTAAGGAAACAGAAAAGTTCAGCGAGGACAAAGGTGAGGATGACATTATTCAGGAAGCTCGTGCATATTTATGAGGGACCTTTATGTCACTCATTACTCTTTGTTTATCAGCACTTTTACAATTACATCCTAATGATATTATACTTTCAGCAAGAGGCTGCCCGAACTTCCTTCACATGGCTAAAGATTCATTTGACGGTCATTGATCTGATTGTAATCCTAATCTATTGTCCATCTCATATTGGTTGGCTGATCAGTTACACTTGGAATGGCGGAGAGTTTATGTGTAAGGCAGTGCAGTATGCCTGGGACTTTTGTTTCCATTTAATGTCCTTTGGAGTTGTCGGAATTGCTGTGGATCGATTGCGGACGGTATATCGACTAATGCACATGGAAAAAAATGGACAGAGGTCGTCGATCCGACCGAACGATCAGCTCCGATTTGTTAGAGTAAGTTTTTTTTATGTTTATGGTATAAAATTACATATTTATCTGACATTCTCCCCCATAAAAACATCCCCTTTCCCTTCTGCACGATGCATTTCCTCCCTCTCCAAGTTTTTTCTCATGAACCGTGCATTAGTATTAACCTTAGTCCTTATCGGCGTATCTTTCAGTGCCATCCAATTATTTTATTTTCCCCGATTTTCTCGAATTTCTTTTAAACGCAACTTTCCAAACTTTTGGTGAGGAAAACGAGAATAAAAAGATAAATAATTAAGTAGTCGGGGCTCCGATTTCATTGAGGGGGAGGCCAAATTACAACATCACTTGTACTTTAACAAACTTTTAAAACCCAAGCGCTGTTTATGGCTGGCCACGCCAGTATCAAATTTAAAGATTAAAAAAATACATACTATAAGAAAATAAAATCAAAAAAAAAATCAAAAACATGGTCCGACGTGACATCCACAGGTAGTAATGCCGCAATTTTCAGAGACTGATCATGTTTTGTTACATGGGCGCAGCCATGTTTTCGGTTCCCCAATGGTTTGTTTGGACGACTGTGGATATGAAAACTTGGAGTCAGTGTACTACAATCTGGCATAAACTCAGAGCTCTTCAATATTTACATAATCAGGAGATTGCTGTAAGTTTTTGACCCTATATTTGCGCAAAAATTATATTGTAGTAAGACTAATCGTGACTTTATTTTAGGAGAGTTATATTGGCGAGAGATTGTACACCATGTTCCATTTGTTGACCGTTTTCTGGTTCCCTTTTATCATCCTGTTCGTCGCCTATCTCTACATTGTTGTGTATCTATTTTGTTATTCATTGCGGCCATATTCAATATCAACGGGACCAGGGACTTTGTTCAGAATGGGATCCGAAACTGACTCTAATTTGAAGTAAGTTGCGTTTACTTTTCAATCAAATAAAATTTAAATTTCATGATAATTTCTTAATTTCAGCCTCAACCTTTGGCAAAATGCCGGAACCCCTCCAAATTCGTGTCTGAATGGCTCCACCAAGACCAGCCTGACCACTACACCCACCCAAGCTCCTGCCTGGAGAACGGAGATGAGGTCGAAGATGTTTCGGACCACCGTCTACGTCATCGCCGCCTACCTCATCTGCTGGATGCCCTACAATGTCCTGGCCCTGGCCACTTTCTTCTCCGGCGAACTCCAGATTCTGATCTCCATGCATCTGGAGCTGATCCGCGTCTGTGTTCTCCTCAACACCGTTCTCAATCCCTTCATCTACGGCTTCCGGGACAGCAATTAAATTGAAATATCAGAAGTTATTTAATAATCCGCGTCTTCCCACATATCAGATCCCTCTTCAAGCACTCTCTTTGATCTCAATTTGTATAATATTCGATATCGAAACAGGTATTTTTGTTGTGCAGCCTTTCACTTGACGGAAAAACAATAAATTCTGGTGATATTACACTTTCGTTCGGATCGGAATAACCGTGTTTATGCACAAACATTGGACACGAACTAATATATCCGGAAGAATGGACGTCATCGGAGATTAAGGACACACGTTTCTCAAGCGTTGTTTACGGGAAACAAGGGCAGAGAATGGGGAAGAGATGACCGCATCCCGGATTAGAGTACGATGACATTCTCAGATCTTGGACTTAATCCATTTGGGCCGTCGTTTCTCCACAAATGCCAGCATCCCCTCAACTCGATCTTTCTAAAATAAAGAAGATAAGGAACTCGATTAAAAAACAAGTCTTGTCCTACAAACCGAGCACGTCTAAGTACAAAACTGCTCGTAAAACGGATGCTGAAGGCAAGAAGGAGTGGCGACGGACCACCTGGGAAGCTGAATACCCGGCTAATCCCCTCCTTACCAGCCCCATTCCCGCCTGATTCATCCGGCGCTCAAAGTGTAATCCCTCCTCCAACGACAACTCAAAAGCCTTGTTCGTCGATTCTTTGATGATTTTGACAACTTTGGGAGATTGAGCGGCTATCACTTCAGCCAATTTAATAGCCTCTGGCAGTAATCGGTCATGTGGAAGCACTTTCGAAACTAATGCAGCTGCTTTGGCTTCATTGGCATCGATGGATTGGCCACTTAAAACCAACTGCATGGCCAAGGACTTGCCGACTGCGCGGGTCAGACGTTGGGTACCTCCCCAGCCGGGAACTGTGCCAACAAGGACCTCGGGCTGACCAAATCGGGCTTTCTCACTGGCCTGAAAAGAAATGCTAGCAGTCAGTAGGGAATAAAAGAAATGCTATCAGTCAGTAGGAAATGTTTCACCAAGTCAAAAAAAAAGGGTGCAGTCGCGCACAAAATTTCCAGCTGCGACTAGCTGCCCAAAGCGATGATGGGCGATTCCAAGTAGTAAGGGCTCGCCATTATTTTCACGACAGACTGATACTTTACTTTTAAAAGTTTAAAAGTCGAAACTTTCTGATTGCAGTAAAACTAATAACTTACTAAAATAATATCGCACATCATGGCCAACTCGCATCCTCCACCATAAGCAACTCCATTGACAGCGGCAATAACAGGTTTCCTAGCAGAATAAATCGTCCTTATATCAGGCTGGTCTTCTCCCAAAACTTCCTCCATTCCAATCTTGACAGCTTCTTTCAAATCAGCGCCAGCACTGAAAGCAGTTCCATTCCCAGTAATGACGGTGACATTAATCTTCTCATCGGCTTCGATCTCCCTGATCTTATCAGAGATCGCTCGAAGAAGTCCCTTGCTCAAGGCATTTAGTGCTTTAGGGCGATTCAACCTGATCAATCCGACGTTCTTCTCCCTTCCAACAACCTCATATTCAACAAGAGACATTCCACCGAAGAATAGACGCGAAATAAAAACAAATCTGATTCCAAGGCACCGCCATCTGCACTACATCTTTTATAGTGGCAATGAGTGTTCGAACAGATGATTTTATCTTTATTTACAACAAAAGAGCGAAGTTCTAGGTATCTATTCTATCCGTACAAATACAATATTATACTGGGTGACCTCTTTCCTAAACCCGTTTAAAAGCCAGCTCTCCTTCGGACGTCTTCGGGCATCTTTCTCAAATTTAACCACGTTTAAATTATTCATATTATCCAAGTAAAGGTTAATCTCCCAAAGAATATCTTCCACTTCTTTCTGCCAGATTGAAGATCGTGTTGATAAGGATTGCAGAGAATAACTTAGGGATTCCACTTGATTGTTGTTAATAAATCGAATTATTTCCTCGCCAAATTCCTTCACACCTTCCAATTCAACTTCAACGAGATGTAACGGAATATGGGCCTCAGTGAAATGCATCGAAATAAATTTTGAGTCGAATCCAAGCCTCCAGGATACAAAAGGATTCAAGACAAATTTGAAACGCCCCTAAAAATAAATACTAAAAAATCAAATAGAAACTTACTTTATCATCTAATTCAATTGAAACTTTTCGTTTTACCATACAATCGTCGGAAATACATAAACCTTCTTCGGATGCAGTTCTAAGTACCAGAATATCAGATTTGTGCACCTTCTCTCTAAACCTTGAATCAAAAACATTCAAAAAGACTTACAATATCGTTCGATGCACCAAATGCGGTAATTTTTTAAACTTCCGGAACACAAATGAATGCTTTCTGCAGATTTCATTCCTCTGGCATGGCGAACATCCGAACTCGTAGCTGTATTCTTCAAATATATTGGTAGCAATTGACGAAAATACTCTTTGGAATTTCCTGGAAAAGATGTCACTGTAATGCGAGCCAAAATCTTTAATACAAAAATAATAAATTATCTTACTCATCTGAAATAATATTCTTCCGGATTTCCCGGATTACCAAACGATCCTTTATCTCTCTTTTCCAGAGGAAATCGTCGATAATGGTTCTCTGAAGAGTCTCCAAACCAATATCTTCTTCACAAAACCGCATAAACCTGCTTTCCCGGATCTCAATGAGACCTCTGATTATAAACATCCGTTCAAAGAAGTGAGAATCTGCAGCTAATGAGACCTCAGATTGAAGAATGGTTCTCCATCGTCGATGAGTTAGAATTTCGTCGAGGCTATCAAAGAAATCCTTGACGAGATAATCGAGAACACTAGCTCGAAATGCTCCAATTAGACCTCCAGTTTCTTCATTTCGACCAATGAAAATCCGACATTTATCCCAAAATTCGGATGGAAAATAACAAACATGCTGTGGTTTCACGTTGAAAACCCCAAAAGAATGGCGAATCACTTGACTAGAGTAGAGAACTGAAAGATAAAACAAATAAAACTGATTTACTTACCAAATTCTTCAAGACATTGGACTAAATTCATGTCTGACATTATGGATAAATATTCTGAAATCGGTTACATACAATTGAGCCATTGAAACTACATAATTCCGTTGAGAAGAAGTAAATTCCGAAAAAATTTGCGAAATTTACTAAAAATTTTCTTCGATATATTTTCGTCCCACAGCGAAAATTCCTGAACCTCTTGGCATTCTGTTTTTGCGCAAAAAATCAACTTTGAGCTATGATGGATTTTACTGCCGGCGTTTTCCTAAAATTAGATTAAACCTCGACTACTTGACCGATAATAAATTTTTTATTTCATTAAATTTCTTATATTACAATAGCCAAACAAAAAGAGGATTATGATTCTCCGAGGCAAGCATTAACGATTTAAATTTGGAATCTACTGGAAGAAGCAGTACCACAAGGCGTGGATGACGGCGGGTAACCAGAAGATGAAGAGGAGAATGATGCTCACGATCACATGGATGTTACAGTCCGAGGCGTGGATGAAAACGGCCAGAGGCTGAAATTGAAAGGTAAAACTTTTAACTCTTCAGCTACAAACAAATGGAAACATAGTAAATAAACTTACTGGTAGGATAATACAAAGTATGAGTTCGATGATCTGCTGAACTTCCAAAGCCATTTTCTAAAATATTTTTTATACTTTACAAAAGTTGATAGTAAAACATCTCACGTATTCTCGATTTACAATGAAATCAGTGTTTACTCTGACTTCAAAGAGACTCTTATCAAAACAGTTGTCTTTTGAAATCACGCGTCTAATTACAATAAAGAATTTGTTTTTCTAAGTTGGTTGAGGCTTTTCTAATGTATGAGTCAGCAACCAAGGCCACTCAAACATTTCTTAAACAAATTGGGAATGATTCAGTGATGACAAGCAAATCTTAGAATACGTGGTAGCCTCCGTCCGGCAAAATTTTGGTACCATAATTTTGAAGAATACTTGTTTTAAAAAAGAAAAAAAATCATTTTCCGGAATATCTTAATATTTCTCAGCTGTAAAGTAGGGATTTTATCGGATGATCAAGCAAAACATGACTGTATATGGACTTCGCAAATGCAGCACCCAATTGCTGTATATGGTCTTCGCAAATGCAGCACCCAATTGTATTCAACTAAAAATTTATGAAAATCAGTGAAAAGACCGGGCTTTAAACTCCATGTTTACAAGAGTGTCCAAATTTGAAAAAAAGGCGAAATGTCAACAATTTGGAATTTGCGTTTCCCCCAAATCCCCGGGAGTTACGGGAGAAACGAGCGAAAGCGGATCGAAAATGGATGCTTCTAAAATAATGCAGGTTTGTCCCTCCACAAGAACCCATCAAAAAGCGAAAAAAAAACAATTCCCTTGCCCCCCTCGCCTCGACCAGGTTCTGATCGTAAACAAGAAGGCGGTGGGAGAGTAAGAGTAATAAACAAATGTTTCTTTCCCCGCTCTCCGCACCTCCAAGATGTTCACGATATCTGGTCGGCGTTTAATTACATCTTCCGTCTCTTCGAATCGCGCTCTCTTTATTACAGGTCAAACATGACATGATGATAAATGGGATCGGTTTTGGAAGGAAGTTGGCCTCAGGGCAGGGGAAAACGGCATGGGAAAATGAGATCTATTATAAATGCGGCCATTTTTATATTGATCACGGGTATGATACAACCAATGCCCAATTCGTTCTCTAAACTGTAAACTGATATTAAAACTCTTATCCTAGACTCTTTCGGCCCCCTTTCCTCTCCTTTATCGACCAAAACCTATCGATTGCCGCCTCCGCAGATGACGTAAAAAGATGACTAATGCGACTTTTACGGCCTGCATGAAGATTACTAATTGATTGCAAGATTCGAAAGCAAAAACCCGAATATCTGGGAACGTATTATTTATTGGCGCGTCGAAATAGTTTTCTTCCCGATTCTTTAAATTAATTACGTTCTTTCGATTAAAACTTTCCCTTTAAACCGACCAAAAAAGGCTTCACCTTGATTGACAAACTTTACAAACGTAATAAAGAATGTAAAACTGGTTTAGGAATAGGGGAATAAAGCCCGAAAGGCATTAATTACAACAATTACAGGCCTAAACAAAGGGAATGTTTGGAATAAGACCTGACCTCGAGAGGTCGGATTGTCAGATGACGGAGCAGCCTGAGTGCTTTCTTTCAACGCCTACGGAAAATAAATAACAAAAACATGATAACAATCGGAGAGGTTTCAAAAAAAGATGTTTTGAACAACAATCCATTCTCATTTAAGGCAATTACTGGTAAGAATTTAATCAGAGGTTACTGGCTTATCTAACTGTTTAGATAGGTCAAACATTAGGGGCTAATTAGGCACAAGCTACAAAAATTGGATGACCTTATACGAGCCCTTTAAAAATATCCGATCAGCGTCTAAACCCCACCAAAAATTAAAGCGCAATTTATTTAGTGCTGGGGGACAAAGAATTCGGAAATTGAAAACCGAAAAGACTCAAGACTAACTGAAAACATTTGGGAATTGAACTCAGAAAACCACGGAGGGAGGGGAAAGTTTTATGAATGGTATGGCCTCGAATCCCTTCCAATAAATTCAGCCTTTTTGAGCAGTCCAATCTGACAATTAGATATGGAGTAAAGAGTGAGGATTGTCTTTGTAATGTCATCTTCTTGTTTGTATTGTTGATTTTTTTGTGACTGTGAAAAAAGTTCGGCCGTTTACAGCAATGCTTGTTGAAATAAAGAGCTGCGAATTTCAACCAGTGGATAAATGAGTTAGACAACGCTCTATAAAAAACAAAAAGTACATTACGCTTCGTTGTAAAAGCGGCGAAGACATCGTATCCCAAGAATATTCAACATAACCGCATTGCAACTCGAATTACATAGTTGCTGTGACTAGAGAATATTGAAAATAAATAGTTTTTTAAATTCGAAAAAGTTTCAAATTTAATAGAATTTACCCTACCGAATCCGAAGTCATCCATCGTTTCGGTATCATCAAGAATTCAAAAAAAATTGAAAAATATCAAAAATTAAATCCAGAAGCTCGATACAGTATGCGTCATAATTATAACCGCACTTTAAAAATGAGTGTAACTTTTGTGATTGTGAATAGAAATGTGTCATATTTGGCACCAATGTGCATCAGTGTACCAGAAATGATGTCTCAAAAAATTATTTTGAAGAGTTTCCGTATTTTAGAAAAAAGCTGCAAAACCAAAATTTTGATACTTTTCGGTGCGTCAAAATTATAACCGCACTTGCGAATTTTGTCTATTAGTCTAATGAAAACACAGAATATCAATATCTGATGTTTAGCTACGCTCCCTGAGGCCTCAATAACGCCCATCACACGACTCGGAAGCCTCTGGGCAAATTTTTTGGCGCATACTGACCCATCTTGTCCCTGAATCGGAAAACGGCAGATTTTCGCTCAGTTAGACCGTTGGGCTCAAGAAGTGAGGAACTTCCTGGTCGTCTCGGAAGCCTTTAACAAATCTAAATGTTATGGCAGACAAAAGTTTACCACTGCTTCCGGTTGAAAAGAAATAATCCGCCGGGCTTCTAACTCTGCCATCTCTGGGGTTCACTTAAATCAAGATCTGAGCTCCAGTATTAACGGGATCACCATGCTGAGGGTCGGAAAACACAACGACGTCATCACAAGGCATTATGTGACGTTGGGACCCCAGCTGACCCCAGTTTACGGCAACCTGCGGCCGAAAGTTGCTAAGGATACATTCACAACAGAGGTTGACTAGTGAAAGATCGCTGAAACCGACGTTTGACCGTTGCAGTACAATATTCCTTGTAGATTGGGTAGTCGCGTGATAGCCTTGACGGTTTTACATACCAATGGCATGGGATTAAAAACGAATCGCGTTACTTCTTATGCCGTAATTATAGAGGCCGCCGGCTGATGGTTTGGGGCGCCTTCAAAAAAGCCGGAGGCCTTCCGTTGACGGCCACAGCGACTCAAATGAATAGCCTTAAGTTCTACGAAGTCTTAATCGAACATGTGGTACCGTACCGGTAACCTGGCTATACTTTTGTTGGAGAATTCCCACGTCCACCATTGCAGGTCGGCATACCAGTTCGTTTAACAGCAAGGCATTTGCACCATAGATTCTCTCGTATATTCCCTAGGTTTAAATCCAATAGGAAACTTGTGGGGCCTCCTCCCTCGTTAATTGCATCGCTACAACAAGCGGTATTCTACCGTAACTGAGCGAAAATCTGCCGTTTTCCGATTCAGGCACAAGATGGGCCAGGATGCGCCAAAAAAATTTGCCCAGAGGGTTCCGAGTCGTGTGATGGGCGTTATTGAGGCCTCAGGAAGCGTAGCTAAACATCAGTTATTGATATTCTGTGTTTTCATTAGACTAATAGCCAAAATTCGCGAGTGCGGTTATAATTTTGACGCACCGAAAAGTACCAAAATTTTGGTTTTTGCAGCTTTTTTCTAAAATACGGAAAGCTTTCGAAATAATTTTTTGGGACGTCATTTCTAGTACACTGATGCACATTGGTGCCAAATATGACACATTTATATTCACAACCACAAAAGTTACACTCATTTTTAAAGTGCGGTTATAATTATGACGCATACTGTAGTTGAATAAACTTTCCCATCTAACCAAAGGGGTTCTACAAGAGGTACTATATATGCCAATGCTTTCCGTCAAGGAACAAGGCCTTAAAACATTTTTCATCGCATTTTAGAAACCCTAGAGATTCCGGTTTCCTAAGGAGTTTGAAAAAGTGATGTTAAGGAGAAGAAAATGTGGAGCTGGATACTCCTTTGTCGCTTCTGCTTCCATCGATATTTTTGGTGCTGTTTGAAAAGGAGAGGTGCATAATCTAGGCAAAGTACCTCCTGCACTTCTGAGGAGGACAACCTGACTTCATTCGTATTATTTAAAGGACAATGGAATATCGAATTGAATGGGGAGAAGCGACAAGTCCGTCCTTGTACTCCTAATAAGCGATGACTTAATTCCTCATCTCACAATTTACTGTTGTTTATAGATCTAATGATGGAGAAGATTTCTACTTGATCAAAAACTAATGGGAAATGACGGGGGAGAAGTGGAAATCGCTTGAATATTTTTTTTGTATGGGATAATGCTGCTGGATACATTGACTAAAAGATAGATACTTCTTTGATCATGGGAAGACTTTTTCTAATCTTATATCTCCAATACTATAAAAGCGGACGTTTTTACTAAAAAACAAGGCAATTTTTAGCTGTAATTAAATTGTGTAACAAAGTTACCATTTTTGAAGAAAGAAGTTGCTCGTATAAGTAAATAGATCAAGGAGAAGATCAGTCGATTAACGATGATGCAACTTCTCATGCTCCCGTTGCAAGTAAAAGCAATGAGTCAGTTAAGTTCATCAAAGCTATGATTAACCAAACGATAACAGTTACCGAGAATCAATGTGTAATCAGCTCTATAAAAGGCGTCAAATCTATAGCAGACGAAACTGCGCTATGGTTCTAAAATTTACTGTCATCCTTCTACTCCTTTCTACTTGCGACGGGTATTTTATTGACAAGGAATTTGAATGGAAATATGTAAAATATCTAGAAGCAGAAGTTGTGGATGAATGGATCGACAGATTGAATACTTTTGATGAGACTAAGAACACTCTGAGACTGGCTAGGAAGCTGGGAGAAGAGCTACAGTCAGACGATGATTATGAGAAATTCTTTGACCATATCCTTCAGTAAGACTTAGATGGCGGACTCAATCGATGATTTCAGATTTAACAAAAACTACGAAACAGAAGAGGAGCTAAGTTTCCGTTTTGAAGTCATTAAAAACTCGTTAAAAGATATCGAAAAACGTCAAGAAACCAATCCCGAGGCACAATACGGACTAACGGAACTCTCAGATCTGACCAAAGAAGAGTTCTTCGAGTTCTATGCGAATCTTCAAATGAAAGATCTTGAAGATTTCCCTCTTATTGAGGATAACCCAGAATCCAATGTCACAGCAAAGCTAATGGCTCCTGCTAGCTTTGACTGGAGAACCGCGAAGAAGGTAAGCGGCGTAAAGGATCAAAAACGCTGTGGATCTTGCTACGCATTTGCCGCTGTGGCCGCGATTGAAAGTATCCATGCAATCAAAAGAGGGCAATTATACGACCTAAGTGCCCAACAGGCCGTTTCCTGCACCTTTGGAAACGTGAATCACGGGTGTCAAGGAGGTGTTCCGGACAACGTGATGTCCTACTTTACTACTCATGGAATCACAACCTGGGATAAGTTTCCGTACGTCTCCGGGGATCATCAACAAATCCCTCCTTGTACACCAAAACCGTCTGTCACAAAACTCAACCGAATTGGTATTTTGAAAGCCCACGATGAGAATGGAATCAAGGAAACGGTGTTTAACAATGGACCTGTGGTTTCGGGTGAGTCACAATCTATCGGAAGGGATCCCCTGATTTCTATTTCTACCGTAATGTTTCTGCTAAAATACAACAATATTCAGGGATTGACGCGAGTGCTTTGCAACATTATCGAGGAGGAATTGTCCATCATCAAGTCGGAAAACCCTCTCTGAACCACGCTGTTCTTACTGTGGGTTACGGTAGCGAAAGAGGAGATGATTATTTCATAATCAAAAACTCATGGGGAAGAGGTTGGGGCGAAGGAGGCTACTTTAGATGTGGAAGGAACAGAAATGATATGAATATCGCGTTATATAATGTTGCTGCATACATTTAAAGTAAACAACAAATAATATACATATGTAGAATGGGTATGTTCATCTGAATTGCAAAAATAAATAAATCTTTCAAAGTTTCGACAAACCTTATTTGAACGTCAAGCTGAGAATACTTGACTTTTATTTGTTTATTTCGAGTACCCATTTCCATTTTACGGGGTTTTTTACAAGTTCTTCGTTTTATTACCTGATGACTCAGAAAACAGTGATCGAAGTGCGATCAATGAGCAGAAAGCGAAGATTTTTATAACGGACTCTGTCAGCTAACTGACAAAAGTTGAAATCCAGAAAGACATTTCGGCTCGCAGCAACTTGACAGTTGCATTTGCGAGTTCTCTGTTTTATATATTACCTGATGAATCACAAAAAAATAAATTGAAATGCGTACGCTCTCGGTCGCAACGGATGTTCTATGTCTCGGCGGCGCATGCAAAGCGCGTGCTAAAACACAGAAATTTAATGCCCGACGTGTTTGCAAAATTAAAAAAAAATCGGAGTGTCGCATTTGGGGTACGTTCTTTGTCAATAAGCAAAAAAAAAGTTTAATAAATTATTTTAAACAGTAAAGGCAATGTAACAAAATGCGAGGAAGGATCAAGAAGAAAGAAGCCCGTATGCAGATTCATCGACAAAAGCAGTACCATAAGGCGTGGAACACTCCCGGGAACCTGAAAAAAAATAATATTTTTAAAGACTTATGAACTTTTTTGTATGTAAAAAAGGTTGCAACGGGCTCACCAAAAGAAAAATATTAGAATTACACTGATGGCCACATGAACATTGCAATCATCATGCCTCAGGAAAATTGCAAGGGGCTAAAAATTGATTAAAATTAGAAGATTTTGGCCTACAAAAACTTACAGGTAAAATAAATGAGAGCACCAGCCAGATGCATTCCTGCATTCCAAAGGCCATGGTGAGATCTGAAAGATAAATTTTATTGCCTGTGGCTCAAATATTTAAAGAAATATTCATACACAGCACGTGATATAAGCCTCGGTCATGAACAGTCAAATACACATTAAACTTTTCAGCGCGATCCACTCCATCGCCTCTCTCTTTTCGAGTGTAAAATCCTATTTTTCAGATTTAGCGATTTCCACACAAAAGCAAAAAAAAATAATTTACCAAAAAAGCAAATGATAGGCACTCTCAAGGACACTTGCCGCACTTCCCCTAATTTAGTTTGAATTAGTTACCTAACAACGAACAAATGGACGTGAGAAAATCGCCGGCTTTGTAGGGAAAATTATTTGAAGACCTTGTATTACAACTTCTTATACGTTTTGCAAAGTCAAAGAGAGATGAGTATTTAAATTTTGCGTGTAAAAGTGAGAACCCGCTCAACTCCGTTAATATTGTTCAAACAAATGAATCAAAACAGTCTTCGCAGAGGACACTTGAACAGTTTTCATTTGATTTACAAATAAACAATGGCCACCGGACCTAAAATCCAAATTTAAATCAAAAAGCTCGGCCAAAGAACGACTAAATTATAATAAATCTGAAAGTAAGTGTCCAAGTCAACTCCCTTTCATCGCTCGTCCTCTAACAAACTCAACTCCAAATCTCATTTTGGCCAAGTTCTTTGTGTCCAAAAGGGATAATTCCAAGGATAAAATAATCGAAATACAAATGTCTTGGCCAGAAAAGAGAGGAAATGTGTGGCTGAACCGGGAGTGCGTTAATAATTGATGTGATAGGCCACCGATAAGCCGTTTTTCGGCCTTCGAGGCTTTAAATGGGCGAATTCTGAAGCAAAAGACATCGCCATCCTTAGGAAAAATACATATGGTTTATTGGGGGACGATAAGAAAATACAATAAAAAAAGAGCTGCTGGTCGAGGATTAAAAACTGAACTCTACAAGCCTTTATTTTGACCGCAGAGCAAATGAACGAATGCAAAGTATGTATAATACAGTATGCAAAAACATGTAAATTACAATTAATAGAGATTTATTTCTCTTTTTATTTGGCAGCAATTCCTTTTGTTTTGCACAAAAATTCTATCAAACGTCAGAACTGACCCTGAGGGCATAGTCATTGTCAGTTGGCAGGACAATGGCAAAGTTTGAGGAGAAATCGAAAAGTCGTTTATCTCGGGTCGGGATCGGAAAGTGCGAAAATAAAGAATTTGCGGGTTTGGCAAGGTTAATGGGAAGAAGCGAAATTAACACAGGAAGAGGTCGAATTGCGACGCTTGGTTTGTCATCAAAGTCGATTTTAGCTTGGATTAGAATAGTCTACGTTTTATATGAGTGTAACTACGACCTACCACAAACATCTTAGTAGTCATAAACTTGATGACTCAAAAGAGGTCAGAGTTTACATTTGTAAATTCGAAAAATGGCCTAAAATCAAAAAATAAATTTTTTTTCACTCCTTACCCAATTCTTTGTATGCATTCTCGTGTACGCGGAGATCGTTTATTGTCTGATCTGTGCCTGAGTAGAAGCATTTCAAAGAATGTGTGAGTTATGTAGACAGCGCACAAACAAAATGATTTGAAAAACAGATCTTCAGGCGCCTCGTTTGTTACAGCGGCAATAGTCAATTCTTAAAAAAAGATCTTCAAATTTACATAGGCAACTTGTTTAAAAAAATTCAGGTCACCAAAAGAAGAGTTTTGCAAGTAAAGGCCCATCTCCCCCAAAGTTACACCCGACTCCATGATTGCCTCATTCTGTCGCTCAACTAATCCCATATAATGCCCGGGGAAACAACACTCATAAAACTTCCGGATGTCTCTCTCCTCGAACAGAAGTTGAAATTGAATAATTGACTTCAGAATTCCACCGATTAGTTGATTAAAAGCGACAAAAGAGACCCTAAGGATGTAATGGCAACTAATGGAGAACGGGAAACCCCTCAACGCTCTTTTTTAGATAACCATGGAGACATTATTTATTTTAAGTTTAGTGATATCGCTTAAATATTTACAAGTGTTTCGTTTCGGGTGAAGTTGGGACTGCAGGTGATAAAAATTTGAAATTATTAATATCAGGAATCTGTTGGATATCATAAAATAGAGCAAAAGGTTCGCAATTCGTAGTTTATGTGCTTTCTAGCTATCTTTGCGATCTCAATTTTTGAATTTTACATTTCGTAATTTTTCGTTTTTGCCGTAGCCACCTTCTGACATTAATTTTATTTTAATTTTTCCACAAATTTGACTAACCAAATTCAATTTGCAAATTCGTGTTTTTTCCATTTCACATGACCTTCTTTTCCTTTTGCAAGCCTTTTTACATAATAAATATGGTATGATATATTGTCTATGCACATTGTGCACATCGTGCATAGACAACCGCCACTAGCACAATTGAATTTATTGAAATTCATCAAACATTTACAGAGACTGTATTTTTGTAAACAACTTGAGAAGAGAGACAATAAAATAAATAGAATCGAGAGATCATGTCAAAATGCGGAGATGTTAGGTTGGATTCTGGACTGATAAAAGATGACTAAAATAACAATCTTGAGATCAGAATAAGAGTCTACAGTGAGTGAGAAGATTACTGTAAAAAAATTTAAAATTTCATAAATTATGTTACAGTAAGAAATTATACGATTATTGTAACATTATGTAAGAAATTTGAAATCATGTTACAGTATCCCAACAGTCTTAGGGATGAGAGATCTAAGCAATAATTCATAGCGATCAGCCGAAACGAAACATGGGGAGATCTCCCACATTCTGAATCTGATACATCTGCTCTTGCTCGGGCAGATTCCTCGAGAATCTGGCCAAATGATCGACGGCTCGTTTCCTGATGATCGTATCTTCCGAAGGGAGGAAGAGATCTCTTCGATTCCTCGACGGGATCACAACAATGGGCAGTTCTTCGTCATCCTGTGATGCCAAAAGAGAATTGGCTTCCGCTGTTCCAATTTGGGGACCCAGATAATCTGTCGGCGCTGGAAATAGTCATCATTACAATTGGCATTCGATAAAACTTTTTTTATAATTCAGAGAGACAACGGCTGGAAACAAAACAATCAAGAATTCCTTACATTTTAATTAAAAATTCAAATCCGCTAATGTCAACAAAAACATAAACCCTTGTCGCGTACCCTGATCCCCCTATATCCACGAGATTCTGGAGGTGGAAACGCGACAATTGTCTTGTTTTTTTCGACTTTAATCATCATTATTTTTTCTCTCTACCCTCCTCAATTGTATGATCTTTTTTTGCCACCCCCAAAGTCATAAAATTAAAACAAAAAAAGAATTTTTTCGAGAGCCGAGCATTTATCAGACTCTAATTTTAGAGTCGAATTAAGATGATTTTGAGTAATTTCTGCAGAGATTAATGGAACAAATTCCTGTGACCTGATGTCATAGGGCATTTGCAAAGGAAATGTTCAATAAAAATAGATGAGTCTGCTGTAAAAAATGGCCGGAATTTATTTGTAATCACTCTAATTCTGGATGTATCTTTTGGAAAGTGACAGGGATACATGTCCGCCATCCTTTAGACTTCCTTATTTAGCCGCTCTTTAGTCATCTCGGAGTAATACAGGCCATTCATCATAAAGCATCATGTTTTATCTGCATTTTAAAGCAAGAAAAGCCACAAAAAGTCGACGATCTTGTCGTACCAGCCGCCTACTCATGTGATTACTGCACAATAAATTATGGATTCATATCCATTCTTTAAAATTACGTTCGCCTGATTGCCGAAAACTTATTAAAAATAGGAATAACTTGAAACTTCACATATTTAGCGATTAAATAAGATAAAGTAGCAACAAAAAAGTTAAATTTGTATGAAATATGGCCGTGATTTACACCGAATACAGAAGTAATTCAATAGTAATGAGATTTACAAGTCGTTTTCTTAATCAGATAAATATTTCATCGGTTATACGAAGGGCACGTTGTCTTTTAGAATGTGAAGAAATAATGGCAAGAGAAGAAAAGGATAAGTAACAAAAATATAAAAGATAAGTACAAAACATAACTCACCTCCATTCACATACAATCTCATATAATTCTTGGCCGGCTGGGCCATTGAAAATTGCGAGAAAAGGCCGAAGAAATGTAACAAACTGAGCAGAAACTGTAGATCTCGACTTCTGATGGGCATCATCCCCCTTCCTTTGGTGTGTTTACCCTTAAACAGCAAACTTAAAATGCAAAAAGTTGGATTGACAGGTGGATTCCACCAAATTCGCGGCATTAATCGCAAGCGCAAAAACAATTACAAACCAAAGTTTATGATTACGACGTTGCCAGTACTTTTAAAGGCTTAAACCCGGCTGTAAATAGAAATACAGTAATTATATTCGGTTGCGAATAGCAGCTCAAGATCCGGAGAAAAACAACATAACAATTATGATGTTAGCAAGTCATTGGAAAGTGAGAAAATAAAAATTACTTTGTAAAATTTGTAGGCATCGGGTCAAGATAATGAAGGAACAGCCAACAAAAAATTTAAGGATAATAATAAAAAATGTAAAAATATTCATTGTAGATAGCAAGACGATGATTTGAACTCTTGGAAAAGATTGTATGAGAATTGAAAGGTTAAGAAAAGGATATCAGTAGAGAATTGTAAGCGTGCACTTACAATAAAAATAATAGGACTGATTATAAATGAACTCATTAGCACCGCTATACTTCTGATTCGCGCTTTTTACGGATTGGGAATGGAATGTCCAGAAAAAAAACTTTGCCTATTGTACCAATAACAACATAAAAAATTTGGTGACGTTTTACATGTTCACAATAATAATAATTATTGTGATATTTTCAACTTGCCGGCTTTATGATAGAAAACAAAAAAAAGTTTTCTGACATTTCGTTTTTTAAAGAGCACAGTTCGAAGTACTGACGCTTTGAAAAAGCAAAACAAAATAATTTAAAGTCATCACTGTAAATAAGGTGCCATACGTCAAATATAATCAAATACATCTCCAAATGTGCCCAAATGTCTCCCCATTTGCAACCCGAATTCCCGTCACAACAATGAGAGGGTGGGCCCCTCAAAAATTGTCAAAAAATAAATAAATTAAACTCCGCCCCTTTTCTTCACTGCCCTCAGGGCTTGACCACGAATTAGCGACCCAATTGGCCACCTTTTGCGTGTGAGAAATTGGAATCGGAAAAATGCGTTTAGGCCTCAGAATCCACGATGAATTCGGCGGCGCGCGGTGAAAGGCGAACGGAGAACAGAGAAACCGTCGCCAAGGCTATTTATAGAGGCAACGACATCTGTTTTGGGACCGGAAATAAAACAAAAAAGTGACAAATTATGCGAATATAAATAATCGACGAGTCGGAGTCTATGGGTCATGCGGAGTGTAAACAAAATATAAAAAAGGGATTTTGAAGTTCGAAATGAGAATTTTTTACATAATCGAGATGGAGATAAGAGAAAATAAAAAAGTGGATTGTAAAAATGGCTAAGATGTCAGTTGCTAGTTATTACAGTGATAAGTTTGGAAAGGCAGTTGGTCGACAATCTCATATTTTTTTGGAAAGTCATAACTAATTTTTCCCAAAGCCACGCAGAGTAGGGTAAATTTTTCTTGGGACATAACCAATCAAAATTTATAAAAATTGTATTTACTTCTTTTAAACATATTTTGGATTCTCTGAGGTGTTCATTTTTCGAAGAATTAGAGCCCAATGACATAATCTTCTTAAAATCTGGTTCATTTCTCAAGTTATCACGTATAACCTTTCAGCTGAAGCTAGCCAACTATACTTCCTATGCTAAAGATTTCGACACAAAATGACTCTGATCTCTGTTCTTTTCCAGTACGAATGCCCAAAGTCTTAAAACCCAGGACCCTTTCTCCAGCATCACCCACCCTCACCGTTCCCAAAGACATTCATATTGAATTACTGGAGGATAAAAGCAACGGTCATAAAGTGACGCAATCAGGAAAAGCTTATGGACATTTTATGTGATACAATAAACACTCCCATGACAACTTGGAGTAGTAACCCAGTACTCCAAACAGCCATCTACAAATTTGCGAACACTTATTCAAATACGAGCGGAGAGACACGTCGAGGGGAATAAACCTTGATGTTTCCCCTTTTTCAGACATTCCATCATATAATATATCCCCGGAAAACTGGCACTTTCGAAGGCAGTAAGTGTAATTCTATGGCTCTCCATAGTCATCATGGCCATGACATTTTGGATACGAGACTTGTGAAGACTGCAAGTAACCAGCAATCAAGCGAAAAGAAACCTAAAACAATGTGAAAATGATGACAGAAAGCTGTAAAAGAAAGGACCGTAACAATATTTGGGTTGCTGAAGTAATGTAATTCCACGCCCTCGACCAGAATGCATTGCAAAAATAAGATTATTGTAATCCAACTGATCAAAACGAATGTACTTTAGACATCAAAAGAGACGGCAGGAATTGTTGTTGAGTCCAGGTTGAAATAATCGAATTGGAAAAAAAAACTAGGTTAACAAGTGTGAAATGGGATTAAAAAGAGTGAAACGTACCCTTCTTTTTTTGTTGCATTAAAATAATTAAAAAACAGCTGCCATCAAAAGATGACATTTGTCGAACTTGACCATTACCAAGCGGTTCTTGATACCTCCCAAAAACTCTAGATTTCCAGACAGGTCGGTTCTTTTATATGCCTCAGGCATTTCCTGTTGTTGCCACTATTAAATAAAAAAAAATTTTTTTTGAAATTTTTCGCATTTTTCGAATTTTTTCGTTTCCTCTTTTTCCCGAAACTCAGGGCCAAGAAATAATCACCGGAAAAGAATTTGGACGAAAAATTATCCATCACACGTGGGTGAATGCACTAATTAATAGGGGGGAAGACGGTATGTTTGGAATTTAAAAACAAATAAAAACATAACTTTGAAGTGAAAAATTGGTTCAAATTGCAAAAATGGTTTACGAATGAGTCAGATGGAATGTATCAAGGCGATGGAATATAAAATATGGATACTGTAATGACCTCTGGTTCTGAAAATTTTAAAAAAACTTTTTGGAAGAAGGGCATTTGACCTTAATAATACTTTTGGCGGTCGCACTTTCAATTTCCAGTAAAATTTCTTCAATTCTCGTCACCCGTTAAAGGAAAAACACTATTTGTAAGAGTAATTCGACTTCTTAAAAGGCCAGTACGGCTACTTTTGAATCGCTTTGACAGATTGGGAAACAAAGCATCCAAAAAATTTTCTTCATCAACTAATGACGACGGGAAAAATTATGACGACACTTTACATGGCTACGAATAATTATTTCGCTGTTAACGACTTTGCCGGCCCTGTTTTCGCGGCAGGACATCGCAAACTTTTTTTCTGGAGATTTTGTTTATCGCGCCGCAAAAGCGCGATTCAAATAAAGCTGTACTGGCCTTTACCTCTGCATTCCTAATCTAGATTTCGACCCAAATGTGTTTAAAAAAGTTTAAGTCACCGTTTTCTCCATTTTCACGGCTCAATTGACAATGAAAGCCCTGAGGCAACCCAACCCGAATAACCGATTTCCCTGCAAATAAAGAATGTAAAATTGTGATGATTAGATTTGTCCAATTCGGCCAATTCTATTATCTCGAGGCGTAGTTTCAATTTCAAAAAATATCAAAAGCGGCCAAAGTACCGCCTTTAATTGAATTCAAAGCAAAAGTGCAAAAATTGTCGAGTTAATTTGCTAATTTATTGGAATATTTGTTTTTAAAAACGGTTATTTTTGAAAGCCCAAAAGAAATGTCAAAAAAATTGGAATGGCGACAAATTGGGATCTATGAACCGAAAAAAATTGCAAAACAATATTCGAAACAAACGGTGGCAAAATTTTTAATTCTGAGGCAAAACACTACTTCCCTACGCTTTCTGATATCTGAATTTCTGATTTTCAACTGCGTGAAAAATAATTTTTTTTATATTTGACAGGAAGGGCAAATTTAAAAAGGCTGATAATTTGACCTTCTTGCGCCCTAATATTAACAAAAATAAATAATTTTATAAAAAATCTCGATTTTTCTCAATTTTCAGACAAGAAATTGGTTCGATGTTGCTGCAGTCAACCTCCCTCTCACAGCGTCCAAGTGCTTCGCCAGTATTTTTTTATTTTTTCTGCATGCCCTCCGGGTTTATTTTCTGGCTAAACTTTACTTTTTACATTTTTTATTTATCCCCAAGATGGTCATTTAAAAGAGGAATAAAAAGTTTAACGCCGCAATACATAAAGATATAGCGGGGACGAGATGACCGCTTCCCGGAAAAACTCAGCGTTAATTACAATTTAACCATTCAAGGAAGCCGATTTTTAAGGGAAATGCTTTAATAGGGAGATCTAAATTTTAATTTAGACCCTTGGGTACCCTGACCTCGAACCATTTTTATTTTTGTGAAATTTCCCCAAATTTGAATAAAAAATATCAAAATTTGTGAAAATCACCTGTTTTATACAAAGTTTACAGCTTTTAAGAGCTGTTGAGCAAAAACAGGCTGTTTTCAATAACTCCTGCGTACTTCGTCACCTCACAAAATTATTATTCTTCGATTATTGTGGTATCTAAAACCATAAATTTGCTCTGCAGAACCGAAATCATAGCCTAACCGCGAACAAAGGTTCAGAAATCATGCAAAACGGCCTTATGACATCATAAAACGTAACCCTATTCGCATTTTGGACCTTTAATGCCTCAGGGTTTGGCCCTTTTTAAGCCGATCCAAACTTAATTAGCGCGGCCGAAGGTGGAGAATTGCTAAATGACGACCAAAAACAAGTAATTTGGCCAAAGTCAGGTATCCCCGTGAAGAAATTTTAGTAAAAAAGCGGTAAAAATAGTAAGTCGGGCTAAGTTTGGTGAAAATAAGGTAAAATTAGAATATGTTTGGAAGAGCAGGCCAGACCGCAGGTGTATTCTAACTCAATTTCCTATTTACGCACATTCTACGCACGTTTCCCAACACCAAATTGTCGCTATTTCCCCAACTTTTAACTCCAATCTCTTCGATTCCCTTACGCTTTCCGCTGCTGCAAAATTGGTTGACTATCAGTCTGTCGGGAAAATATTGGGGATTTGGAGCGCGACTGCCTCCGTTTTTCGGAAGAATGACCACAGAAACGTGTTGGTGTCTGCACCAACACATTTCTGTGTTCATTGCACTGTGCACAAAACTCACGGGAGAAAAGACCGCACCGTGCGGAGAAACGGAGAAGAAGAACCCTTTTTTGCACAGTGCACAGAGAATTTTCTTATCTGATGAATGTAAAAAAGTAATTGTTGCCAGTAAATGCGTCATTTCAAAGTAAAAATGAGGAAATAGGGCCAGGAAAGAAGCAGATCATCATTGAGTAAAAATAATTCTTTTAAAGTAACCAAACTGATAAAAATGGAGATATTCTGCTTTTAAATGGCCACAAATAAAGTTTCAAGTGCCTATTTTAGACTTTAAAGTCATTATTCTGAGGACGTCAGAGGAAAAAGTTTGGGATTCAGCGTGGATTCGGACGGATTCTGACGACGAATTTCGATAGTCTTTGTGCTTTTTTGCGACTTTTTGTCTATTTTAGAGTAATCAATGGGTAATTACTGTCAGTGTAGGATTTTAGGAAACTTATAATCTAATCTTAGACCACTTGGAAAACCTATTTTTGAATTTTGCTCAACACAAAAATTAAAATTTTTTTAATTATTATATTTATTTTTACCAATCGTTTTTCATTTTCAATTTGCTTTTCATCCTTTAGAAAACTGTTTGAAAATAGTAGAAAAACTCCCGTCTTTTTAAAAACTGCAACACTTATTTAAAGAAAACTTTTTAATATCTAAAGTAAGATTAAAATGTTGTTCAAAACAAATAAATATCAAAAAATAGTACTCTTCGTCGCGATGATAATTTAATAAATCCCGAAATAAAAATCCCCGGCTCAAAAAAGCGCCGCCTCCGTTCGCATATCCGACATAAGTGGAAAAAACGTCACAACATACAGTAAAAAGCGAGGAAAGGAAGGAAAACAAGCAAGATGACCACTCTCAATTGGATTACGAATACGGAAGGGACATTTCGAGGACGAAATCTAATGCTATCCGTGAGATTCGGGATGTATGAAGGAAAAATTGGAAGAAACATCGAGGAAGTTAAAATAAATTTGGAAAAAGTAAAATCGAACACATCCAAGTTCACAATTCTGAGCATATTTCGAGTAAGATTACCCTTTAAGTTATCCTTTTTTATACGCATATAACTTCCAGAAGTTACTTCCGGGATTTGATGACTTTAACCCGAATTTTACACAATTTTGCAGCCCTAACCCAATTGGAAACCTCCAATCACCCTAAATAAGTTATCCACCACCCAACTGTTTCCAGTTATCTTTTTTTCAATACTCGTTAGAATTCTTTTTACCCGGAATTTTTGAGAAAACTGGAGTTGTAGACTTTCTGAGATCCAAAAGTACATATGATACTTGGAAATCCACATACGAAAGTTGTTAATACTCTTCAAACCTACTGTAAGTGGATTGATAGAAAGTATAATAACGAAGCAATATAAACAATTGTATAAAGGGTTGTAGAATTTGAAAGCATTTTTTGAAGATGAATTTCCTCCAGAAAATGGCTAAAACTGAGAATATTTAGGTTACCTATCCTTCTGACTCCAACAAAGTACTTTTTTGGAACTAATATTACTGTACCATGGATGAAACGGATTTCAGCCGCTAAAATCGGCCGTAAAACAGTCTAAAAACACGCAGCTAATTTTTCGGTTTTTGCCAACACCGTAAAATTCTTCGTCAGAAATCACGTTTTAAAAGAATCACCTTTATAAAACCTACAAAAATCCGTAATAGAAACCGAATAACTTCCCACCGGAGGGTCTCAAAAAAGAAAAAGCCGAACTCCCGGCCCAAGTAGTATAGTGGTTAGTACTCCACGTTGTGGCCGTGGCGACACAGGTTCGATTCCTGTCTTGGGCAAGCCCTCACTTTTCGTTTGTTTTTCAAAAGCTGAAATGGTAAAGTAACTTCTTTTACAATTTAAACGAGTCTTGATTACATTTTTATGAAAAAAACCCTCGAAAATCTCTCAAAATGGTGTTTAGAATAAGTTTTGTCGAAATTCAGCGCTGTTGCCAATGGAGGAATGCAAATCAAGCAGAGATTCGCTCTTCACTATGGATTTTAAGGATTTTGGATGCGTCTGGAGCACTTGTTTTTCCCACGAAAAATTTTATTTATTACACGCATAAAAATATTCATAACTGAACCCAAATTCTTTGTAATCAAAATGGTTTAAATTACTACTAATAAAGCGGTATAATTAGACCTCTAAACAGTTGAATTAATTAAGTTAAACCTTTTTCTCGTCAGCAATTACTTTTTTCGTATAATTCGACACGCCAAAACACCGGATTTGCTCTTATTTACCATTTTTCACGGTAATTGTCAGCAAAAAAGTAATGAATTCCGGTTTCACACATCAAAACGCTTGCTCAGGGACCTAGTGACTCGAATTCATCATCTATACGAACATATCCAATGTTGGGGGATCAAGTTGCGTGCCTTTACAAACATTTCCTTATAAAAAATAAGAATTAATGTAAATTAATCTCAAAAAAAGGTCATTCGTAGTAGAAAACTTCGTTATTCTTGATCATTACATCTGAAAATATTAAATCAATTACTTGCGACTCTAACTACGCTTAAACCTACAGTTTCGGGAAGTTGGGTTTTTGCAAAAATCATCCTAAAATAACACAAAATTGTTTAAAAAATAGCTAAAAAATTAGATTTCTGCGGATGTCATAAACATGCACATTTTTCGAGAGGTAAAATCCAAAATTTAAAGGTTAAATTGCGAGGAAAATGAATCCAGAAACCTTAAATAGAAGATCTGACCCCAAGGTCCATAGTTTATAAAAGAGTACAGAAAAGTAAACAAGGCTAGTCAAAGGAGAAGTGTAAACACGTTTAATTAAATCTCCTCGATACTGTCGATAGGTGGTTTGTGATGTGTTGCGGGTCAAGAACAATAAAACCGGCAAAAACATTTTGGTTTCAGGATCCTTTCAAAACTATTTTGACTTCCAAAACTTTCAAAATTACGGTAAGTATGACAAAAGAAATAAAAATACTAATATTCAATTACTTTGGCTGCAATTTCAATATGTTTCAAAATCGTCCTCTAAGCATCGTAGACCCCATGTGAATGGACAAAGTTTAGATTTGAGTATCTTCGTGCCATCAAACCTCGGTCATTCCCCTGTTCGGACTTTAGAAATATCGCGGAACGAAACAAGATTTAAAATTACATCCCTTTACTAATCAGTTTATGATCGGACTGCCCATCTGAAACTATCTTAAACGCTCTCTTCCTCTTTTGTGTCCTGCACTCTTGATACTGTAATTTTAAAATCGCCTAACGTAAAGGCTGCTTTTGTCATAGTTATGTTTATAACATGGCGAAAACATCAATAAAGGTGCTATTTTTTCTGTCAACAGACGATGATCGTATAACCTTTGTTACATCATAAACCGCCGAGTTTTAACGCTTTGAAACGTCGTCATCTGGACCGTCATTTTGACGCATTTTCTAGAAAGGGAATTTCTGTGAAGCTTTTTTTCCGATGCGAAGGTTTCGTTTGCCTAATCAGATGGAGAATTAATTCTCACAGATGGTGCATTGTCCTGTGCTTCCGATCGTCGCAGATCAATCGGACACTACCTAAACCCCGCCAAAAAATGTTTTTCGCCCCTAAATTCCGGCCTTTGCATCTTTTTTCTCGTTGTTCTGGCGATAAATAAATCCCTCGGCAGATTATCGTCGAATATATCAGCGGGATGTTTATCCAATTTTATTAATGACAGGGTTTGCACGGGTTTATATTACCCTACCCATCCCACTGTTAGTGCAAGGTTGAGGATCCCGTTGTTTTCATGCGAATTTTTTGAGGGGTAGCGATGCTTAAAAATTTATTTTCCAGTTCCTGTGTACTACGGTTATCATAATCATTGCTATTTTTTTCTTTTCAGTGCCACGATGAGAGGACGTGGTGGAGTAAGAGGACCACGGTACGGCTCCGGCGTGGACAGTGAGTTGATCTTTTCCTTCCTTTATTTTTCCTGGTTTAGATGAGGAAGATACTAGAGGAGGCTCATTCCCTTCGCGATCTCAGTTTGACGAAGCCCCCCGAAACGACCAACAGCGAGACAACAATTTCGACACACGTGGTGGAAGAGGATTTCCACAGAACGAGAATTCCTTCGGTCGAAACGGTTTCTCCGGCGGCCGAGGTGGAGGAAGTTCAGGCGAAGGCGGCTTCGGTAAAGTTACCGGCACATTTTCCAATCCTTCTGCTTCTACAGGGAATAAGAACTCCGAACGAGACACACGTGGTGGCAACGACACTCGAGGCTTTGCCAACGAAGACACCCGGGGGTTCTCCAACGACAGAGATTCTCGGGGATTTGGAGACGACTCCAGAGGTCAAGCAAAGACCTTTGGCGATAATGCTCCTTCCGGCTTCGACGCGAATCTAGGCAGAGGTTTTGGATCGGTGAACCAATTTGGCAGTAATGATCAAGGAAATGACTTCGGACCTCCATCAAACCGAGGAGGCGGTGGATTTGCAGGCCGTGGAGGTCGAGATGGCGGAAGCTTTGGCAATGATAACGGCTTCGCGCCACGAAATGAAGGTTTTGGCGGAGGTCGAGGAGGCGGCGGAGGATTCCGAGGTGGTCGAAGTGGCGGAGACGGTGAAGAAACTAGAGGATTTGGGGGCTTCGGTGGCCGAGGAGGAGGTCGCGGAGGCGGTGGAGGATTCAACAGTGGAGGATTTGGAGGAAACAGAGGATTCGAGGATGGTGGCGGAAGTGGAGGCCGTGGCGGCGGAGGTTTTGGCCGAGGTGGAGGCCGCGGAGGCGGCTTCGGAAACCGGGATGGAGACTCTGGAGGATTCGGCGGAAGAGGTGGTGGCCGTTCCTTCGGTGATTTTGGAGGTGGCCGGTCTTCCGGTGACGGTGGGTTCCGACGAGGTCGTGGCGGGGGATCGTTTGGCCCTCCTGGAGGATCTTTTGGATCTGGAGCTAACGGCACTCCTTTTGGCGATGAAAGTTCTTCATTTGGAAGAAGACGGTTTGGTGGAGATTATGGTAAGTTCCATTCAACGTATTTATTGTTTCCAGACAACAGAGAACACCATCCCAGTTTCGTCCCCGAAGAGCAAACGGATGAGCAGATTATTGAAGCCCGTATCAAATTAGACGACATTCATCTGGAAGAGGATGGTGTGGTCACTCGAAAAGGGGGTCCAGAAGTCGACACCATCATTGAGTAAGTAACTTCAATGTTGTTATTTGATTGTTTAGGAATTGGACCGATGCCGGATTTGACAATCAATTGGTCCGGAACATTGAAAGGGCTCGCTATGCCAAACCGAGAAACTTCCAGAAGCATGCTATTCCTATCATTATGCAGGGATATGATCTTAAGGGCAAATCTGAGACTGGTTCCGGAAAGACTGCCGCTTTTTTGTTACCTATCATCCAGAAGTTGATCGATCAATTCAAGGCTGAAGCTGAAGACGAGAACAGAGCATCAAGAGCACAAAGGGTTTCTTGTCTCGTCCTTGTCCCCACTAGAGAATTGGCACATCAGATCTACAATGAAGCCAGAGCTTTTACCGCTGGCACTTCAGTCAAAGTCGCACCAGCTTATGGAGAATACCAGATAAGGTTGAATGCCGAAGCCATCTTACGTGGATGTGACATTCTTGTCGCATGTCTGGGCAGATTAAGGCACTTTGTCGAGGAGAAAAAAGTGTTGCTGGATTCGTTGAAGTTTTTTGTTATCGATGAAGCCGATCGCATGGTCTCTGCGGACAGTCTCGGTGAAATCAGGGAGCTTTTGGATCCTTCCATTACAAAATTCCCGAAGCCACAGGATCGACAATCTCTCTTCTTTTCAGCAACTTTTGAAAGCATGCACATGGAATTCTTGGATTCGATTTCTCGGAGAAAAGACACTGTTTATTTGGAGAGTGCTATGCCAATCAACAAAAGGATCCATCAAGAAGTTGTGTGTGTCAGGGAATCAGACAAGGATCAGTATGTTCAGGACCTTCTTACGAAAGGTATGCTTATACATATTACAGAAAATTTTGGATTCCATTTTCAGAACGCGAAGAAACCGGCACTGTCGCTAAGACATTGATTTTCGTTGCAACCAAAAAGGAAGCCGATTTGTACGCCATGCAATTGACATTAGAAGATGTGAAGTCACAAACTATCAGTTCGGACAGAACCCAACAGCAGCGACTTCAATGTTATAATGAATTCAAGAATGGAGATATTCATATCCTCGTGGCCACCAATGTCCTTTCTCGTGGTGCCGACTTCCCTCATCTTGATCGGGTAAGAATTTGTTATCTCACAACTTTTACATTCATCTGTCTGTAGTTAATGTTGATGTTGTTTTAGGTAATTGTGAAGAACAGCTCCGAACAATCGGATAACGATTATGTCCATCGAATTGGTCGTACTGGTCGTCTCCGTGCTGGTACTGCCATTGTTTGTCTCGACCCATCCCTTCCCGTTGATCGCAATATTGTTCCTCAAGTTGTTGAAGTAAGTTTTCAAAAAACTTCTTACTTACCATACTTTATGATGTGTTTACCTTCTCATTTTAGTACATGAAATTGTGTGGCCAAGAGCCCCCGGAATGGTTGAGTCACGTCGAAGAGCCTGGCTATGAGTTCCCTTATGTGGAAGTCAGCAGTCCCGGCCTTGCCTCATTTGGTGCCCCAGCTGGAACAACCTCCGATGGTGCAGCTCCAGGAAATCTCGATCACACTGAACCGGAGTTTTAAGCTTATTTAATAGTATTTTATGCCTTTACGAATTCTAAATTCACTTTATTACGATTTTTTCCTCATCTCTATCCGTTGTTATCAGCATGAACTCATTTTCCGAATGGTCTGTTTGTTTTTTTTCAACAACCGTGACTTAACTTTGTTTATTTGTTACATGACCTTGTTTTTATTCCACTCATTAGTTATCAATTTTACTGTAAAATAAATTACCGCGCTGAAAGTTTTTTCTATAGATAATGGCTACCTGTCAAAGACCGAGAAGTTTATTGTACTCGATAAGGATGGGTGAAATGATCTAACTCTTGGCTCCCTTTTCTCTCTTGATATCCTTCAAGGGTTCATTTATTGGATCCGCATTCCCAGCTTCACGATCCAAGGGATCAAACACGATGACTGTCAATTTGTCCGACCATTTAATCTTGGGAACGATTGGCGGGGCTGGGGGGTACTGTTTGTCATCTGGTTGCAAACTATAACCAGTATTAATGGTTAGAAACCTTATCTTTTAATAGTATCTTACCTGATGACAGCTTCAACAGTACTCGCAAACAAAGTGGTATCCCGGACGAAAAGCGGATCATCTTGTTTGAACCTGGCCATGGGACCGAATGGATTAAACATGGTCTTGGTGAAGGGCTGGCCGGCCAAGACGACCTCATAATTACAGACCTTTTCCAGAAGAGACATGTCAATGGGAAGATCATCGTCCGTCAATTCGTCCTGTTCTCCAGGAGTTGCGTTCGTCCAGAAGGGGACTCCATTCACTAGGGGATTCTCGGCGTTTTTTCCTCCTTTTCTTTCCACTTCGTCATCGCCGATGGGCGATTCCACGGCCTTAGGATCCTTTTCTTCGGTCTTGATGTGACTCTGAAGGACAATAATGTCAATTTTTGTAAATTCAACTGTACATTCGACTGGTTTAGCCTCACATTATTTGATTCGCCGCCGTCTTTCTTCTTGGGCGCCTTGGCCTTGCCCTTCGCCTTGGAATCAGAGCTTTTGGCACTTGAAGTCGTTGGTGTTGGGACGCTTGAGTGATCCGTGAACTGGACGTTGGTAGTTGTGGCGACTCGAGCTCTGAATGAAATGATTTTAGGTCCATCTGACGCTTACTTTGCCTCGATAATTCCCTTTTTTCTTCCCACCCAAGTTGCATATTTTGGATTCGGTCTGATGGATAAATAATGTGCTTTCCTCTCTCCGAACTGCATCTTCTTCTTTGGTCTGGCCGGAAATTTGTCCTCGGTGCTCTTGAGGGTACCCACGGTTGGCTGACAGGATGCAAGGACCATAGCTTTCTTGTACTCCACATATTCTTTTTCCTCTTCTTTGGCCTCTGCTCGAGCTGATTTTCGCTTCTGAATCTGCCCGAGGGCACGACTGAGCTGCTTCTGATTGTAACGCGGATTCGAGGGGACTTGAGGTTGCTCCGCCATGGCTGCTTCTGGATTGGAGATGGGAAATCACAACAACAATTGACTAAAATAAAGTCATAACTTGGGAGGCTAGACAGACTTTGAGCCTTGGATTCTCTTGACTGTAAATGTTATAAATTAGAATATTGACCAATAGGGAAATGACCGGTCAACCACTATGTAATTGAAGAATACGATCAATTTAAATTTTTTTCTTGAATTTAATTTATGCAAACATTTTTAAATCATTTTTGCTAAAATTTATATAATTTTACATTCAAATCGACCGGTCGATTTTTTGATTTTGATTATTCTTTGTAAGCAGAGTTTATTATCAAGTAAAATAATTTATTCCGAACTTGTACTAGAATCCAAATCTAATTTCTTGGCCAAAATTGGTTCGACATTATCTTCTTCCACATTCAGATGATGATATCCGAAAGAATCGCTGAAATGGATCTGATAAATTGTGCGAAATATCAGCATTGTGTGAAGAAGACCCATTCCGATGCTATAAAGTGCTTTTACGTTGCCTTAACCCTTACATTACTGTGAAATATATCCATTGAAAGGTTTGACCTTCCGTTTTTTCCACAAAAATCGAAAAATGTTGACCATTTTTTACCGAGACAACCATTTTTAGGCAGGATTATTGTAAAAATTACTTGCAACTTTCACGCAAGTAGTACCACTAAAGCACTTCCTTACAAGCACTTCCTTGTTAGAGAACATTTTACTCCAAGTACAAACGTGTAAAACAGATTAATGTTTCTGCCCTGAGGGCAAGAAGTTGATCAAGGAGGGTAAGGGGATCCAAATTAATCATCCGTGCCCCCTTTTAATCATCGTATCTCCGTGGATGTCATGTCACCTGGGGGATCAATCATTTTGCCCTCAGGCCCAACGCTTATCAGCAGGAGGGGCTGGGCCGAGAAGAGCGGCGGCAGAACGGAATGAATGATTCGATTTGTTTATTTTTGTTGCCTAATCGCATAAAAATGTAATAGAGGGAATTGTCTGCCCACCAATCGAGTCGAATGCGGAGATATTAGGCCGATTAAAATTGCGTCCCATCTTTGGCCAAATTGGCCCCCATCGATGGCGGCAAGCCGCGGGATTTGAGGCAATCAGAAGTCCCTTTCCCAGCCCTCCAGGCCTCGCACCGTGCATCTTAAGAAGGCGGCCGAAAGATGGGCCTGAGTCTTGGCCCCTCGGGCAATGATACCATGACCGATTTGGAGGACCTGGGGATCGATAGCAGTGATTATTCCGATTGCTACGAGAGCGATTCCTTCAGAAACTTTCAGTACACAGTAAGTTTTTTTTATGTCCTAGCCCTTAAATTGTCAAATTTCATCTTCTTTTACTGTCAATTCAAAGAAATTCTTTGTTTCATCACGAGATTTATCGGGTTTCACGGTTCAAAACAATTTTGTGAAAAAAGCTGACAAGACAAGGTCGACGAGACCCATGGACATATGATTTATGTCACCCGGAAAATGACATCACACTCTATTTTTACGCCACTTTTGATCTTTTTTCAAGGCCCAGAGAAAACGGAAAAGTCGGGTCTTGCCATGCCAATTTTCGAAAGAAGACGGCGATCATTGGATACAAGTGAAACTAATTTTTAAATTGAGGACCAAAAATCAGCAAATCGCACAAAAAATATTTTGATGACAAAAACAATTTCAGGTCGACGATCTTCTACTGGCAGCATGTACGGCAGCAACGGTATTCAATGTGATTGTCATCTTTTGTGCCATGAAATTGTTCAAAAGAAGCGGGGATACGATGCATTTATTTATTATCAACATGACTATTGGGGATCTTTTATTGACTGGTAATGCTTATAAAATTGCCTTTTACTTGATGAAAATTGAACGTTGATGAATTTGTTTTAGTGTTCTGTCATCCGAATGAATTCCTGATCCGTAAACACGAGTTCCTCCGGCATGTCCATCTCTGTGCCGTCATCCATTTTTGTAATTGGCTTGGATTGGCGGTCTCGGGACTTTCCTTGACTCTTCTGAATGTGGATAAACTCATTTATTTCCAATGGCCTTATCGTTATGACCAGACCATGTCCAAGAGAAGGGCGGCTTTCCTTTGTATATTCATTTGGTGCCTTTCATTTGGGCAAGTATTCATTCCATTTATAGTACACTTGAGATGTCATGTTATACTATTGAAGGTTATTTTATTTTAATTTCAGATTTGTAAGCTATGTCTGGATGGGTGGGATTGTCTATGTGACTCAAGATTGTATGTTACAAATGGCGGAGCAGAAGAAATATTACTATGAAATCTTCATGATCATGTTTTGTGTCCTCCCCGTCACCTCATCCCTCTTTGTCAGCATTTATCTGTTCCGTTTAACCCGGCAAAAAAGGAATGCTCCGGTTACGATGAGCAACAACCAAATTGACATCAAAAATAAGGTAAATTAAGACAAAAGGTCCTTTTATTTTTCGTATTTTAGCTGAAATCGCTTGTTTTTATCTTTGCGACAACAGCCTGGACCTCGTTCAGTTTATTGCCATATCGGATCTTCAATATCTGCCGGATCCATTTATTCGAATGGAGTGCGATCAGTTGTGAGACCCGGGAAGTGATGAATTGGCTGGCCTGGATGCTGTTATACCTTCTTACTACTAACCCTGCAAGCCTTACTTAATTTTAGTTATAATCATTCTAGTTGTAAGACAATATTTTCTGTTTAGATAGTGAATCCGTTGATCACCGCCATCATCTATGCCCCTTATCGAATGACAATCAAGCGACTTATGATCAACCTGCCCATCGGGAATCGTCCGCACAGCTCGCATTATCGAAACGAACACACGGAGACCAGGTAAGTGTCCCCGAAATACCATAAAATACCACAGTTTTCTTTCGTCGGCACGCCAGAACCAGAAGCGAAGAGCCCGGCACGGTCAAATGGAGCAAGAGCTCAGCGAAATGAGTTCCTCGTACAAGGGATCGGTGGGAGAGTTGGTCCGGGAGCAGACTTCCTCCTTCAACGGCCACATCTCGGACGGATTCTCATTGGATGAGGCCGAGGAGGATGTGTCGTCGGCCCAGAGTCAGCCCGCCCCCTCTTCCCAGCCGGAATGCTCCAGACAGCAAAGGCCACAGAGCGCCACCTTCCGTTCCAACAGTTGTAATGATCTCTGAACTCGCTTGTATGCGAGAGTCATGCTTGTTTGTGGTCTGCTTTGTGTTCATCATTAGGATTATCTATGTTAGATGTTACTGGGTAAGGAAGAACTACCTTCCTACGCCCATTTCTACAATTAGGCAGTGTAATTCACATCTCCTTTATTTGTAAACATGTCTTTTCTTCGCATGCAGTTATAACAGCCACTCTTCGTATACCATGGATTCACTTTCCTTTTGTCCATAAATTATGCATCATGATTTGTAGAGGACTGATTGGTCACTACAAATCATGATGACGTCATTTCTGAGCACGACCTCTCCCGCGGAATTATATGGTCTCAAAATAGAAAGCAGTTGGAAGTCGATGAATTCATCGATGTTTTACTATTTATTTACAATGCCATTAAATAATCTGAATAATGTGAGCCAGATCAATCAGATATATTGCGACCTTATTGTAGATATTAACCAGGCTCAAGAAGAGACTGTAATTACTGGGACCCGGGAATGCACACATGTGATCGACGTCTCGGAGAACATTGCAGCGAGCGACGGGATCTACGACTTGCTGTAAATTAAGTAATCATGACGCAAAACTTTCCAAAATACGACCAAAGTAATAAAAATGTTCACCGAATCTTTTGTAAAGGCGTAGACCAAGAGCTGTCCCCACGGATCAACAGTAATTATCGTATGCAATCCCGAATGTAGCCTCGCGTGAGTAACACAAACAAAGTCGCCTCCCGGATTGTGTAATTCCACTTCTTTTTCTGATGTTACCATAACCAATTTCGAGACCAATGATTGCATTAATCGGATGGCATAAGGATTGGGAGGAATGAAGAGTAAGGTCCCGTACTTCCGATCGGCCACAGTAGATTGCACTACTCTAACATTCTTGCTCTGTCCAAAGTCTAATCTGACGTATTGTGATTGGCAAGCCTGACTGAGAAGGGCCCAATTCTCTTGTCCTAGCCTCATTGGCAGACTAAGCCCAGCATTTAAAGCTGACGCATTTGGAGTCTGGGCTAGTCCTGCAAAGGGAATTCCTTGGCCAGGAACTGTTCCATAATGTACTAGGCCAGTGTCGGGCAGACCATATCCAATGTCCGGACCTCCTGATCCAAGTCCCAACGCCCATCCGGATATCTGATTTGGCATTTCCCATTTGTTTTGAGGGACCAAACAATCAGCCATTTGGTCGAAACGATAAGATCGGACAACTCGATCAGTCATTACTACCAGAAATTCGTTAAGACCATCTCCATCGATGTCAAAACACTCGGCAGCACACACATTGGCGTTGACTTGTTGGGAGAAAACTCGGGTTGGAATGGGGGTTGCAGTCTGGGCGGTGGGGTGAGGAAACCTGAGGGATTGGAGATGGCCATTGCACGACACTGTCACCACCTCCACTCTAAAATAAAACTTTGTAATGTAAAGATTACACATCCAAGTTTGGAAACAGAAATGTATTGCTTACTTCCCAGTATTCCTAACATCCCCAGCTGTTGTTGCAGTAATCGGTTCTTTAGATTCGGATTCAAATTTGGAAACACATTCGGCACGATCTACTGGGAAGAATACGGTCTAAAACGTCAGTCATCTGATCATATTTGATTCTCACCTCTCCAGTAATCTTTCCAACTACTAAATATATCCGTGAGTATAGATCTTCCTGCGCTAATAAAATGGACGAACACGGGGCATTTAAGTGAGTTGCGAATACATTTAATGGAGTCACGAAGGCATCGTTCTGGAGAAGCCTCAGTGCGCGAGGCTGTTCCATACACTTAAAAATACAATTTGTCAGCCTAAAGATTACGGTATCTTGTATCGCATTACGCCCTTTTAATCATTAAATACACAAAAAAACTTAACAATTTTTATTTTTTTATTTTATAACAACAAACTAAAAATGAGATAAGATTAAAGCATTTAAGCTTGATCAAAATAAATTTGATCAACTTTGCCCATCCTTTACTCCTTGAGGCATCTTTTGCGCGCCCTCTTTCTTCTTTTTTCGTCTCGCTTTCTTCTTTTCTCCTTCTGATTCTAACTTCTTTGGCTTCTGTTCGAGATGTTTATTCTTTTTCTTCAGACATGACAATGGATTCTTCCCTTTCTTTTTCTTCTTCTTCTTCTTTTTCGCTTCTCCTTCTCCATCACCCAATATTTTCTTCTTTAAGTCCTCGACCCTCTCTAATTCTACCGGCTTCTCTTCAAATCCATTTAAACTTGCTTTTGACGGCTAAGAGCAAAATATATAATTTACTTTATAAACCTACTTTCTCCAATAAAATGGTATTGAATTTTATGGATAGCAAAGGCACTCCGCCCATGTCTCTCATCTTGAACAACAGTTCCTCATCTTGTGAAGCCACCATGACTCTCTGCTTCCCGGGTTGCTGAGATCTTCTGGCCAGATATTCAATACATTTTGTTGCTGTTTTAGCCGGTTGATGGGGACATTTTAGAACTTCAAATTGCTGACAAATCTTCAGAGCTCCATAAACTTCTTTGCCAAGACGTTCTATAATAGTAGCAGTCAACAACAACTTACAATTATTATAAAGTAATATAAAATCAACTCACCCAGTTCATCCAGCACACATTTTGTTGTAAATAGTTCGACAGCTCCATCCAAATACTTTGGAAATTGTTCTCTCAGGTTGATCTTGTTCTGCAACGACGCCTGACAAACAGTTCCATCCAATAATACTCGGTAAGGCTCTGTGAATTTGTATTTGTAATGGAAGAAGTTGAGTATTTTTTTGGCTTTCTTTACTCTCTTCACCTTCATTTCTTCAGATTCTTACGGAAACAAGTAATCAATCGATCGAACTCTTCTTGGCACTGCTTTGTTTGAACTTTCTCGGCCTTCAGTGCAACGCAAGTACCGTAAGACGAAGCCTAAAATTACGAAACAATTTAATTTCTTGAACAATTCAACTCACTTCTACTGTACAACGGGCCAAAGCTGGTGCGAAACTGAGTAATCGCTGCTTCTCAGGCATGAATTATGCCTTAATATTCATATTGTTTATAAGCTCATCGCATCTCAAAATAAAATATCTTCAGGCCATAACCAGTTCTAAAATTTTAAAAGCTTAAAAATATGTTTATTGGTGTAAATTCGCATGGGTTATTGATAACAAACGGTTTGGCAATATTTATAAAGATCTGGATCGGCCAGATTTCGTTGTAATACAGAGTCAAATCCAGCACTGGCCAATTTGGGGAATCCATCACTCAAAGTTGGTAAAAGCTTGGCCAATGGAACTGGTTTGACCGTTTCGAGGTTCTGATCGAGGAACTCAATGGATTCGCAGAGATATTTCTTGACAAAGGAAGAGATGAGTGAACGGGCTTGGCTGGTTTGGAAAGAATCTGTCAGCCGGGTCAACAATTCCTCCAGATGGGCCGAATTATAGGCGGAGGAACTTGGAGCACGGGTCTGGAAATAAAAGACATAGCAAATAAAAAAACATATTACTTTAAATTAATTTCGTTAACACACTTACCCTAGAAATTGGAACCACAAACTCTGCATAATTGGACTGGCCAGCCGAGTTATCCAAATCAAATTTGATCTTCTCCAGCAACACCAAAAGACTAGAACAATTGAATTCTTTGGCCAACGATACTTGTCCTAATCTCTTCTCTGTGATATTCTCAATTCTATTAAACAGATCGGATAATCCATTACAAGTAAGATACTGAATACAATGGAGAAAGACTTCTTGAGCTTTAGGGTCTGTGAAGACTTGAGATGGGCCATTGGCTGGTTCCCAGAAGAAAGCAGAGACGTAATCAACCCTGAAAAGAAATGCATCACATCGAACATAAAAATGAGGTTCATCTAATGAAAGTGTCCTTACAGTCCACTCTTCGGTTTCATTGACCCCTCTAAATTTCTGATTGCTTCTCTGCACAAAATTGACTTCTGAGTCTTCAGAACCATCAGAATCAACGAATGGCAATAGGCCAAGGCAACGATTCGTGCAATTGTCTTAATCTAAATTGAAAATACAGGGTCTTTCAAGAAATGTGCAGGAAAGTAGGAGGCTATAACTTTCGGCGGAGGCGGCGCAGAGAGTTCGTTTTTGGAATATGTATTTTTCAGTGACATTATTTTTTGTCTACGAAATAACAAGCTTTTAGAGTGCAAACTGAGGTCACTACGACCTTCTGAAGTAAAGGCATCTCTACCCCGAATACCAGGGTTTTTCGGTTGAAAATGATCGAGAAATCTCAGAGTTTTTCGGTCGAAAATCACCGAGAAATGTCGGGTTTCTTGGGGGGTTTCGATAGAGCTGACGTTGAAAACAGGGAAGGGAATTGCCAATACGTTGAAAATTAAGCAAATATTCGGCTGCTCTTCATTCTGACACTTTGGCTAGCCAACCAGTTTTTGTTAGCAGTTTAAAAGTTTTGTTGTCATTCCTGCCCTTTGACGCCCATTACACCCTTTGACTAGTTTTTATAAGACTTCACAGCCATTCTGGTGCCTTGGCTAGCCGATTCCAGGTTCCTCAAATCCCTAAATGATGTCACGCTTCTTCGCGGAAGATACCGAAAAATAAACTCGAAATCTGCCCCAAGTTGAGGCTAGCCGAATATTTGCTAAATTTCCAACGTGTTGGCAACATCGTTCCCTTTTTTCAACGTCAACTCTATCGGAACCCCTGAAAAAATCCGACATTTCTTGGTGATTTTCAACCGAAAAAGACCGAAATTTCTCGATCATTTTCAACCGAAAAACCCTGGTTTTCGGGGTAGAGATGCCTTTACTTCAGAAGGTCGTAGTGACCTCAGTTTGCACTCTAAAAGCTTGTTATTTCGTAGGCAAAAAATAATGTCACTGAAAAATACATATTCCAAAAACGAACTCTCTGCGCCGCCTACGCCGAAAGTTATAGCCTCCTACTTTCCTGCACATTTCTTGAAAGACCCTGTAAATAATAAAAGCTTATCGATGTACCTTTATGTCTTCCCATATAGCAACTTTCTCAACTTGTTCAATGCCTTCTTCTGTTCGCAGTCTATGCACCAGAGAATCTGTGTTGAATCTGTTGTTTATCGCCGAAATCATATCAGTTACTGTCTCGGCAATCTCTTTGTCACTACTTTGTTGATGGCAGTCAAATATAAAGGCCTTTCTTGACTGAAAATAATTAATTTATAACTAAAATACCATGAAATATGACCAACCTGTAAGAGTCTGAAGCCATCTTCTTCTTTTGATTCCGTTCCATTTCCTTTTACAAATGGCCACCCTTCCTGCACATAAGGTCTAACCTGTTCGCTTTCCAGGACCTTCTTTGCAGCGTAAATACCTCCAAGAACAGTGGTGGCAGCAGCAATCTTTCCTCGATGTCTCTTCACGAATCCCCAGATATCGGATATCTCCATTGTCGTTCGTTCGCTGAAATTGATTCAAAATGAATTAAAGTGTGCTTGTAAGAAAAGACTACAAAAACTGTAGACATCCATGTCTTCCTCCCCTCCCCGCCAATGGTTGAACAAAAAAGAAACCCGCGCAGTAATCGAGGTTGGAGCCACAAATAAAACCTTATCTGCTCCTCGTTTATAACGCAGAAAATATCAAAAAACCTGTTCTGTTACATGAATTTATCTAAACACCCTAAAAGTTCAAAAAATCGTTGATAAGCTGACCTTCAAGCGCAATTGAAGAGGAAAGGAACGTTCCTAAAGATTACATAAAGAAAACACTTACAAAATTTGAATCCATTGCACGTCCTGGTGGTGTAATCTTGTATCGTTCTTGTGCGCGATCTGCAGATTAAAAATACCTAGAATCTTTTTTTGCAACTTTTGCCAAGGATCTTTTGCCCGAAAGCCGCAAGCTGCGCCCTCACTTCTATGGAAAAAAAGCGTTAAAATTTATGAAATTCCTAGTCGTTTCGAAAGACAAACGTAATTTTTTGTGGGAATAACGTGATTTCCCCAGTTCCAGAAGGCGTTGCGAATATTTTGTTTGGAATTTCGATATTAATTAGAACAATGGATGCCTCAACGATTGTGGATGAATATGTAGAAGCTTCAGATCTCGAGGTAAGCCTTCCGTTTAGTTGCTTGAAGGTTGTTTACTTAGAGATTTTGTGCGGTAATGGTAAATCCACGTTTCATATACTCATGCATTTTGAAAAATAGTTAGAACAGTGTTGTAATTTTCTAAAATACTGAAGTTTTATATTCACTTTCTTTTTAGAACTTTGCCCGTGCTTATTCCGAACAGTCCGGGCGAGGTCCAGTCAGTGCTATCGTTGCCTTCAACTACGCCCATGCTTTGATCAGATCCTCCAAGGAAAATGTACGAACAGGGATCTTTATTTTGGAAGGTAAGTCTTTTTACTCTGATGCAATTTCTGTGTTTAGGACTTCTCAAGAAAGACATCGAAGATATACCCAAGCGAGACTACGTTTATTATTTGGCTGTGGCTTACACCAGACTGAGGGTAAGCAGTGTAAAATGATGCAATTCGTAACTCTATGTTATTCTTGATTCATCTGAATAATATCTTCTCTCTTAGGAGTACGACAGAGCTTTGGATTACATCAATGCCCTTTTAGCAGCTGAGAGTGACAACAGACAAGCGATTGCCCTAAAAGAGTTGATCAACCAGAGGATGAAGAAGGGTAAGTTGATTTCATTCCAAATTATCATCTATAATATATTAATTCTGTAATGATATTTTTTGTTCAGATTCCCTCGTCGGCCTTGCGTTTATTGGTTTGGGTGGTGTCGCCGCGGTTGGGGCCAGTCTAATTGCCGCGGGAATTCTCTCCCGTCGACATTAAATCATGTAATAATATCCTTAAGAGCCATGTGGGTATCAGTCTAATCAACATGTAGTGTCTCTTTTTGTACAGTGTATTTATTCCGATAATAAATTGCTAAGAAAAACAGAAGTAGTAATAGATTCTTGACCCGGATATGAAAAGTTATAATTCTGAAGTGATCGTATCACTGGGACTTTACTCGTATTGGGGCAGTGGAATTATTTTGAGGGTTAGCCGAGGAATGGATTCCAATTATCCTTCTCATCTCCCGGTTGGACTGGATTGGGAGGAACGGGCGTTTTAAAGGGATCGGAAGAGCCATTGAGATTAGCGACTGGTCGAGATTGAGGGAGGGGTGGAGGTGTCTTTTTGGGTGGGGCGATCGAAGGGAACGGATCGAATGGGGGCTGGAATGAGGATGATTAACAATTCTTGCAAAAATTACGAGATAAATAACTCAAAGCTACAAACAGTTAACGATCAATAAGAACAGTTGTTTGCTACTGGTACTGAGTCTTACCTGGGTTGTCTGCTGATTCTCTGGTTTTAGGAATCCAGTTGTGGCCGATTTCGGGACTCCGGCAGAAAATGCTGAAACAAAATACATTTAAACTTCGTTCCCAATGCAATCTTTTAACCATCGAAATTACAACTCACATTCCCATCCAGACGGTAGGGTGAATCCTTGAGTATCCGAACTGACTGGTTTGTTATCGAATTCAGCGAAACTTGTTGAATGTGAGGTTCCTGAAGTTTGATGATCTCTCGGTTTGGGAGGGGGTATTGATGGCATGGGAAATTGTAATGGTGGGGGAACTGACGTCCCAACAAAAGGGAAAGAAGTAGTTGATTGAAGAGGGGCCTTGGCCACTGGATCCATGAATAATGAAGTCCAATCATCTTCGGGGAGGGTTTTGGGTTGGACTGGTTGAGGTGGAGCGGGGGTTGAGCTGAAGGTGAGATCAAGAAGATCACCGGTTAGAATGTCGATTGGGCCGTTCTGGAAACAAATATTAATTGTCTAACAATTACCCACAATATTATACTAGATAATGTAATATTATTATTAGTCATCGAAATGTATTCTTGTCTTACCGGCTTTGAGGTGTGAAGATTTGGAGGTGCTGATTGATTACTTTTATGGCTCTTAACTGACTGCCCACTCAGACTATTCCTTCGATGAGACTGTTCTGTACATTCCTCCAGTAATCTCTTCTGCATCTCCACATCATTCGGACTCACATACCACCTTCTTGTCTCATATTTCTCCACCAAATGTTTCCTCACTTCTTCATCGACTCTTGGCTCAAACTTTGTTTTACCATCATATAAACCTAGGTAAATGAACGCGTTGACTTTATTGCCGGTCTTCTTGAGCTTCTCAACATCCTCATTCGTGAAGGTTGCCATCGAGATTGACTTGACTCGATGCGGGGGATGAAGACCTCTTCTAAAATCCAATAAAGAATTCCGTCCTTTAACCTACAGAATCCCTGAACAGTGCATGCAGCAGAAACTGCCGTTGGTCACATTCACATAAGTCGGGCCGCGTTGTCCACATTCGAAGCAATATTTGTTTTCTTCCTGATGAAGGAGTTGTCTGGAAACGATTTTTGTATTTCCGAGTCTCAATTCCAACTAATACCACCACACATATTGGACATAACCGTCAGTGTTTCTGTTTTAATTTCGACGCTTCTGGTCTTTCCATCCTTATCATTTCTTACTCCAAGCTTCGCTTTTTTACTCACCTGATCTCCTGAGCATTACTTTCCTCTTGTTTCTTTCGCTGCGCCGTGACCGAGGATTGCTGGGATCTCATCTTTTCCACTCCAGATTCCTCGATTAAATCTCCATAAAATCAGAATTAGCCTCTGCAACAGTAATATCGTGGACTGTTTTGCTTTAAAGCAAACAAAGAACCCGCGATTTATGTCCGGAAAAAGATAAATACGGATGGGTAGGGGAGCGAGGGACAAGGGTCACGCGTTCCGAATTTAAATATACACCTCACGCAGGTAATGGGTGCGCAAAAATGAGAGGTGGATGGAGTCAATGCCAGAGAAAAATAAAGACGCGATTGAACAAGTCGTATATTACGTAATAGTTGTACAATCATTTGTATTCGCGTCGAACATTGGATCTAGTTGGGAACAATAGAATCCGAGACCCCCCTACTGATCGCTACTTTTTCCACTTTTACTAACTTTTACTCGATAATGCCCCCACGCTAATCCCTCAGGAATCAAACAGATCAGTCTGATTCCATTTTAATACCGGGATTAGCCCTTCCCATATTATTCGATTATCAGTTGGACTCCTGCGTTCCCTTCCATACCCCGCCTACATCTCCGAATTCACTTCAAAAAGTCTTAAGAACTGTGGCATTCAGAAAAAAAGTGGGAACTCTTCGATCGGAAGGGACAAAAGAAACCAAAAATAAGACCTTTTCACTGTTTGAGGCGCTCTCCGCATTCCGTGCGCTCTCTCCGCTCGGACGAATTCAGAGCCTCATTTCGGCCGCTTTTCACTGCAAAATCCCGATGGAAGTTAGCCAATGGCCCATCTGAAGCGGTCCTAAGGCGCGGTTTCACGCAATTCCATTCCGGATCTTTGGTTCCTCGTTTTGATTCTTCCGCCGTTTTTCGTGACGAAAGAAAGGCGCTTTATTCTCTTTAAAGTGCGGCCGAGATTTATTCAGAAATTATTATTTGGCTTATTTTCCATTCAGACCGGACTCGATGCCCTCCGGGCCTCCAAAAAATAATCCGATTCTAGGGCCATAAGCGAGATTTCAGCGAGATTCCAGCCAATCAAACCATTAATTTTTCCTAGAACCCCCCGCCAGAAAACGAACGAATAAAAGCGCTGTAATCAAAGGCCCGGAAGTCCCTGGACCAGATAAGGCGTATGAGGGGCTTTGATTCTGACGGGCCGGATGCATTCCATGAAGCGCCGGAGGGGATGAACAGAGCTTTCTGGTACCCCAGTCAGTCAATTCCCTCGAGCTTCTTTTCCGAACTTGCACGCAGAGAATGGCCGCATCTCTCGGCCATAAATCCCGGATGAGGGATGTTTTGGGGACAGGACTTGCCTTCCAAGGTGCTATTAAAACAATGTTTTTGTTTTTAGTGCGTCTCCAATTAATTTCTGGCTTTATAAAAAGTCTTTTTCGAGTTTTGTTGTAATTCTCAGCTTATTACAGTAAAAACGATAGCTGCATTTTTCTTCAACAAGGTCTCATCTCTTATCGTCCATCCAAAAACTGTCTGGCTCATTCTTGCTCTCAAATCACGTTTTATTACTCTTCCCATCTAAAGCAAACATCATATATAATATAATAGATGGTTTATGTGCCACTGTCTCCCATCCTGAGATCATTCCAAACATAATCCGTCCAATTACCTTAAATTTTTTCTCAGTTTACATCCAAAGCCCACACAAATTTTGTTCAAAGTCAACCTAATGTAACAGTAATGGGGGTATGAATTTGATACTTAGGCGCCAAAAACCTATTCCGTCGCCTTCCGAAACGACTTTTTGGGCTCCCCATTCCTATTTCGAGGGCTTTTGTTGAAATACATAATATTTAAGTTCAGTCAACCGTTCTTTCCTACTTTTTAAGGCCTCTTAGTGTGATGAGTATTTATTTATTTTACTTCTTTCAGTGTCTTAGTCAGAATCTGAAGTTGGGGTCAAAACCAATGATAGATCATCACGAATGTCTAGTTACCGTAACATCTGTTTTGTCGCTGATGAAATATTGAAAATGATCAGACGGAGTTCCACGGATGTGTAATGTATCTCTGAACCGGGCATCGTCCCTATGACGAAGATTAGAGCCAATTTTGGTCGCCACTCTCAATGTTTGTCCCTACTTTACATATACTTTTCCACTCTGGAATCTTCGAGTAAAAACAATCCTAGCCGTTCATCCATCATCCCGCTCACTTATCGTATATGTTTGTGCTTTTTATGAATTCTTGCAGATGCCTTCGTCAAACGACAATTAAGTCTGGTGGGTAGTGAGTAAACGAGCGGACCGGCTACTTTCTGATTGTGGAAACAGCACAAAAGGGAAGACAAGGCTCCGCTCTCCATTTGCGCGGCATGTCAGCCATTGCGTGTCTGAGGGAGGACGGCAAGGACAAAGTAAGTGGGTTACTACTTTGCGAGTTATTGCGCCTCGCTTTGTGACTCCGGCCCAAATTTTGCGCGCTCAAGGTTTACAAGCCCTCAGGGGTTAGTTGGGGTTTGGCCGAGGATTATCTTCTCCCTGCCCTCTTATTACCGAAATTGGTCGCCTAATTAAACGCGCACATGGCGGTTAATTATTTTACTCGGGTTCGTTTCCAGGCGAACCCGTTAACATAGCATCTGTCAACCTAGCTACGAGGTCTTAGTGCACCCGTCCAACTCAATTCGCTTTGATTTCCGGCTAAGGGAACGTCGGAATGGAAGGTTGGCATTCTTGCTCTTCTAATCCCCCGTTACGCAGTCTCTGGGGATCCCCTCAGGCATGAAACATGTTGTTTGTGACTTCATGCGAGAACCTTCTCACAATCCTCTCATTATATTCTAGACTTTAAATCGCATCATAGGTAATGTAATGAGAAAAGTAATTTCCGGATACAAAAGTTTGTAATAGTTATAATTAAATTTTCCATTCATTAATCAACGTGAATTTACATTCATTGCGCAACAGAAGTCATCATCCGATTTCTTAATGGCCTCTTTTTTACATTACATCAAGATGGCATTACACTTTTTTTCTGTTTTCTTATACGAATTGAAATTCAGGAATATGTTCCGGATCTAAATTACAATTCAAGGGGTCATTCCCCCTCGAAGTTAGGTCACTCCGAACTCCCTTCTTTCCCTCCGAGCTCTCAAAAATTCCTTCGACCCCGTTTAACCCCGTGAAATCCTCCACAAAATTAATAAAAATTATATTCTTTCTGTCGAAACAACTATCCTATCTAACAGGTTCATAGTTAGAAATTTGTCCTGCTACTATTAACCTTTAGTGTCCCATATGACGACAGCTCATTAACCTTGCAATTAAAGTAATGGCCGACCAAAGACCGCGGCCCTTGTGAATATTCACACCAACTCCCCTTCCCGACCTCCTCTTATTATTCTGTTTTCGTAAAATGCTTACTATAACAGCTCTGTTCACTATCCCACAAAGAGAAATTAATCCGAATTTACCTTACAGATGGCCAACACACAACAAGTGCCCTCGCCGGCGATTCTGAGACTTCATTCCACATTAAAAGTAAGTCCAATTTCTGTTGCCCAGCACCCCAAAAAATGAATTCTCTCCCGATTTGGGAGTCTAAAAACGCTATGATGAATCAGAAGTTCCCATCTCGACGTTCGGCTCCTCTCTTACAAAGCGTCTCGACTTCGAGATTCACAGTAATCTAGGAAAAGCGTCATGGTGACTCGTTTTTTTTGTTTACCCTCCGCACTCCCAAACATGGAGCGACCGTTTTATGCCTAGCTTATGAAGAAACGCACTCTTACGCGTTTTTATATACAGGCTTGAGAGTTTCTCATGACGTCATGACGGGTTTTATGAACGTGTGAAAATATTTTATAAAATTTTCGCGAGAATATTTTATTCTTGAAGTTATTCTTACCTCGTAGGGCCGTTTGCTGCCAAAATGTTCAAAATTACGAGCCAGAATCGATTGGAAGATGAGGACAAGCCGTTTGACTATCTCAGGGTAAAGAAAAAATATTATCTTAATTATTCAATACCTAAATTTATGTTTTTTAGTGTTTGTCCAAATGCCATGTAGTTATCAGTCTGATTACCTTCACTCTGGCTGGCCTTGCCGATTATGTCTCTTACCGAGTAAACACCTTGCGGATGCATGGTCTGATTGAATGTTGCGCCTTCTATTGCATTGTGATGGGGTAAGTTAATATTTTGACTTTTATCTCTGTTTAGAATGATCGGAATCTTTGGAAGTGCTAGTCATCGACGAGCTTTGATAATTGCTTTTATGATTATGGGTATCCACGCAATTTTAGTCTTCGTTCCGGCTACAATCATTGTCGCTTCTTTCGATATTCACTTTTACAACGTAAGTTATGCGTTTTACATCTACTTTTCTGCAATTTTAGAGAGAGTGCTATGGTGAATGTGATTGGCACTTGTTGTCGGCGAGTTTGCCACAGGACAGTCGGTGTCAAATACTATGTGGCTCCAATATTGACGACAACAGGAGAAGGTAGGAACGGATTAGAAATTGATCATTCTTTGGCCGGGAATGAATATGAAGATCACTAAATATGCTTTTTTAGTTCAATGAGTCGTTTGGGAACCGACTACCGCCTGGATGCTGGTATCATTTCCTTAGCCTGTCTACAACTAATTCTATCAGTGGTCACAACGGTTCTCTGCATAAAACAAGTATTCGGACTCTGTTCCCTCAACAAAGCCCATAATTCGGTACGTTATTTGACCACAGACAGCTAGGTATTTCAAAGCGAAAGTTTAAAGCGTTTCTTAAGATTTCACAACATTTGTTTTGAAGAATTTATGGATAAAGACTAGGTTTCAATGTAAAGTTATATTGTTTTAGGCGTCAGCACTTGAACTACAACTACTACATGAAAAATGAAGTGCCCCACGTTCCCATTGTTAATTGTGTTGTACAATAATTTGATTTGATGTTTTTATCGCTTTGGTGCAATGTAAAGTGACTTTGAGATTTGTTACAGTCTCCCTCTTTCTTCTCTTTTCTACTACAAATAACGGGTCTTTTTATCTTCTCAATTTTCGTTTATGCAATTTAATCAACGTAATAAAGTAGAACATTCACAAAAAAGATGGCTGCATAAATAAATGAGCTTGCTTAGGAGAACAACAGTAAGTGTTTGATATTACGTAATACTATATATGTACAGATAAGAGAAGGGAATATAGAGAATAAGGTAGGGTAACATACGATAAGCGTAGGTACTATTGGGGTAACGGAAGGCAACGATAGGGGATATACGAAGAGACAGACAACGTATTGCGTAGAGGATACGATATTACCAGCCGTCCGTAAAGTTCCGGAGTGACTTTGGCACTGTGAGAAACCAAAGCTTCACTTTGAACTGTGTAATTTATTGCATTTTACGCAGTGCAAACCCGCGACTTTCCGGACAGACTAGTAGAGAAGGCATTTTTATCAGAGATTACGGTAGATTCGGACACCCATTTACAGAGGATATGTTTAGCATACCAGAGCAGGAACATAACATAAACGTTGACAGGATATACTCTTATGACATCGAGACATGAGATTTAGACAATAATTTAGAGAACTAATCGCAGGACCAAGTCAGCTCAGCAGAGTCCGCATGTCTTGGCGCATTTGTCTCGCTTTTCTTCCTCGGTGTAATCGTCTGACTCACAATATCCGTTCGCGGCCCATCCTTTGCAGCTAAAAATAGGGGTGATCGTTAATTTAGATGAGTTTTGCGTGCGATTCGCATTGCTTTTGAGCCCCTCATGGGGTCAAGAAACGCAAACAAATGAAGTTAAAGGTTGAACTGGATAATGAGTCAGACCAAGCAATTCAACCAGGAATTTTAGAGGCTATCTTAAGTTAACATCATCATCTTCATGATTGTTTAATGCCTTTTAGGGTGAAATCGAAGGTAATGTACTTACAATGGATGCGTGTCCCTGCATTCTCGTTGCAAAGCTCTGCTGGCACCTCCACTTGCACCACTGGAACTCTTCTTACTTGACCCTCCAGTACTGCCTCCAGGCACTTTGCAGAACCCGCAGGTCTTTGCACAGTTCTTTTTCATCATCTCTCTGTAGCTGGGGTGATGACAGAACTTCTTATTCCGGGCGCAGTTCTTCATCAGATCGACGCATTCCTTTCCGGATCCCGTTCCAGCTGAGCCCGAGCCTGATCCTGCAGAAAAGCGCGTTTCAATTTGAAAGTTTTTTTTTTCAAATTGAGAAGAAAATATTACCTTGAGTTTTCCTGGTGGGTGCCGGCGCTTCTTCCTCCTCTTCTTCCTCGGGCTCCTCTTCTGGTTCCTCTTCTTCCTCATCAGTCTTACATTTACCGCAGGTCCGAGCACATTGATGTTCCATGAAGACGGCATACAACTCATTCGTACACAAGGATTTCATCGATTCACAGTCGTGAATCTGATCGCGGCATCGCTTGGTCAAGCAGAGACCACAAGTGGCGGGGCAGAACTTGATCATCATCGTGGAGAATTCGGGCATGCCACATTTTTCGACGTTCTGCTCGCAGTTTACAATACCACCTAAATTTTATTATACCATAGTCATAAATTTTTGGTATTTGAAAACAAAAATTGGCAAAAAAAACTGACTGTCATCATTCTGACATGAGTAGGTCTCATCTTCGCAACAGATGGCGCAGCTATGACGACATTGATCGGCCAGATCTTTGAGCAGTGGATTGTCACATTTGGGGTCTCTGCCCGCAGGGGAATTACTCCAGGGCACTGAGAAGATCATCTTGCAGGATTCTGGTTCCCTCTCATCAGCACAAGCTGTGGCATTCGAATACAACCTCAAGTTGTCATCAGTGCATCGTACTCGTAGCCGAGAGTTGAGGCCGGAGAGAGAGTGCTTCTCCAACAATAACTCCGATGATCCATCTTGTGATAGGACGCAGGGAGCAAAGAGCAGAAGATTCAAAACAAAATAGGCTACTGGAGGCATCGTGGGTTGAGGTGGAATCCGGGTTTTGGAGTGTAGAGTTGATAGCGGAATGTTGGAAAGGGAGAATACCCACGAATTGGATCAGTGGAAGAACCTTGGAACACCAGAACAATCAGTATCAATGATCGGATAGATGAATACAACAGCGCGTTAACACCAACGCATACAATGTCCTCAATGAGAGAGGAGCTCGGTATGTTCAAATAATGACCGCTTCAAACAAAATTGGACGATGCGCTTAAACCGCCCCTGAAACGCGCACAAGCCCCGCGGGGATATTTTTAGCCGACGAAAAGGCGGAGGTTAAAGTTAAATAGGCCGGCCGCTAAGGACCTCCAGTCGGCCCCACCCGTTTAAGTTCATGGCCATGATCGTGTGGCCACTCTAAGATTTGTTTGACCAGACTTAATCCCCTCAGGGTCTCCACTTTTTGCTGTTAAACCAGGTTCCAAACTTTCGTATGTAGAGAACTTGATGAACACCGCTGTTTGAACAAAGAAGCTTGGGTTACAGCCTTCTCGAGCGACCAGGATCTGAACTCGAAGAGGGGGAGGTGAGGAAGGAAACATACACCACTTCCGCCTAATCACTTTTATCACACATTCAGAGGGATATGGTAGATACAAACAGCAGATCAACGAATCCGAAGAAACGATTCATCTATAAAAGGAAACAGGCTTCGACAAGCCTGACAAAAATTGCATTTTCAAGCCCAGAAATCACTAGGAAAGTATTGATGTGTTTAGAAAATCAATTTATTTATCAAAAATATACAGACTACTTGAATAAGTTAATGTTTCGTATCTTAGAAGCTCTCGGCCACTCTGTTCCTGGACCGATCCATCACATCCATTGGCTTCAACTCCATGAATCTCTTGACTGAACGGGGATTACGGATTTTGCGGTCTTTGAAAACTGGAATAGGATGACGTCATCATATAATAATTAAAATAAGATACCTCTGTATTTCTGCCCCGTCTTTGGGTATTTGGATCTGAATCGTTGGACTCTGAGCTCTCCAGTCGGGGTGTATAGCATCAAATTGGGCTTCTTTTGGACCTTCAGTTCATCCTTGGCCACAACCAATGAGACAAACATAAGGGAAAGGAGGAAGAATACAGTAACCAAGTTGGTCATCACGTGAGACAAGGGAGAATATTCAAGCCAATGTCCGACCCGAATGACCGAAAATAACCTCCAAACCCTTGCAAATAGAATTCAGAAGACTTTTAACTCCTTCAGTCTCGATGCGCAAACAATAAGAGATTATTGTAAGTGCTGGTCACTCGCTCGAGGGATTCCAAGGCCATTTGAATAGGAGAAGGGCTGCGTGAAGGTAAAACAAATCTTGAACTTGGAAGAAAAGAAGACGAATAAGAACCATTAATATTTTGCTCTGGAAGCACCGTATGCTTAGGATGGTTTCTTTTATATTGAATCATGGACAATGTTATTACATATTGCTTGTTTATGTGAACGTCCGCAACAATGTATAATAGCACAATAACCTGTTCAGTCTATCAAAAACATGTCCCATTCTCTCTTATAAGAGCCGATTTTGGCCGAAAACTTCTCGACGTAACACCCTTTCCGTTCGGCCGCAAGGAATTTATCCAAACGCTCCAAGATCAGTAGATGGAAATTGTGGATTTCTTCGACCGGGAGGGAGGAGATCGCGTCCCTGCAAGAAAGATGACATCACACATACGCTTAATCTTCCACAAAGGTATAATCGAAAGCTATTATGTCTTACCTTGTCATCCAAAGAGCCGCCGCCGTCTCCCGTTCACATGGTACAATATCAATTTTCTCCTCATCTTCTGGTCTCATAACACAAAGGAAGTAGATGTCGCCGGACTTGGGATAGAATCCACCACTCGAAATGTGTCTGTAAAAGAAGTTGGGGTGTCGAATTGGACTACAGTATACCTGAATGTCAGCACATTACTGAATTTGGCTTTAACTCCGGTTTCTTCAAAGACTTCCCTCTCAACGGCTGCGGGGATACTCTCGTTGGGATCAGCCATACCTCCGGGGAATTTCCAGCCAAGATACGACCCTCGTTTCTCTTTCATCAACAAAATTTCACCTTTCTTATTGATCACCACACCACCCACACCGAGGGTTGTGAAGGGATATCTAAAATCATGTTTTAAAGCTATTTTATTGCGTTGCTTGCTGTATACACTTCAGCCAGAAGCCTTTCAGAATTCATACATAAGTCATCACAACCTACAAACAGTAAATAGAAATTCTTACAAAGGGAGCGTGTTCGGCTTGTCCTCCGGTAGCCATTTAGTCATCGTACATTTGTCATCACGCGCGTGATGGAAGGTAAACCCATGATCAGCCAAGATGGTGATCCAATATCCATGCTAAACCCATTCTGATTACTATTTATTACCCGATTTACCTTCAAATCCACATCAAACCAGACGCCGTTAAAGCTTTGTCCTTTGAAGAATTCCAAAGAAGCCTCGAGCCACTTGGTCGCTTCTTCCGGAGTCGGATTAACATTATTAAAATCCTTTTCGAAGCTGATGCTCGACTTTATAGTCACACCATGGAACACATCCTTAGTAAAAGTGAGCACATAATCAGTCATCCCGCCCAATCACTCGAACCACCAGCCAAAGACTTTTGTCTCAAGACCGTCGATGTTTCTGTTCATTCGACGCTCTTACGCGTATATTTTGGTGTTTGTGCTTCCACGCATAAAAATCTCCAGTTTTATTTTTTAAAATTGCAAATTCTTTCTTTAAACCTGATAATACTAGACAATCGCAGACCGCGCCCGAGGCTATGAGTAATAGTTTCATATGATTTCATTTTCAATCAAGACGCTGACGCTACATGGTTATAGAATCAAGGTACATCCCGTCTTTCTGTTTACCCTTCATAAAAACCAAAAAAATCATTCGGGAACTATCCGTCTTTTCTGACGTTCAGTTCTCATATAAAGCAAGATAAATAAAGTGGGCGTGGCGTGATTAATTTCTGTGAAAGACTTGCAAAATGCTCATATGCGACTTTCCACCAATTACCGTCATTGGACTCGCCATTTCTACTGTTCGTCAACTATTATCGTATAACGGCACAGTAAGGGCGCAGCTCGCAAGAAAAGAGGTCGAACGTCTTGATGTCCGTCATTCCTCGTTCGCGCCCAGACTTTTGGTTGATGGCACAAGTTCTTTTCTCTGTCCGAACGGCTCCTTATTTTTTTACACGTCCATTTTTCAAGTCGACTGATCAGGTCCTGGCGTCCTTAGCTTTCTTCGCAAGACCGGTTTGAAGAAAAGCCACGGGATCTGGATGATGACCGTGAAATTCGTGGCTGATATTATATATTTTTTATTTTCTGGTAATCTCGTTCGTTTCTAGTGCACCATGGCTCCAGCTGTCCCACAAACCCAGAAGACCGATCGTGTCGACGAAGAGCGAGGAATCCGTGCCGTTCTTCTGGGTCCTCCTGGATCGGGAAAAGGAACTCAGGTATGTTAATATTCTTGTTCTCTTATTCATTTTTAGGCTCCTAGACTCGCCGAGAAATTCAAGGCTTGCCATTTAGCGACTGGTAAGTCCTACCTTTAAATTTATGATTTGCCATGTCTTTGAAAGGGCTGTAAAATATTGCTAGTCAGTAAATTTGTGAACATTATTTTTGAATGGTTTTTAAAATGTTGTCTTTTCAACACCGAGTTCTTCGCTCAAGGGGCAACTTCTATTAAAGTCAAGTCATGTTTTGTGATTTGCCGGTCTTTCATAATTTGATGTTCTGTGATAAATTATATGTTAAATTATTCCAGGAGACTTGTTGAGAGCCGAAATTGCGTCTGGTAGTGAGCTTGGCAGGTCGATCAAGGCGACTGTCGATGGAGGGAAGCTCGTCTCCGACGACACCGTGGTCGAGTTGGTGAATGTCAACTTGAACAAGCCCGAATGCCGGCTTGGTTTTATCTTGGATGGTTTCCCGAGGACAGTGCCTCAGGCTGAGAAGCTAGATCAACTTTTGGAGAAGAGGAAAACGCCGTTGGATTCTGTGGTGGAGTTCAATATTAAAGATGACCTTCTGGTCAAACGAATTACCGGCCGATTGTTCCATTTAGCCAGTGGAAGGTCATATCATACCGAATTCAACCCTCCCAAGAAGGAGATGACCGATGACGTCACTGGTGAACCGCTGGTGAAACGCGCAGATGACAATGAGGCCACGCTGAGGAAACGTTTGAATGCCTATCACGATCAAGTAAGTCAATTCATATTTTTTGCATTTGGGGCAGCGACTAAATAAATTTTTCTCTTTCAGACCTCCCCATTGGTAGATTACTACACCAAGAGAGGCATTCACAACCGTGTCGATGCTTCCCTTACCATGAAGGAGGTTTCAGCCCGCATCGACTCCATCTTTAGCAAGTGCATCGTCAAAAAACGAACAGCCTAGAGCAGCAACAGGAGTAGGAAAACTAGCGATTGTTACTTTGACATTCCTATTATGGGTTATTTACGTTGATTTTGATTATAAAGATATCTGTTTGTTTTTGAAATGTCCATGAACACGGTCTTAATTACCTATTGATATTGGAAAACACCCTTGTGTTTAAAATATTATAAATTTAGATGACTGACGTTAATAGAACTTGGCAAACCCTGGAAGGGGGTCTGGAGCAAATCTATGACCACACGTCCAAAGTTCTTGTACAACGTTATATGGGTCTTTATACGTGAGTTCACTTTTATTTTTTAATGATGTTTAGGTTAGGAGACCGTTGACGAGTTAAAATAGGATTTTGAATTATTTCAGAGAAGTATTTAACTTTTGCACACGCCACTCTTACGATGAGAACGAAGTCTCTAACAGATCTCAAGTTTCCCGAGAACAGAAGGGAGCCGACTTTATTGGAGCCGAACTCTACGAGAAACTCCGGGTGTTTGTGACTGCTCATGTGAAAGAACAACTCAAGGTGTTGGATGGTCTGCATGGGGAGGATCTGCTCACCAAATACACCGAGTTGTGGACTCGTTTCCAATTCTCATCCACAGTCGTCAATGGAATCTTTTCATATTTGAATCGACATTGGATCAAACGGGAGATGGACGAGGGCAAGAACTCGGTCGTCGAAGTGTATAATGTAAGTATAATCTATCTTGATACCTTTTGTCATGTAGATGTGGTAGAATTTTCTGATTTTAGCTAACCGTGCTGATGTGGCAGCAGCATTTATTCGAACCTCTCAAACGAAATCTAACCCCAGCCTTGATCAATCTCATCAAACAAGAAAGAGATGGAGAGAAGATCACAACTCAGCTGGTTAGCGGTGTTATCAGCTCATACCTCGAACTCGGAGTCAACGAACCCCAGGATTTTGCGGTCAACAATTTGAACGTCAACCAGAAGAACAAGGAATACAAGTTGGGAGTCTACAGAAGAGAGTTCGAAGCGCCTTTCATCGAGCACACCAGGGCGTATTATTCGGCGGAGTCAGCTGAATTCGTCCAAAATAATTCGATCACCGAATACCTAAAGAAAGTGGAGACCAGATTGAATGAAGAGAAGGATCGGTGTGTTCTCTACCTCCATGAATTAAGTTTGGAGCCCCTTCTGAAGACATGTCATCTAGTTCTTATCAAGAATCATCTGCCCGCCTTCAATGTGGAATTTGAACAGTTGCTAAACAACGACAAGGATGATGATATGGCCAGAATGTTCGCCCTCTGCGAGCATGTGGAATGTGCTTTGGACGATCTCAGAAAACTCTTGGAGAAGCATGTTGAGCGGGTCGGAAGGGAAACGATCGCACAGTGCGCCAGCACCGCCATCCAAGACCCCAAGGCATATGTGAATGTGATCCTGGGAGTGCATAAAAAGTATGACGATCTGGTCACAAAGAGCTTCAGAAGTGATACTGGCTTCGTTCAGTCCATGGACAAGGCCTTTACGTCCTTCATCAACAAGAATAAGATCACTGAGTTAGCGAAAACTCCCGCAAAATCCCCGGAGTTGCTCGCCAAATGCTGTGATATGTTGTTGAGGAAGAGCGCTAAGAACCCGGAAGATAGAGAACTTGAGGAATTCTTGACTCAGGTGGTAAGTAGTACATCTGGGTTGGTTTTTTTACGGAGTCAAGGTTAATGTTGGTGTTCTTTCAGATGGTCGTGTTCAAATATATTGATGACAAGGATGTATTCCAGAAGTTTTACTCTAAATTCCTGGCCAAGCGTTTAGTGAATGAGATGTCTTCATCCGAAGAAGCGGAGTCCAGCATGATCACTAAACTCAAGCAGATGTGTGGGTTCGAGTACACCTCCAAACTCCAGAGAATGTTTACGGACGCCACTCTTTCGAAGGAAATCTCGGATGAATTCAAGAAACATATTCAGGATTCTGGGACCAAGACTGTAGACATGGGAATTATGATTTTGGCATCAGGGGTGTGGCCCTTCAGCAAACCCGCCATCTTTGACCTCCCTCCATCGCTAAATGATTCCATCGATAAACTGACCAAGTTCTACACGTTGCGCCACAATGGACGCCGACTGACCTTCCTCCTCCAGATGTGCCGAGGAGAGGTGATGAGCTACTCCCTTCCCAAACGATACTCATTCATCACCTCCGCCGCGCAGATCTCCATTTTGATGCAATTTAACAACAAGTTGTCCTTCACCATCCATGAGCTGGCCGAGAACCTCAAAATGCAGAAGGATATCCTGGTCCCTTCTGTCCAATCTTGTGTTAAAGGGGAACTTTTCAAAGTGAATGGCGATATTGAACAAGATACAACTACGGTGACTCTAAATGAACAATTCAGTAACAGAAAAATGAAGGTGGATCTTTCTAAGACGGTTATGAAAGCGGATACCAAAAAAGAAAGCGATGAAGTACAACAATCGGTGGAGGAGGACAGGAAAATGGTGGTTCAGGTACGTGAATGTTTACGCTTATATTATCTTTGACATTGATATAAAAATCGTTCGAAAATTTTATCATAAATTTTTAGGCCTGTATTGTCCGCATCATGAAGACCCGAAAGGCCTTGAAACACAACCTCCTAATCAGTGAAGTCCTCGGTCAACTCTCTTCCCGTTTCACCCCCAAAATCCCGATGATCAAGAAGTGCATTGACATGCTAATCGAAAAAGAATATTTGAAACGCGCGGATGCCGAGATGGACACCTACGAGTACCTGGCTTGAGAAAAAACCCAAAGCCGAGATGTATATTGATATATCGTCCTCTTTTTCATTGTCCTTACGCTATAATGCTTAAAAAACTGACCAAAACTCGTCCTTGTCTAATTTCTTTTGATAACACAAACTGGGTGTGATCTTTTTTGAAAGATTCGGAGAATTTTGTGGATGTCTTTCAGGACGGCTTGAGGATTCTTGTTTTTCTGCCCGGATGATTAGACTTTATAAACGCATTGATAAGTCGCCGTCAGTCATGGGGGTATCGTCAATCATCCTCAAGATTCTGATCCTTCTGAACTTCAAATTGGTTCGAATATCCCTCATGAAAACGAACTTAGAGAAGATTGCACCTAGTATAGTATAATGTCCTCCTCCGACTGCATTAAACGTATTCAGATCGCCCGGTATCTTCTGATGGGTATCTCTTTGCATGTCCTCGTCGTCCATGAGCACGTCGCTCGATTTTCTTCGGGTCTCATGTCCATAAACTATATTTATTCGCATTCAAATTACTCGAATCGAAGTCTGTTTTCGCCCTCTCAACTTGAAAGTGTTCATCCGGGTTCGGCCTAACTATTTTCGAATCCAAAATATTTTGATCTGAATTTTATTATAATAAATAATAAAAAAAGTGAGACTCAAGACATCTGCAGAATAGCAATCGGCTCATAAGAGTTGTAAGTGGGCCATGAATTTAGATTTATAGCCGATGGAATGGAGAGAAAGAAGGCTAAGCGACCAGTTCAATTTCAACAAGTAAGAGAAACGGGACAAGGATATAACACATGAATTTTGACAAAATTAAATATAGTAAAATACTCTCCAATCAGCGAGACTCTGAGAAGATGATTTATCTCCGCTCAAAAATTAAAAATCGAATCCTAAAAAGTAATGTATATTAGGGACATCGAAATAGATCTGATGGATGAAAGGAGGAGATGATGGACGAGACTATGGCCTGTTCTTGGGGCAGCCGTCTTCCCCTTCTTGTGATCATCATTTCTCTTTTATTATTGCTTCCGGCCAAAGGCGGGGCCTCGGGGGTGATAATATTGGGACAAGAAGGGATGGATATCAAGTATAATTGATCCGGACAATCAATAGTTGCTTTATAAATTCTCGGCAAGGTGTTGGGGGATATGAAGGATGGGGGTTTGGGATAAGAGATTTTGATGATTACATAATATTTCGTTTTTAGAGTTATGACATGACACAGTAAGACGATTGATGAATTTCAAATAAAATATTTCAGTCAAAGATTGGGACCAAACGTTTGGCCGAACGCCTGGATCTGGGCGCGGCCCTCAGGGCCGAGGCTGATATGGCCAAGCTAGAGAGGAGCCCTATGGCCATCAGATGTTGTTACCTCTTCATTGCGGTCGGCGTGTTCGTCTTTTCCATTTTGGTTACAGTCGCTTTCTTTGCTTTTAGTGGACAGTGTCCTGGGGTATGACCTACTGTAACTTTTATGGAATTATCAAGCCAATTTTTATATTGATCCATTCCCATTTAGGGAAAGATCCCATCCCTCTACACATACCATCAAGCCTTTGATAAATTCACCGAAAAGTTGGAACAGAGGACGCGACCGAGGAATTTGTCGGCCGAAGAAGAATCGGAACGGTTGGTGAGGCGATTAAACGAATGGCCAAGGAAACGATGGATGGCCAGATTCAATCCAGATGCCGTCGGGTAATTATAGAAACTAAGAGACATCCCTTAGAGCTGTAGGCAATGAAATGAGACTTGTAAAACGGGCAATTTACATGCATCAGATAATCAATTTATATTAAGGATTTGATGGGCTCTCAAAAAGAGTAATTGCTTTTCAACTTTTAGAATGGCCGAACAAAAGAGGCTGTCTGATCGGATGACTGAAGGGAATAACATCACAACTGACTTGTACATGGTCATGACTGACATGTTGAACACGGTCCGACTGAATGGAGTGGGTCTTTTGAGATTATCTGAGCAAAAAAAATATTACATAATAATGCGTAATTATTGCAAATCTACAGATCTTCCATCAAAAATACAGTAAACATCTGGGTCGGTTAGCCAGAGTGATCGCTGATGGATTGCCAGTCGAATTTGATGCCCGAAATAAATGGCCGGAGTGTCAGATTGGACGGATTTATGATCAAGGAGGATGCGGATCTTGTTGGGTAATTGATAACGAGTACTGTAAGGCATCTTAATCTGCATTGCAGGCAGTGTCAGCCTCTTCAGTAATGTCTGATCGCATTTGCATTCGGACGAGCGGAAAGCGAATACGACTATCGGCTCAGAAATTAATCGAGTGCTGCAGTTACTGTGGAGGGTAAGCGATCAAGATGGCAGACTTGTCTTTTATTCCCAACCAAGCTCTCAAACTCCAATTTTAAAGACCATTAAGACATAGATTTTAGTTGCAATGGAAGTGTAGAGCCTCTGATGCCCTTCTATTACTGGTATGAATCGGGAATGGTAACCGAAGAGTGTTATCCTTATTCGGTGTCTCGAGATTGTGGATATCCCTGTAAATTGGAGACTTATTTCAAACCTCGAGGTGTCCACCAATGCTCCACGACATGTCAAAATGGTCGAACGGAACGTCGAAGACATGCCGAATATGTGTATCGGATAGGGACTGTAAACGGTACTAATCGGTCCATCATGAATTCCCTCTCGGCCACGTACGAACATCTGGCCGCAAAAAATGGATGGCCTCGACAAGTCGATGATTTAATGCTGGCCAAGGCCGATCTCATCGAATTTGGCCCGTTTACCGTGTGTTTCCATGTCTACGAGGGGTTCTTGCATTATTATGAAGGGGTTTATAAGAGAGTGTCAGAATTGGAGAAGCTTCACGTATACGATCACTGTGTGAAGACTATTGGTTGGGGGAAGGAGAACGGGACCGAATACTTCATTGCTGTAAATAGTTGGTCAGACAAGTGGGGAAAGGACGGTCAGTTTACCACGCACAAAATAAATTTATTCCAGAAAGTTGTTGTATGGAGTTTGCTTTTGATTTATTTTGACTTATTTTTAATTTTAACGCTTATCAATAGCATGACATCTATTTAAATTAACCTAAATTTTCTGTAATTCCTTGTTATCTCGACACGCCAAGAAAACGTTGAGATTTCTGATAAGATGGTCATTGACTTTCTTATCGGACAAATTATGTTTTATGACATAAACAACCCTATCTGGATTGTAATAACCTTTATTGTAAACACTTTTCAAGCCGCAAAACTTTTATATAAACCATGCAAATTAAAGCATAACTTCTTTTCAGGTACCTTCAAGATTGATCTGTCAATGTTGATGGAAAGCCGAGGCGACATGTATTCGGCGATGGCAGACTTAAACTACTGATCTCAGATATTCCAAATTATTTTTTGAGCTTTTGTTATATTGCACTTATTGTTAGAAATCTTTTATTTTGACAGTAAAACAAGGAACAAGTAATGTAATACATATTTGGTAAGAACGGCGGTTCGATAACTCTGTCATAATAATAAATACCCGAGGTCTTGCGTTGTATATGTTGTTATGTGTGTGAGGAGATGTCATCGTATGTTGGACGGAGGATACGATGGCTATAGATTACTATTTGAGCAGGTCATTCATGAAGGAATCCCATTCTGGCATCAGGCCAAAGTCCGGGATCATGTCAGCCAACTCTTGGAGGTTCTGAGTATGCTTCTGAAATTATATTAACCATGATGAGGGACCGCATAATTGAAGGGTAAAATATGATGACAAAAGTCTCGTTTATACTCACAGCTAATGGCTGAAGTAAAAGAAGGACGTTTCCGAGCCTCGTCTTCACTTCGGGCACCTTATTCTCGTCAAACCAGTTATGTAATTCTTTGATTGATCTCTCCGAAGCTTTTTGAATAATTCCCACGGTTTCGGGTGATAATCCAACTGAGCCGGGATTCCAAAAAATTATCAGCCGCAGAGCGAGGATCTCTCCTAAAATAAAATTGATACTCTGTACAACGTTTACATTAATCACCACTATTTTAGTAAAAGTCTTACCAAAAGTAATATTCATCTCGATCATAGGTCTGATCAATTCTTCCAACACACTGATACTGCTGTCTCCATACATCCTAAGATCATATCATAAATTATTTCATTGACACTTACAGTTCCAGAGCCCTGAGTATATTGGGGGGTTCATTTCCAGAAATCTGAGGAGGGCTGTCATGTTTAATGTAAGTATTATTTACAAGGACGAGACGATCGGTGTAATTGAGCTCGATGGTGTGGAATATGTTGTCCAGCAATAAATATTTCATCGAGAAAACTCGAAGGAGTTTGGCCTGAAAAAAGGATGATAAATATTACAGAAAAGGATATTTAAATACAACAAATAGATGGTAAAGATTAAAGAAAACTAATTTTTTCTCAACAAAAACTCTTACTTTGTCATGGGGATTAGGTATGGCTTTGAATTCTTCCAATTTCTCGGCCCATTCGAACATCAGAATCATCTGTACCCTGTAGATGGCCGAGTAATCTTCAGGAGTTGCCGGTCCCTTTAATCGAGTCTCGCATTCATCGGAAAGGATCTCTTCTAATGTCTGGCATAACATGGTTCGTCGACGACGCCGCTGATCGCAGTAATCTTCGACCATTTTGTTGAGAAACGAGGATATTGAACTGGAGGCTTGAGGTATACATTCGGAGACACGGGACTGAAAAAACAATGATTAGAAGATCAATAAAAACAGTTGGGGGTATAAACAGGAGTCAAAAGTTCTCGGTAATCAACCTACAAGTCCACTGTAGACACTGCTGTGGTTGGAGAGGACGGAAAATGCATTTAGATTGGACAAGGGAGTGAGGACGGAGGATCGGGGAGATCCGAGGAGACTCTGCGGGGAGCTCTTGGAAGACTCTCCCAACGATCCGCATTCTGAGGTAGTTCGGGACATCCCTTCTCTGGAGGGACTGGGCTTTCCATCACGGCGAGGTTGGACGGCTAAAATGACGAAAGTTAATAAGCAAAAGGGATGTTATACTCGATGTAATAATCAATATTCGCTCACCATTCCTGTCCATTCCAACCATTTTGCACTTTTTTAGACGACAAGCTCGACAGGCGCAACGGGCATCTGAAAGAGGAAACGATTTTTCAAATACGACAAACCAAGATCAGAAATGCGAATGAAAGGGACTACATGGCGTGTAGCCAGAAACCAATACTACTTAAGCACTCAAAAAGTGAGTTAAAAAGTTGAATTGGTCAAGAAACATCATTCAGACCACATTTTTAGTCATAACTCTGATCAAAGCTCAACTCTTGTCAAAATTTGAATGTAAAAATGCAACGAAAACCGAAAGTTGGAGCCTCGAACCCCGCAAAGATCTCCATCGCCTAACTCTTTATCAATTTCCGATCAAAAAGCATTCAAATCAAACCATCGTTAGAGATTACGGCGCTCGAAGAGAGTCCAGGAAGTCCCACAAAGTCTATAACCGACAACTTTTACAACGACCTACTCTTATCGATCGCACAATTTCCTCCTCGCCGGCATTGAAAGTGCAAATTCTGGGTGATGGCGCGCCGAAAGAAAGCATTGCAGCCACGACAAGACAGGACTCCGTAATGATATCCATCCGCCTGATCTCCGCACACGGCACAGTACTCGTCCAGGTTGGGTTGGGTCAGAAGATTCAAGTCATCCATCGAATTGGGACTCATCACGTTGTATAAAACCATTGGGTGGTTACAAAAACATCCACTAAGGTAAAAATAAATACTTTTCATGAGAAACAGGTAATATGCAGATGTCACGAACACGCATGAAATATCCTTCTGATGACGTCATCCGATTAAAAAATCAAAACAAAAAATGTTTAAGCCAATTATGGAAAGATGAAAATTTGTAAAGCAAAAAAGATACGGTAACTGATGACATTTAGGGTTGAGAAATACGAAAAGCAAAACAGAACAATGTAATTGTACCTACACGCCCACAAGTAATGTCAGGAGTACATTACTGGGTGTGGAAGCGTGACTCTACTGCTCTGGAAGGAGCTCAAACTAATCGAAAAAACGTGTCGATCACGCTATCAGGGAGGGCCGACAGTAATATGCGTAATCATTACCGAAAACAATTGAAAAAAAAGCGAAAAATATGTAAAAATAAGCAATATTTGAAACTTTTGATGTCTAGTGTAATATGAACCCAGCAAAATACCGTTTTTTGTGTTTAGAGTTAAATTTCCTACATATACCACCTATTTTGGCTTCTTCTTTCTCCGCTGGAGGTGTCGCCACACATGGTTTGCATCCAATAAACACTCTGCCCCCTCCAATATCACGTGGGAACTCGTTTCTTTTACCTAAAGAATCCCCTTTTTATCGCCGCTTTTTTCTGTTTTCCCTCGTGCCCGTAGATCGGTGATAACAACTGTTATTGTCGTGATTTTGGGGGGAGTTGTTAATGAGCACAGAATGCAACCGGAATCGACGGACATGTGCTTAGAGGGAAGGGAGGGCGTTATAAGAGAGGGGAAGAGGTCGTTGTAGGAAAACGATCCGATAGAAGACAAATGGGAGCACAAAATAGGACGAATGATGATTATGTCAAAGGCTAAAACTTGCAAGAGAAAGGTGCGCTAATTAAGCCGGAAGTAAATTCGGAGTGCACTGTGCAAAAGCAAAATTTCCCATTGCACCGCGCGTTTTTTTGAAAATCTGCACGGTGCAGTGCCTTTTGTCGAAAATGCGCCTTCGACTGCAATGATGAAGAAAAAGGCTGCGACAACGCGCTCTTTCTGCACCGAGCGGGCGGTCTTCACCGTTTGTCGCCCGCACTCCGACTCGGCTTTTTACTAATGGAAATGCACTGTGCAAATACCCAGAATTCGCTAGGAAAACTTTCTCGATGGACAATGTAATCCTTATCAAACAAGTATAGTGAATGTAAGAGCTGTTTAACTACGGTAAGAACCATTCCTAGCAAAAAACGTCTGCAAACAAAAACATGTGCGAATCGTTTTTTAATTGCTCGGAAATTGGATTTTGCGACGGAAAAACAAGATTACTACAAGCGTGACATTGTTTTTGACACTTTGGGGATAACGTTCGTTCAAAATTACAGTAAAAATTCGAAAATACAACTCAGACGAGGAAATGCAGGTCTTTATTCATTTGAGTCCTCGCCGAGTCATTAAAAAATAATTATACATGACCATGTATAATGCAATCATTCAAATGTTTCTACATGACATCGAAACATAAGATGGAGATTTGTAAAATTCTTCAGACATCATTTTCAAATTTTCAGGGTCCAACCGCATACATACGTGCCACAAAAAAGGGATTTGGAAATGAAAAAAACGGGTACATTTTAAGTCCGCTAAAGAAATTAATGACGGAAGAGAGTGCCGGAGAAGCACGGAAAAAACAGAAGGTACACTCCGACTTGCAGATACGTTACTATATATCTTGTTACTTTTTAATGACAGAGGCTGTTAGATGAACCGCCCATTCTTAAAAGGTAGTAAAACATCGTATACAAACCTTTTAAAATCCCCTCAACATGATCGAGAACATGTAGGTTTAAGCCCTTGACATTCTTCTAATCTCGAATTATCATTAAGCAGATCGGATTATAAACATTATTTCCTCAGGGCATGCAGGTTGCATGAAACACTAGGCTATCTCAGAAACCTGTAAACTATCTTCCGGGAAAGTAATCGGACTCAAATTAAGGTATTATTAAGGTTCCCGTCCCTCTGAAAAGACCCTTATTCCCTTTGATGTAGCCTCAGACCAAGGCCAATACAAATGTCGCCTTCATACCTCTGGGTTGTGCCTCTGAATGAGAGAATGAGATTAGGGCACAGACACTTTAGAGTGTAAAAGGTAATGTTTTAGGTGTAGGATGACACAGTCCAAGTGTTTAATACCAGAAAAATTAAAATAATATGTTGCCTTCAGAGAAAATGTTAGATAAATTTAGCAAATAGATATTACAACCTCCCCGAATACAGTAAGGCAAACTGAAGGGATCGTATTCGTTGATGTTTTCAACAAAAATATCACGTGTTTTCAAAGGCCGATGGAAATTTTGGATGATAAATTACTTATAAAGTTAAGTCAAAGTAATGGAGAAATTGAGTTGATGGTAAGATTTATGGTCTACACAGTGAAAAAAACGTAGTAAAAATAGATTGTAAACAGTTATGCGGGCTCTTTTTTATTATCCATGACGAAGATAGTTGCGAAACGACAAAAAAAGAGCCAAGTTTCTATTACGATCTATATGATCTGAAGTCTTCGTAATGATAAACAACTTTTTAAACCCGTAAAATGTTCATAACAGCTCCAGGATAACATTGTATCCATAAAATAATCGGATCTCTAATGTGTAATATATCATTATTCAACAATAATTCCCCTCTGTTTTATATTCATCTCTTATCAAAAGGAGTAAGAGCCCGGGGAACACAAAGCTTGTACCAAGTAAGAGCGCGAACCCCTCAGGCCACATGTTTTTGCGTTTTCGTGCAAATGCCCCGAGGAAATAGAACTGCAACGCCTGAGGGCAAGAAAAGGGAAAAGAGATCGGGGCAGCGTGAGTTTAACGTCATCTCGGCTTCCTCTTTCTCGATTCTCGTGCTTCTCGCGTCGACAGGAATTCTTGGAAAAGAATTGGGAAAACGGAGAGAGGCGGTAGAGAAAAAGAGAAAAAAAGAAAATATCGAGAAATGTGGCGAAAACAAAATATAAAACATAAAAGAGGGGTTGTTGGAGAGTCCGGTCAAGGGATTCTGGACAGGGATTATTGCACAGTGTTCGGAACTGAACTGTTTATGGGATTAAATTGTTTTATCATCAAAATTATTAATACTTTTTTCTGATTTACTTCTACTTAATTTCTTCAACTTTACACCTAGCATTTCTTTTGCAGGGAGAGTAAAATCTCAAAAGTTTTGCGTCGTCTTTATCCCTCGAGGGCATTCCGAGTCCAAGAAATGAATGTTTTTCCTGCGGGCACGTGCTCCCTTTGCATGCCGTTCCTTTCGTTTTTTTCTTACTTCCCCCCAAACTTGGCCCAAAATAAGAGGGAAATCTAATTGTTGGCCAAGAATTAAATTCAGTTATTTGTGCAGGAAAAACGTGATTGGCCTTAATTTAAATTCCGCATGGCCCGGGGAAAGATAACATTTCATCATGGATTGGGGCAAATACTCTCAATCCACAAGAAACATTGACAAAAACAAAGCTTGAGGAGACGTTGCAATTGCAAATGAAAAAGGCTAGAAAGCGGCATTTTACCTGAGAATTGCAAATACCACGAAAATATGTAAAAGAAATCTTTGGGTGGAGCGTGGTTATTGGGACCCTCCTTATCATCATTTCCCCTTTCTTCTTCTATCCCTCGACCCAAAAAGAGACGCTCACCCTTTGAAGGAATTATAATTAGCCCACCCAAATGACTTAAAGCGTCTACAAACCAAGCTTTTTCCCAAAGTAGTATTGCCCTTCCAACCTTTTTCTCCCTTCGCAACCTTATAGTCTGTCATTGGTAGAGCTGCTTGTGTGACTTTGGTTTGATGTCTAAATTAATCTCTAAATCAAGCATTCTTAAAATATGCACTTATAAAATAATACAAGTTTTATTAAACTACATTACTAATCAAAGAACATTAGGATAACCTCTAAGGGAACAAAGATTGAAATCTCATTGAAACTACACGACTCAGAGTTTGTTCTCAGTTTTCTCGCCTGTCTTCTTACTAACACTAGACTTTTGAGCTTAAAAAAGTTTTTGGAATACAGATCCGCGTGATTGAAGAGTTCATAGATCATCTGTCATCTTCTTTCTCAGCCTATTATACTCCATACAAACGACTTTATAAAAAAGGAACGAAAAGGGAAGACTTAAATAAATTATATTATACTGCCTCTCCACGAGTGTAAACAGGGAAGCAAAGCGACCGAGCGTTAAGAAACGATGGGATCGAATGAAAGGCGAATGTTTTATCATTAAAACGATCAGATCGAGGGGGAAAGGGAGAAAAATGTGATTGATCAGGCCCGCTCCGCTTCGGACCACGTGTTCCCCAAGGGGAAAAAAGACGGGGAAAGCGACGCAAAAAAGGGAAAAACAAAGAATTTGGGGGAAAGGGATGGGCAGTGGAAATAAGAGTGAAGACAGAAGATTTCGGAGGAAAATTTTGAAAATTTTTCGAATTCACTTTTTTTTCGATTTTGGAGTAAAAATTTTTTTTACTCCCAAAAATGCCAAAAAAAAAGTAAACACGAAGTTTACTCCAAAATTTGAAAAAATTTTTGATTTTCGGGAGTAAACTGGGAGTTTACTCGCCGGGGCCGAGAAATCGAATGGCGGCGAGTAAATCTGGATTTTGCTCGCTTCCAATGCCGAATCCTGACTGGGAGCCTCCCAGTCAGGAATCCCGCGATTCCTGCAGCCAGGAATGTTTTTGACTGGGCGGCCTCCAAATCGACATCCCAGTCACCTGAGACGAAGAAACGGGGAGAAAAAACGAAGAGAGCGAGAGAAACGCGCGCTATTTCGTGCTCTCTCTGCCTCTCTGCGCCCTCTCCTCGTTTCCCGCTCTTTCGCTCTCTCTCTCCTTTTTTTGCGCTCTCTCGCTCTTTCTCCCGAAAAAGAGAGAGAGAGCGCGAAACGGAAAGAAGGCGCTGAGAGGCAGAGACAGCACGAAATAGCGCGCGTTTCTCTCGTTCTCTTCGTTTTTTCTCCCTATTTCTTCGTCCTAGTCAACAGTTATTGACCCCTCACCCAGTCAAGAACCGCGGGATTCCTGAATGGACCACAGTCAGGAAGTTTTGACTGTACGAAGAGTCAGGAACCCCGCGAATCCTGACTTGAGCCTCCCAGTCAGGATTCGGCAAAATTTTTCGAAAGTTAGGCGCGAATTACTAACGCAGATAAAAAAATTTTTTGCGCCCAGGGGTCAACTGTTCCCCGGGAGTAAACTCTGGATTTACTCGCCGGCACCTTCGGCGAGTAAATTCTGAGTTTACTCCAAAAAAAGGCGAAAAAAAAGTAAACTCGGAATTCACTCCAAAAATGGAAATTTTGAAAGCTATTTCGATTCCTACTCGCCGACCCATAAAATTTCTCGATTTTTACTCTCTTTTTCAAAAAAAAGTGAATTCGAAAAATTTTCAAAATTTTCCTCCGAAATCTTCTGTCTTCACTCTTAAATGATCAGCAAACAAAAAAAAGGCCAAGAGGCCAGCAGAAACACAAAAAGATCAGGATTAATTAAACCCCTAAGGCAATAAATTGTTACAGTAGCCCGCGATTAGATAACAGAAATGAATCAAGGTTAAATTAACCAAGAATTTAATTGGAAATGGACTGATTATGATAATGATATGGACGAGAATTGAATGGGAAAATGTTTCGTCTTGTCTTGGGGACTACTGTGTATATATGAAGCTACAAAGGAAAGAGCACATGCAAGGTCACATAGAGACCGAAACGGCAGTTGGAATGGAGTTATTTTGCTTTCGTTTAGAGTAAACATTTGGGAATTGCAAGATTTGGATCGAGAACTTTATGATCAAATATAATATAACTTTTTGAGTTATGTCAAAAACGACGTTATAAATGGAACTTCATGAGTTATTTAGATTGTTCCTAAAAAGTTTTGAGAGTGCAAAATAGATGCTCAACAATCTTTTATGCCAACATTCCCCTTTGTATGTAATGTTCTCCACAAAGAAAGTGAATTTTCCATTTTAGACCAAATAAACAGGAAAAACATGGCTCAAATCACCCAAAAACAACAAAAAACCCGTTCCAAATAAATGCAAACTCTCACACGAACCTTATATAACTACCGTAACCTTTGTTACAATTTCTGAAACTGTTCCAAAAACAAACTAATAGAGATTCTTCTTGCAGAAATCATCCCATCGGAGCAGAGGAGAGGCGGAGAATTCCAAAGTACTCAAAAACAATCAAAACCGCGCTCTCCCCATGTGCTCGAGGCAATGTTTACGGAAATACGAGGAGATGTTGCTTTAATTAAGTCGAGGGAAACAATGGAGATACGGTCTGTGATGTCAAGGATGACAATAATTCAAAGATCGTAGACCGGAAACAGAAAAGAAAAAAGAGTGGGGGATACGGTAAAACTGCTTTGGGTACAAAAAAAAGAAAAAAGTTCGGGATAATGTATTTGGCCCAATAAATAAAAAAAATATAAAAAAGTGAGGGTATACTGTAATATACATAGCCTTTGAAAAAAATGATCTTTATACTTCATGGAGAGGATTGGAAGTGAACTCTTAGTAGATTTTGAACTGTAACCTTTCTTTTAGAGGGCATTTTTTCCGTTTGAAACTTTTTTATCGCTAAAAGTTATTTTAAAAATAGAAAAAAATTGTGTTTTCTACCGTAATCAACAAAATTTGCTACTAACACACATTAAATTACCCTTCTCCGCCAATTTAAAAAGTGTTTAAACACCTTGATAAACCCATCTGGATGCCTCCACCCGGTTTCCACGTTGCCTTTGGATTGTTCGACTTTCTTCCCCGTTTTATTTTTAAATCCCTATGAAAACACATTAAAGGTTCGGCCCTTCCTAAGGTCAGCAGCACTGTTTCCCCTGCCTATCATTCACCCTCAAGGCCCCTTTTCAACGAAACCCCCAACTCTTCTGGGCTGGATACGGTAGTCGGAATGGATCGAGTCGCTGATTACGTCTTTTTTATCATTTTGGAACGGTTTTCGGCAAGGAAATAATGTGTAGAAAGGAGAGACCAAATATTTTAACAAATCAGGGTCACCAATCTGGCAAACAGAATGTTTTTAGCTGCAAATTGCTCATATTAAAAACATTTGAGATATCACAATTTTTAAGTGAAATTGTCTTAGATTTGAATGTAAAATCAAACATTTTATATTTCAAATGACGAAAGTTAAAAACCCCCTTCAAAAGCGAAGTCCCCGAGACCTCGTGGTCCAATCATGTCCGAAGAAGTCCCCCCATTTTTCCATTCGGTCCGCTCCGAGTGATCACGTCGATTCCTTTCGCACGGTGCAGAGAAAGAGAAAAGCCATGAGGAACGATGGCTTCGAAAACAAAACATCACGTGGCCCCTCTCCTTCTCTTTGGCGGCCGTGTGCAACCAATCTGCAAGGGGGAAACGATCGACCTTAAACCTTAAAGTTCTCTCAACACAAACGAATGAAACAATTGTTTATGACATTCTCGAACGCAAACGGGGCTTAGTGTTTGTGTCATGTGCGGGAAACAAAAGGCATTACAGGACGTAAAATTTAAAGCATGTGTTGGGGATTGCGATCAAATGAAATCAAGGGATTATAATTATTAGTCAGGTTATTATTGGAACAAAGGATCAAATTAAAACAAAAACCAGTAAAAAGTTTATTATAAAAAAAACTCGCCAAAAATCAGTATATACAACACAATGGTAACTAAGTCATTAGAACTACCCGTGAAGCCATTTAATCGCTTAAAGTGAGCAATCTACAGAATCTAGATATTACACATCATATACACATAAATATACAAGCAGTCGAAAGATTAATCCCCATCTTAATCCGAATTGCTAGAATCGTTTTGTTGATGGCTGAGTCTAAATCTATATAACATTACCATGATTCCATCGCACATACCTCTTTTTCCTTAGTCTCTCACATCTTCCACATCGCAAAATCGAATATTTTTTCATCCACCGATTGTAACACTTCTTGTGGGAAAGTGATCCACAACCTTCACATCGAGATATCTTGTCAATTTGGAATGGGAAAATAATATCGCTGGGCTGCATACATATCTGACAGAGGAATCCACGTTGTTCACATATCTAAAAACATAGACAATGTAATACAAAATAAGGCTTACATTACAACTAACAACGTGCTCAATTCCTCTTCTTTCCAGAGGCTCCAGCATCTCGAGCAGATTTCCATTTTCGATTCGTTCAAAGTCCAATAAAGAGTATACACAGACCTCATCCAATCTTCGAAACCTTGGAGGAATTGACTCAAACATAGTCCGGAGACTGAAATCAATAATATTGCAAGAACAAAGTATTACTAACACAACAAAAATAAATCCTTACATTCCATTTTTGGTCTCAATATCGGTGCTTCGAGGACAAAGTTGAATAAATTGCCATAGATGTGAAATGACAAGACGGGTTCTCCGCACCTTTCTGAGGTTCTTCACCTTCAACGTGAGGCCAGGTTCAATCGCGTAAACATCGTACACTGGAAGGGATTCGTTCTCTCTCAGGAAGCTCTCTGCCACATCACAGACGGGATACTCCCTAAAATAATATAAATTTAAAAACAAAAGGCTTACTTGAAATTCCATTGATGCAGAATCCTTGCCGGAATCCTCGACTTCGCGCCTCGATGACAACACTGACAAAACAATTTGTTATAGTAATAGCAAATCCGAGCTCGTCTTTCGTAAATCTTATCCATTTTCCGTCCACATCCTCCGCAACAATTATTTTGTTCCTTTAGCAAGGTTTGACAACTAAAAAGCAAAATAATAGCTATAAAATGACTTACTCTTTTGGTTCTTCCAAGTCAAAAATAAACTTTCTTCTCAAAGGTTTCCAAGCCATAGGACCGCGAAGATTAACAGAAGATGAGTTTGAAAAGAGATCATCGGGAGGAATCGGCATACGATTAGCCATTTTTAAGAGCTAAAAAAATTAAACAGAATATAAAGTAGACTAGTCGGTCTCTCTCACTAAAGAAACTTAGCTTACCTCAACTGGAGCATTCTCATGAGTGATCATACATAGTAGATCCTCATCGGTATCTCTATTATTTTTTCGATTCCTCTCATCAAAATAATCCAACAACGCTTTCACCACATCATCAGAGTTCCTGTCTCTTCCTTCCTTCGCTTTATCGGACTTCCCTTCGGGTTCATTCCGTTGGAATACTTCAGTTTCAATTGATGTTGCACTAGATGTTGATGGTTGATCCGAATGGATAAATCTCCGCTCTTCGCAATTAGGAATTGATGACGGATGATCATGAACCGCCTTCTCGTGCTCGGTGTGGGTAATAGAGCCTGGATCCTCACGGAAGTCGATTCCCTCAGTAAACCTTCGCCATCTTTCCCGTTCCGCGGATATTAAATACAAATCGCTGAGGTAGAGATGAATGTTTTCCTGAAACGACATTATGATGGAAACGACAGAGTCATAAACAAGATAAAAAGATCATTCTGTCAATCGATAAACCCTAAAAATTGAGAATAACAAAATAAATACTTACAGTTCTGAATCCAGCATCCCTTTCCCAATTACTCAAATTGGCTGCTTGTTCGGCAACCTCAGCATCATCCACCAACTCCCAGCCCTCATCAACTGTTGACTTCTGCAATTGAAAGCATTCAGATATAGTTTGGTACAGGAATTGGACAATATCCATGGCCCAGACGCCATGAAAGAACACCTACGTTTCGCTTTTTGTCGCCCAGCAGACTCAAGGACCTCGTCCGTGGCCTTAATGGGGTGCATTCGGACATCGCCACCTCAGTTGACTCATCTGAATTGTGTTTGATTTCAGATTCTCTCTCATTTTTATTCCACGATCAAAAAACACAGACAGGCTGCGCCCACACTCTGCGAAACGAAGAGACCATTTTATACGCAAAGAAATCTTGAATTTTGCAGATGGAATAGAACTTCCAACAAAAGCGGCCGTTTTCTCGAGCTTCTCTCGTTTTCCCGTTTCCATCTTACAAACTTTCCGAACAATTGAAAGCCAAAAAAATGCACTACTCTGACCTACTTTGTACAATGGCCAAGTTGGCTGGCTTTACATTACGATGGCAGGGGTGGTCGGCGGCCCGGGCCGGCCCGGCCCAAAAGGGCCGGCCGGCCTCAAAAATGGAAATTGACAAACGGGCCGGGCCCGTCACGGGCCGGGCCGGGCCGGGCCGCGGGCCTGGGGTTTTTTCCGGCCCGGCCCGTCTAAAATACAATGCCAAACCGTTGGCATTCATTGTTTTCGCGCCGGGAAAATTAATTGATGTTGTTATAGTTGCTGTTTCTCAAGTTCTAAAACGTTTACAAGTCTCTAGTTCCATTATACAACCACAAAACTATCACATTGATCCTTTACTAGCTAGATCAACGCCTTTTTTGCCTCAGTTTAGATCCCGAGCCTGGGCGCAGTTCGCAGAACCCTCTATAGACGGGCCTGCACGGGCCGGGCCGGGCCAGGCCCGTCACGGGCCGGGCCGGGCCTGGAAAAAGACTAGACGGGCCGGGCCGGTCAATTAGACGGGCCGGGCCGCGGGCCGAAAATCGGAAAAATAGGGTCTGCTGACCACCCCTGTACGATGGAAAGAGAGAAAAAGATTTGACTCGCTGAGACAAGTGTTCTCCGCGCTACCGTATACAGAGAATCTGTTTCCGTTTGAAATGGTATAATTGAGAAGCAAAGTTAATAATTTTCAGTTTGTTGGGGAGAATACACCAATTGTTTCGATAGAATGTTTATTTTATGTGTAGGTTCCAACTTTTATTTTGCAATCACTAATTATGTGTTGGAAATTTTGGCCAAGATGGAATACGTGCCGTAGCCCTCGTAAACGGGGAAAGGGCGTTTCTCGGGGGTCTAAAGATGCCCAATATTTATATTTTTGTGCCACGAGGCTTAGGAAGCACAAGAAAAATTTACTTCGGGAACTTCTCTATATGAACTGGAATGTGGATACCCTTATTTATTCATATTACTGCTTTCTCATGATATTTATTTATTGTGATCACAAACGAACAGGTATCACGGCGATCTAATATTTGTAGGATGATAGATCTTTCGATGATTATTCTAATTAAAAGCTTTAATGATCTTGCGGTCTCTTATTTTTCATCGTGAGTTCTCGTTTTTATATTACACATAGACTGGCGTAGCTACGTGCAAATTTCCACGATTTATTAATGGAAGTGCTTAACAAACGAAAAAAATAATGAAAATTTTACACCATCTTTTCGAAACCTTTACGACTTTGGTCGGCTGACATCATCCCAAATTTCTAACTTTTAGGTGATGGTATACCGATTTATGTAACTATACATATATTCGGCATACTCTAAGAAGACTGTTAAGAATCTCTTTTGACACAATACGGAAGTACGGAAAAAGTTTTGGACGCGATGACTTTAAGATTTGCTTTATTTTTCTCATCAAAAAAAACGTGATTATTATGTACTCTTGAAAAATAATAAAAAATCGGAAAATAATGCCCTCCCTTTGCCCTTATCCCGATAGCCGACGTTTTGCACTATCGCTGACCCCATCGCCAAACTATAAAAACAGTATTGACCAATCTATTTGTCTGTCATAACCGCGTCCTTCTAGTCTGGAGTCCTATTTTTTCACCTTCTCCGTCTGTTCTCCGAGTGTTCGTTTTTTTCAAATTTGTGTGGCGATCTCTTCCCAACGCCTTTTTCCTTCTGGCACCGCCTTATTGGACCTTTATGATAGCCGCGTTTCGGCAAAGTTTGCACTATTTTTTGCGAATTCCCAGAAATCGGTGGTGGTCGGGGATGGACACTCCTCACGAATTCGAGCCAGTTGATGTCTCCGGAGTCCGAAAGCAATATCTGAATGTGGCCGAGCCCTATTTCGTTGAGGAAAATTGCTCCACCGATCCCTTTCACCAATTCCACATCTGGTTTTCGAATGTTTTAGCACAAAGTAATGTCACTTATGAGGAAATGAATGCCGTCTGTCTTTCAACTTGTGTGTAAGTGTATCAAATATCGTAATTGTGGAGCAAATTGAATGATAGTAACGTTGGTACGCTTCAGAGACAACAAACCGTCATCACGCATGGTTCTGGTCAAGTATTACAATAATGAAGGGATCACTTTCTTTACGAATTCCAGCAGCAGGAAAGGTCAGCAAATTGCGGCCAACAACAATGGGGCCATGACTTTCTATTGGCCTTTTGTAAACAGACAGGTGAGAGACGTTGATAAAGATTAAACGTTTATTTTACCTGTCATCGACATAGTTGTTCTAGGTCAGATTAGAAGGGACTCTGGTTGAGGTGAAAGAAGAAGAGGCCGTTCATTATTGGAACAGTCGGCCTGTCCACAGTAAAATCGGGGGATTCATCAGCAATCAAAGTGAAGTGGTCGAATCGAGAAAGGTGAGTGATTATCAGGGACTTGAGGATAGCATTAATGGGTGCAAATACTTTTTGTTACAGGTGTTAGAAGACAGAAAGAGGATATTGGAAGAGAAGGTGACAGTTGAAGGCCCAGAGATCCTCGTCAAACCAAAAACTTGGACTGGATATACTTTGAAACCCAATTACTTTGAGTTTTGGCAAGGGCAGTCAGACCGACTGCATGATCGGATAAGATTCAGACTTGGGGAGGACAACCAGTGGATCCGAGACCGATTACAACCTTGAGAACTAACCGCATTACTAACATTAGAAGAGGCATAACTAGATTTCTACGTTATTTATCACCACTTGCTAACGAAAACTGTGATAGTACAAAAATAAACTGATTGTGATTGGTAGGCGAGTTTATTTTACAAAAATTTAGCCAGTTAAACATTTACACTAAAAAGCCCCTTTTTAGTGCCAAAAAGATCGAAGTAAACAAACAAGATAAAAGTAAAAATAACAATGAAAAGCAAATTTTATGGATTCACAGAATATTCTACAACTACAAAGGAAGAAAAGACCCCGTTTTAGCGAACTCAATGAACATAGATGAAGATATATTTCTTTCCGTCAATAAATCAACAATTAACATTCGAATTTATGGGGAGTAGCACTTCCCTGCTTGGATTGAGCATCGGCATGACTTTCGTATCGGATTCTTCGTTTTTCAATGAACCGAGGATGCGATTCTTCCCAGACTTCCCGAAGAATCCCACTAAAATAAGATCAATCTTAATCAAGTCGAGACAGAAGAGGAACTCCTAAATGCATAACGAATAAACAAAAGAACAAACCCAATCGCTTTGTTGGACTCGACATCAGAAGCTTTCGAAGTCCATAAAGTTATCTTTGACCCTTTTTGTCTAATATTACATACAGCACCACAAACTGAGCTCGTGTGTTCCCGGAATCGATTCCCAATCAACGCAACTAAAAGCTTCTCCCATAGTTCGTTTAGGTACTCCATTTCGGACTTTTGAATCTAAAAACATTCCAATACATGTATCTAAACCTCTCAAAAAATATAATGAAAGCAAATAAAAAAGTTGTTGAATTAAACCCACCAACAACACCAAACGGCCGCCTTCCCTGTTCTCATCCACCTCCCAGACAGGTTGAATATCGTCTCTGAACAACGAATAATCACAGTGAAACATCACTGCGGGAGGTCTGATATGATCCATTAACCTAAATAAGAGACTTAAAACGTGTCAACATAAACTTACGCCCAAAAGCTTTCGACACTGTCGATCTTGCATATGTTGTGCAATCTCTCCAACCAGTCCAAGGATTTCCTGTTGTCCAAGTACCAAAATGACCAAACATCTTTAAGGGGGAAGGCTTGATTGAGAACCGACGTAACAGGGATTATCGCCTCCGGGGACTAAAACACAAGACATTACTTACACTCACTACATTTGCGACAGAAATCATAAAACTACTGCCAAACGCATCATAATTTCTACAGGAAGACAAATAACATCACTACTCTGATGGAGCACAAAAAGGTTTATACTCACCTCAACAGACTCGCTGCCGTCCTCGACTTCCTCCTCGGGTTGTGGTGTTGGAGCCAGTTCAGCCTCCACAGCACTCATTCTCCAGATATTCGCCGAGTTTTTTTTTGACCAAAAAAACTGAAAAATCGACCGGTAAAATCAGATTAAAGAAAAGCGAAAAATACTGGTCAAAAAGCAGAGGAATTTGAATAAAGACGGATTTTGTTCGAAAAAAATATTTTCGACATTACGTGTTTTGTACCGTATTTTATCGCTATGCCACAAATAAGGTCGATCTCGCCACGAAACCAACCAACCGCCAATGATGATTTCTTTTTTGTCAAAAAATATAAATGGAAAAATTGTTGTTGAACAAGGTGAACATAGTGAACAATAATGTTCCGCAACCAGTACGACAGTGATGTGACAGTTTGGAGTCCCCAGGTATTTTTAGCTGATATTAGACTAGGTGTTTTTTGATGTTACAGTCGAGAGGCTGATGCTTCTAATACGGTAGTTTGATACTTTTGTGCGTTACAATGAGCTTGTTTTTGAGTGTACGAAGATTGTTTTAATTTACCTTTCAGGGACGTCTGCACCAAGTTGATTATGCCGTGGAGGCGATGAAACAGGGTTCAGCTACTGTGGGTATCAAAAGTAACACTCATGCCGTTCTTGTTGCCCTGAAGAGAGCTGCCAATGACTTGTGTTCCCATCAAAAGAAAGTTTATGAGCTGGACAAACATTCTGGAGTCTCCATTGCCGGTCTCCTTTCTGATGGTCGAATCTTGGCGTAAGTTTATAACCTTTGCTGGCAATTTCTTGGTTTAGACGTTTCCTTCAAACGGAATGTTCGTCTTGGCGATGGGATTACAAAGAACCAGTTCCCGTTCAAGTGCTGAATAACCGAATTCAGCTCAAACTTCAGGCCAACACCCAATATTACGGGAGAAGACCATTCGGAGTTGGTCTCGTTTTGGCCGGTTATGATGTAAGTTGCAATACTCGTTATTTGAAAAATCAAAAATGGTATATTTTCTTAGTAATCTCAATTTGCAGAGGAATGGAACTCATATTGTTCGAACAGATCCATCTGGAGAGGTTGTGGAATGTCTGGCCGCTTCCATTGGAGCTCGATCTCAAAGTGCTCGAACGTATCTTGAAAAGAACTTGGAACGTTTCAAGGAATGTAAGTGTCAAGATTTTGAGGCGTACATTTATTGGAGGTGATAATCAATTTGTTTTTTTTTCAGCCAATATTGACCAGCTGATCGAACACGCGTTGTTGGCCTTGAGAGATACCCTCCCTAACGAAGATACTTTAACCAAGAAGAACACTTCCATCGCTATTGTTGGAAAGAACCAGCCGTTCAAAGTGATGGACGATGAAGAAGTTGCGCCTTACTTAGAACGAATCAAGAACGCGGCGCCGGCGGCAGAAGCTCAGTAATTTATCGGTTGATTTCCCCTAAATAAATTTATATGTAATTATGACTCTCTGTTGGTAATTCTTGGGTGTGGGTCATGTTGCAGCATTTCGTGTCAAATGTCGTAAGGGCGGCATTGCAATTTTCGTGGTGTGTGCATTGCCCTACAATAAGAAGAGAAACTTTCGTATAATTTTGCATGTACAACTAGTCGAAGCTCGGCCGCAACTCGCGTTTTTATCCCGCTAAAAATATTTCGCAAAATAAATTTTTTTAGCTCAAGGATAACGAAGAATGACCTTGATCAACCTCACACGCTTATCTGAACCCACGGAGAATGTTCGGCATGAGTCTAGCCAGATTAAATGTCAATGGGATGGCCAGAACTTTGGAATTGGAACCCTCTACATCTCCGAACAGTAAGATTCTACGTTTGGGATTTATTCGTCATTTAGAGTCCTTGTTTGGATAAAAGACGGCACCGAGACTGGATTCACTTTGACCTATCCATCAATTGGTGTTTATGGACAGACAGCGGCATCAGATACAGAGCCAGATCCGGCTCTTTTTATGGTTGTTGATCTCAATAAAACAGGTAGGAATGAAATATTATTTTTGAGTCTTTCAGACGTTCAAATCACTCGGCCAGCAAACGGACACAGCGAAGATGAAGAGGAGGAGGATGATAATCCCACAGCCACTGTCAGATTTGTTCCGGAAGACGTCACCAGTTGTAAGTTCTGTCAAGGATTGCTTGCTTTTCTCTTGTCTGCTTGTAAGAAGTAATAATCTTCTTTTTAGTGCCGTTTCTGATGAACCTGATCCAGGAATGCCAAATGTTGAATCCCGATCCAGATGATGACCAAGCCGATGATTATGGAGAATCAATCCTGATGCAAGGCGATGTGGATGAGCTTCAAGCTTCTGGTGATTGGTACTCTCAAGAGACCATGGACGATGAGGTGCAGCTGAGTGATGAGGGAAGGGCGAATCTCGAGAGAATCGTCGGAAACTTGAATATTGGTAATGATATAGTATAATATAGTTAACATTTTCTTTTTCTTGATGTTTCGGGAATGCAAGTGTTGAGAGCGTATGATCTTTTTCAGGAAGAGTTGTTTTTGACGATTGATTAATTTATGCAAATTTCAGAACAAAACGGCTCGGATGACAAACCGGGCGATCATTACATGGAAGAATAACTGCCTAGATCTCCGACCTCCCTCCAATCATCTCCAGTCTTCTAATTTATGTGGTTTCGTAATATTCCCGACCGATTATTAAGTGATGATATAAACCGTTTTTTGTGATTGCAACCCCTAGTTTTATTTTTTTCGAGATCGGTAAAGAACGAAGACGTCAAGCGGAGCGAGTTACCGGTTTCTGGTAGCCAAAGAGGTCATGTTCAGCGATGATTAGCGTCTTCGGAAAGCGGGAATTGCCTTATTTTTGGGTGTTTTTGTTGGTTTCATGCGGGAATTGGTGGAATCACCTCAAGGTCAGCATTTGCGGATTGGGGAGTAGTTGAGGTATAAATGGAGGGTGTAGAAGACGGGTCGGACGTACTAATTCTATTTGGAAAGCATCAAGAAACCGTTTCCCCTGCTTTTATTACATAATTATTATTTGTTTCGGGAGATAAAAGGTATTTGTTTTTTTATTGGAGTAACGCTCGAAGTAGATGCGTTGACTTTGCAGTGTCAAAACTAGGTCCTTGTACTTTTCAAGCCCCTATATTACACTCGCGATGCCTCCCACGCTACCGTAATCCAGTCGTTTGTAAGTCGAATACAATGAAGCTACATTCCCCCTTCCCTCCTGCAATTCCCTAACTATTCAAGCGTGTTTTTTTCGAGTTTTGGGTTCCTCCGAGGAAACTTGACGGAAATTACTATCAAATGAAATAAAGTAAGGTCTTCTGGTTCACTTAATGTGTTTTTAATACGGCGCCTGTTGCAATGATTTATCGAGCTCTACAGTTTTGATTCGGTCGTTGTAGTGGAAGGGATCGAAAGAGGAACAGAGAACATATTATATGAAATATGCCCATTAAGGATCCATAGTATATAAGAAATAGAACATTACATTATCTTGTAATGGACATACCATCGTATTTTTAAGTGGTCAAAAGTTTACAAAGGGAGTCGAAGAGTGCAGTAGTGACACAAAGATAATATTTCTATGATAGTAGTTTCTCATATTCACGTAGCCCGCGTCGTGCAATGATTGTCTCTTCCATTTAACTTTGTGGTTTAACACTTTTGCGAACATTACAATCAATTTCTTAGCAGTTTATTTTACGATCTTCTTTTTTACAACCTTTCTAATTTTTTTCCCAAACCGTGATGATTACTGAGTAATTGCTTTTGCAAAACAGTAATATTTTTAATTTAGATACCTCATTGTTAAAGTAATCCAAATGAGACCTCCGGAATCTCAACCAATCTTGAATTTAATTATATTTTTCTATGGATTCTCCTTTGTTGAGAGTCAAGTTCTTACTCAATCAGTTGCCAGAGTCCAATCTTTTACTCCTTATGGTCAGCATGACGGTTACGGTAACTCTCTTTTGTCATTTATGCAACTGGTACAACAGAAATCATCTGGAAATCGAATTCAACAGGTATTTGAGTATAATTTTTTGGCAATTAATTATTTTTTATATTGTTTTAGATGAATTGATTGTTAAAGTTTGTCAAATAGGGCTCATTTTAGTGTCCTTGCGTTCATTTGCCGGGATCTGACAAATGTGTGACATACGACTCAAGATGGCAAGCAGTGTCCATCGAGGAGGCTATGATTTCATTCGCGGATCAGACCATGAATGGGTTTAATACGAGAACTAGTGCTGGGAATGTTATTGTAACTTTATTGACTTCAAATTTCATACTGTAATTTAATATGATTCCAGTCTGGAGGAACCTTTTCCTGTACGAGTGTGGAATGCCGTCAATGTGTGGCGATTCTGGCTGTAAGGTTACGTCAGATCGGCCTTCTCCGCCGCCCTTTGTCCTTCCCCTTCCCCGTTCCAACAGCAGATCAGATTAATCCTGCGTTATGTCCCAGATTGAGACTGAGCAAGGGTCATTCTGTATGTGATTTGCCTTTGATTTTAGATTGTACCTTATAATCTTTAACTAGCTTATCGTTTAAGGTCCCTCCTCCAAACTCGGTCCCCTCTTGGGCAGCCACGGCCATTGCCTCAGCGGCCGGTCTTCGGGCTGCGATCAGTGCGCGACCCCGCTCTTCTTTTGCCGCCCAGGTCGAACAAGTACGTAAGTAGAGAAAGGGAAGGTCATAATCACGAGTTTAGAGGATCAATGAACAACGAGCAGCCCGAGGAGCACCTTTGATTGTGTCCAGTATCAGATCTAGTGGACAGCATCAGACATCCATCAATCCGGGGGTTCAAAGTGGAGGAGGAGGAAGCGGTGGAAGAGGTCAAAACGTGGGCCAAGGGGGACAAAATGGTCAAGGAGGTGGAGGAGGTCGGCCAGGGCAAGGAACGGGAGGCCAAGGCGGCCAGGGTGGCGGACAAAGTGGCGGATCGGGCGGTGCATTTGGAGGAGGATTCGGAGGTGGCTTTGGTGGCGGTAGTCGTGGTCAAGGAGGCCGAGTAAGTCCAGTTACCGGTGGAAAGTTAGGACTTTGTTATTTCACATGAATCATTTTCAGGGAGGAGGGTCCAATCGCGGAGAAGGATCCACAGGAGGAAACCGGGGAAACTCCGGCGGCCGAGGATCTGGCGGCCGAAGAACGGGCCCAGGACAAAGTCAGAATCAAGGCGGAGGAAGAGGAAATCAGTCCGGAGGTGGTCGCGGAGCTCAAGGCGGCAATTCAGGAGGAGGCGTTAACTCAGGAAACGCCGGCGGAGGAAGAGGCGGATTCAACGGAGGAGGGAGCCTGGGTGGGGGAAGAGGTGGATTCAATGCCGGAGGAAATCTTGGAGGAGGAAGAGGCGGAGCAAATACTGGAGGAACCGTAGGGGGAGGAAGAGGTGGGATTGATACCGGAATCAGCATTGGTGGAGGTCGGGGAAATCTCGGATTCCAAGGAAGTGGCCAAGCTCGAGGAGGCCAAGGCCAGGTGAATCAGGGAGGTGGAGTGAGAGGACAAGTTCCCAGACCTCAGTTGCCAAGCACGCCAAGGCCCCAATTCCCGAATACCCCGAGGCCACAATTTTTCCAACCCCGACCCCAACTCCCTCAAACTCCGCGACCTCAGTTCTTCCAACCACGACCTCAAATACCCCAAATTGTACAGCAAACCCCAGCACAACAATTCCCTAACTTCCAACAGCAACTGCCTCAGCCTCAACTGCAACCACAGCCTCAGCTTCAGCAACCTCAATTCCAAAGTAAGCCGAAATTCTTGACTCCGTTTTGTGAGATGGAAGCAACCTTTGGGGCAATATATTTTAATGCTTAATGTTTTCACCTGACAAAATCCGCCTATTTCAGCTCAGCCCACATGGAACCAGCCCACTTTCCAGCAACCGACTTGGTCCCAGCCCCAGTTTCAACAAGGGTTTGGTCCGAGTGCAGGCCAATTGATTGGCCACGGGGTTTTCGATGCCGTTCAAAGCGGTATTGCGGCAGGGCCCGCCGCAGGTGGTGGAAGCGGTGGCGCAGGAAATGGTGGCTTCGGTGGAACATCGGCTGGTGGGTTCGGCGTTCCTGGCGGAGGATTTGGCACTCCCGGGATCGGCGGAGCCGCGCCAGGTGGTGGTTTTGGTGGTGGATTTAGCGGTGGATTTGGAGGAGGATTCGGTGGTGGAGGAGGAGGCGGTGGAGGAAGAGGAGGAATGTTTGGAGGATTCAAAGCTCGAGCCAAGAGAGAAGTCAAGACCCCGTTACTTGGTCAGCATTTATAACACTTGTTTATATGAGGAATGACGTCCTCAATGATTGTAAATTTTTAGGGGAGCGTTTTGTCATCAACTGTATTGAGAAAGGAGACATGGAAGACGAGGACCCGGACTTTCTGAGTCTATGTACATTATGCTGGACATGGCGACAACTCCCTGAAGATTACTTCCCGAGGCTGGTCAATGAACTGGTCTGTCACGAGAATGAGTTCTGTTTGTCAGGTTAGAGATTAGGAGATTATAACGAACATAATTTAGGTTGGGGAGAATGCCATCAAAGGTATCGTAATATAGATGTGTTGCGTAAAATAAATGGAGATTGGAAGCCCACAACGATCTCTTCGGCCAGTTGCTGCGATTGTAAAGTAAAGGCCGGCTCAGAAGCGCATGCTCTTGTGGTGGGCGAGAATATTCGAAAGTAGTATAAATTTTATATGAGAAAACATTGTTTGCCCTCTCCCTCGATCTCTAGTAAACTGAAAACCAATAAATTTAAACTTTTATCCACACGTATTTCAATTTGAAAACTGCAAAAGCCTTATGGCGGTAAAAAAGGACCATGAAATTAACATACCAAGTTTATATTTTTGGGACTCTTTCATTCGAAGGGTCTCTTCTCCCCCATTTGGTTGGTTCATACTCTCTCAGGCCAAATGCCGAGGCACGACGATGCCGGTCCAGTAGATCTACCACTCGGTAAAATCATTGGAAAACGATGGAAGATAGTCGACAAAGTTGGCGAAGGCGGGTAAGACATTAAATTTCATTGTCTTATGTCAAGTACAATGCAATATTTAATTTTTTTGAGCTGTGGCGCAGTCTTTCTCGTGGAAGATTACAAGAATGGATCCAAGGCCGCGATGAAAGCCGAGAGTAATTATGTTGCTGGAGGCAGCGTGCTCAAGCTTGAGGTTCAAGTCTTGAAGAGGATGAGTGGTCGGAAATACGTCGCGCAACTCATTGCCGCTGGCAAAAAAGAGAAGTACAGCTACATGGTATAAGTGCACTGATTTGTTTGGTGCATGTTTTAGGTGATGACATTATTTGGTCCAAGTCTCTCCCGACTGTTCAAACAATGCAAAAAACAATTCTCCGTGTCGACGCAGATTCGGTTGGGTGTTCAGATCCTCTACGGCCTCAAACAACTCCATGAGGTAGGGTTACGGTAACGGGGGGAAATCTTGACCCATAGGGTCAAGTCTTTCTCTCACTGAAATTATTAGGTTGGCTAAAAAGTTCTTGAAATTTTGTACGATTTCTTCTTTGTGCCAAAACTTTTTCCCGGTTGACAAACAATAACTGCTATATCCATGCTTAGTAACTGTCACATAGTCCCTACAATACCAATGCTGAGCGATGTCTTCAGCAGGCATATCAAAGGAGTTAGGCTTAAAATCTTTTTTTGGAGTCACTTTTTGGATGTTCAAATGTATAAAAGTTTCTGCCCTGAAGACAGTGCGCCAGTTTATGGAACTGATGTCTGTTACAGTCGCCGATGCTCAAGCTGTAAAACCGTCGGGGAAGTGGATCCCATTCGAAATGTTTAGAAACTTTTTACTAACGCCTTTGTGGCGCATGGCTTTCCGCGTCGTCCCGGTATCCCAAACGGCGGGTTTCTTTTTGCCCGCTGCCGGCAGCTGGCCAAGGTAGCATGTATAAACACCCTTCGTTACTGTGTTACCATTTGGTAATAACGGCCAGAGCGTAGGTCTATGACAATTCCAAGAGCGATTAAAAAATACCCTCCTGGAGATGGACCGTTGCTTGGATCTGAACTTCAGAATCCTGCACGTCAAGTCATTGGCTCTTGTTTACATGATTATAATACAGGGCATACTTCTCATTAACGAGCACTAGTTGGGCTACTGAGATATATGTTTGGCTAAAAGGCAGCAGTTTTCAGATGGACTCCCTGTTGAAAACCGGTCAAGCCCTAATGATAAATTTGGTCATATCTTCATAGTGTGTGCAAAAGATGGAAATGTTTTTGCGTCATACGATACACGTAAAGCTGCTCTGTGTATTAATTCACACAAGCTTCAATAGCATTCCTTAACTATCCTCAAAATGGTCCCGCGGTCTTATTATGAACTAAAGTCATAGCCGCCGTTAGTGAGCCTTTAGGACCAGTACACTACCGTGGCATTGTTAACGATGTTCAGGCCTTATACACTGTTTAGTTTGGCTATAGAACCGGTGGGTATCAGACCTCCTTAAGCGCTGTAGAAGAAATCACCTCAAAATATGATCTTTTTCAACATGCCATTATAAAACCTTGGCAAAGGCTGTGACCTTGTTGCCTCTCTACTTGACAGTACTCAAGCTCTACTACAAGTTATATATTGCTGTCCTTGCTAAACTGTCCCAAAAAGACCGTGGTGATACAGAGAAAAAAATTTCAAAAACTTATTAGCCAACCTAATACAATGTTATTAAGGTCGGTTATGTCCATCGTGATATAAAACCAGCCAACTTGGCCATTGGTCGTCGAGGAAAAGAGGCCAGAATTCTTCATCTGCTTGACTTTGGACTCTCGAGAGAGTTTGTTCTCAGGACAAATGGGAAAATCGAAATGAGGAGAGCTCGGGAGAACTGCCTGTTCCGGGGTACCACCAAATATTGTAGTATTCGCACTCATGAACGGGCTGAACAGGGGCGCTCGGATGATTTGATGTGAGTTTGCATCTTATTGATGATATTAAAATAGATTATTTACTACATCAATTATACTGCACGTCAAAAGTTTGGAACAGGCCAGATCTTCTTTGCGGCTTGAGATGGGAGTTTCATTTCTTTTTTATTAGAAGCTCCATGTATTAAGAACCTCAATGAATACATAGCCATGGAAATCAGAAAGCTCGTTGGAATTTAAAAAAAATTTTTTAAAATAAGTGCGTCAAAAGTTTGGAACAGCTTTTGGAAGGTGATTATAAACTTCGGGATGGATGCAGGTATCCTCGCATTTAGTGTTTCTGGATGATGTATGGAATCGGCATGCCAATGGCATACTGATTTTCATCGATAAACCCAAAATGAAAAAAATGCTTATTGAGCCAAAAACTACGGTCAAATTTGCGAAAAAATGAATTTTTTGGGTTGGGTTCTCTATGTTATCGGTGTGTAAGCGTTCTAAGATATTTAATGTGGTCGCACAATTGTACAAGGGCACTCAGATCTTCGCATAGGAACTATATTCGCACAGCATAATTTATGAAAATTTTGAGTTTTGCTATAAATCTTTATTTAATGTATTTTATACTTTTCATAGAGCGGCTTGGAGGCTAATTGGCTTGGACACCGTTATCGTGGAATAAAAAGTTGTCTTCAAGAAACAAAAACCCACGCTACTTGCAACATCTAAGGCCACATCTTTCAGATATTAAAAAAATTTTTGCCCCCAAAATCAATATTCATATCTAACCCGGATTTGTGGCGGGATAATTCGGAGAGTTGGTTTATAATACTGTATCGGTGTGATAACGATAAAGCCACTTAGTTTTGAACCATGCAGCGGCATCAAATCCAAGATAAAAAATATGGGAATATTAACATTTCATATACCCGCTATTTTTAAAGATGTGGCCTTGATGTTGCAAATAGTGGCCAGGTTCTGCTTCTTAAAGACACCTTTTGATTCCACGATAACGGTGTCCAAGCCAATTAGCCTCCAAGCCGCTCTATGAAAAATATAAAATACATTAAATAAAGATTTATAGCAAAACTCAAAATTTTCATAAATTATGCTGTGCGGATATGGTTCCTATGCGAAAATCTGAGTGCTCTTGTACAATTGTGCGACCACATTAAATATTTTAGAACGCTTACACACCGATAACATAGAGAACCCAAACCAAAAAATTCATTTTTTCGCAAATTTGACCGTAGTTTTTGGCTCAATAAGCATTTTTTTCATTTTGGGTTTATCGATGAAAATCAGTAGGCCATTGGCATGCCGATTCCATACATCATCCAGAAACACTAAATGCGAGGATACCTGCATCCATCCCGAAGTTTATAATCACCTTCCAAAAGCTGTTCCAAACTTTTGACGCACTTATTTTTAAAATTTTTTTTTTAAATTCCAACGAGCTTTCTGATTTCCATGGCTATGTATTCATTGAGGTTCATAATACATGGAGCTTCTAATAAAAAAGAAATGAAACTCCCATCTCAAGCCGCAAAGAAGATCTGGCCTGTTCCAAACTTTTGACGTGCAGTATAATTTCAGCTCGATGATGTATGTTTTATGTGAGATGAGAGCACCCTTGCCATGGGATCGACTGAGGTAAGTCTGATCTAAAATTTACGTTTCACTTTAGCGTATTCATTATCTTTGATATTGCAGAGACAAACATGAGATTGGCAGGATGAAATCGAGTACAGATCCCGAGAAGTTATTGGCTGATAGTCCTCGAGAATTCATCAAGATCTTTGAGCATTTGAATGAGACCAAATACGACCAACGACCCGATTATCTGATGATTTACAAGGTGTTCACATCTCTCCTTCAGAAAAAGGGGATCAAGTTTGGCGATCCGTATGACTGGGAGAATCTGCCTGGATATCAGCAGCCTTCTTCGGTCATGGAAGACAAGAAGAAGGTTCAAACAATCAACGAGGATGTGTCCATGTGAGCTTATCCTTCCTTTGGGGGGTTTCTGGACCAATATTTAATTGATAGACTTGTTTATAGAGAGAAAACGGTGAGCAAAGAAACAACTCAGAAGACCGATCGATCCGAGGAAACCAACGACAAAGACTGGCCCAATCTATTTCCGCCCGAAGAATTTGGCAAAAACGAACTTGGATTCTAGAAGTACAGTAACCTCGATGATTCAGATACCAATAAATTCCCTGGAATCGAATGATCTCTATTCTCAATACCATCCTGCAAAAAAACCCTTCAAAAAAGCCAATATTTATGCGAAAATATTCGATATACAATACCTGACTTGGATGGGAGCATATTTATAAAATGAGACCGCGTAATTGAGAGAAAAGGCGTTGTCGCCGGAGGCAGTTGCGACTCCGGAGGGTTGGAGATCAGCACCAAAAATGTGGATTTAGTTTACCCAAACGTCGTCAAGGCTTTCTTCGGAGATTCGATCGGGAATATCAGCGGCTGGGAGTTGCGACGCTGAGCTTGGAGTTGGGTGGGGAGAATGACTTGGTCTGGAATAGGAAAGGGATACAAATGCATTGAGTTAGGACGGAACGTTATGATTAAAATAAAAAGTATTGGACATCAAGTAGAATAACACACCTTTTTTGTAAATAAAGCTGGCCCGGTGCCCACTGGTGGGTGTCCCTTGGCCAGAACTGTGATTCGAGACCTCTTCTGTGATTGCCTCTGATAATTTGTCGTTCCCATTGACCTCCGAACACTCTGATGTGAATTCTTTCTCGTCTTCCTCTTCCGTGATCACTTCCAATCGATCTTCCGGGAATTTCAATGAGCATACTGTATTTTTATCGCCAACTAATGGGCATTGCGGACTCTAAAGTTACATTGATTATAGTGGAAAAGATAATAAAGCAAAAAAAAATTGTAATTGAGACCTGTCTTCAACAAATCTTAAAGAATAAGTAAAAAGAGACTTACCCCCTTTTCCGTTGATGTCGAGCTGTTTTTCCTCGATCCCCCCGACTTTTGTTGGGAATAGAATCGATGCATAATTGTGCAAACGGCGACTCCAATCATCAACAAACATGTCACCAAGATCACGCATAATAAAACGACCAGAAATCCGGAGTTAGCTGAAATTTAATTTTAAAATTTTTTAACTATTATTTCGTTACAGTGTATGTCCTTACAGTCTAGTTTGAAAACTTTATTTACCTTCATGTCGACCCTCCGAGCATTCTGAAGCCGAATCCGGGATGACTCCGTTCATAAAGCAGGTCAGATTCCCAGTCCGGACCGTCTCCATACAAGCCTCGGCATGATGTGAATCGCCCACTGACCTGAGTCTGACCCGGAGATTGAGTTGCCAGTAATTGTTGCGTAATGGGCGGATTTCGAGTTCATTTCCGGCGGCAAAGGTGTGCGAAGTGATCTTCCCATCGCTCTGGAATATTGAGGATCACATTTTTTCTTCACTTCCACTATTTTTTCAATTTTTTAAATTTTAATTCGAAGTTGTGAGACAGAATTTCCTCTAAAATAAAACTGTTTAGAGTCTATAGACCATAATATGAATTATATTTTAATTTCATCGGCACTTTTCCCCTCGTTTTTGCAAATCCCAAAGGACCTCTAATCATGGGCAATTTCTGATTCCGGGAAGAGAAACCAGATGGGCAGATAAGAGGGCCGAATCCATGCTTATGGGCTGTTTACATCGGCCATAACAAGTGTGCGATTAAGACGGAGAAAAGAGAAGGGACAAGCATTAGTAAGAAGTGGATTACACATTGTTCTTCGAGATCCCACCTTATCTGTTTTCGCAGCCTGTTGCGCAACTCTGTCTTCTCTGTTTACAGTTGGTTACTGTAATCCAATTCGTTTCCTGGTTTATTGCACAATCTCGGTCTCTCAGGCCACTCTAGCCATGAGACTAATTAATTATTTACTTTTAGGATATGGGCTGATTCTGGAGACTTTTCGAAGGCCGAAGATTAACGGCGACACCTTGAAAGGCGGGCGATGGCTGCTTTGTTCGCATCTGAGGATAATGCACTTCGTTTTGCGGCTTTTTGGGATTGTTTGGACAGGATAATACGCTGATATTATACTTGTCCATGTAAGGTCCAACTAGTGTGTCTATTTGATACTTTTTAGAGGAAAAAGATGATCTAAAAAAGGTGAAAATAATATAAATCACCCTTTTATGTGAGGCTATTAATCTTGCTGCAAAATTTTTATTTTTCCTGAGGCATCCATCCTATCTGTCGCAATATATCGGCGAATATTCCTTCCACTCAAATTGTGAGAATAATTGGAAGCGCGCTAAATGTAATAAGAAGACACCCGTAACGCCTTTTCTCCCCTTCTCGATCCATCAATTAAATTCTCATTATTAGAATATTTTTCGTTAAGAGACCGGAGATGTAAATGTAAAAAAAAGAAGGAGACATGATGTCAAATTTAATCTTTCGAATCCTCAAGAGTCTGAAAATGGAGGGAGATGGGGATGCGATTACAATGATAAACAGAGATTTGAACTCTCAACGATATTTATAAAGATCTCAGTAAGATTGAGGACTCGCTGCCGTTAAGTCTATGGCCATTTTTAAAGAATAACTGGCAGTAATAGTTATCAAAAACTGGAGGTAATATTTATAAAAACATGATGTTTTGTGGGCAATCTCTAAATAATTCTTTAATAATTTTTATACCTCCGGCCTAGTCTAGCATCATCCGTACCCACATTGAGACACTCCCCTCTCAAAACTCTATCCTCTTCCTAATTTGATGACGTAATCCTCAACATGTCCCAACGCTTTTCCAAGACCACTTGAAGTTGGTTTGCAACTCAATCCTAAAGGTCGGTCCCATAATTGGCTTAAGTGGGGAATGCCGCCCCCCACAAAGTGTTTGTTTAAATGATTAGACATACATCAAGATACGACGCCATTGGGACCTCCAAAACGTCGGATCAGGCCCGACATTTTTCCGTAAAAGTGGGTGTGGAGGGGAAAAGGCGTCTTATAATGCTTTAGTTTTTATATTATATTAGCTCTGCTAGGGCAATATAAAGATTGTGGTCGGCTGGATTTCAAATTCGCATCTCGACTTCTCACGTAGATAAAAAGAGTCTTGGGGGTGATGTTTAAGGAGAACGCAGAAGATTAGCCAAATATTCCAACTCCAAAAATATCCCATCCGAAATATCATCTGATGAGAAAAATGACAGTTTTTGGTTAGAAATATCACTCGTTTTCGAGCTTTTGGACCCACAAGATAACTCTATAACTTTTTTAATTAACACTCACTCGAACGGAGAAGGAGAGGACGGCCGGCGACTGACAGGCATCAAACTTTGTCTTCACTGTGGCCGTTCCGATCTCGGGCAAGATCACTTCACAGCCGGGTAAACATTCCATCGAGGGATTCTGGGGTTAACGACAAGGCCGCAAGACTGAAAAAAAGAGATTAAATCAGAAAAGGTCCAAAAAGCCATTTATGACAAAAAAATATCGCAAATATTGTTACTGATGACAAGAAGAATACCAAAAGATGGTCTAATACCCTCTCTCTCTGTAAAGAAGAACGTCAAATCCAATAGGCATCATCCAATGGACAGCAAAGTCCCCTTCAAATGCTCGCATTCACCATTAATTATTACGCAGAATCCCATAAAAAGGTAGTCCCAGCGCCTAGACCCCAGCAAATTTGGTTATAATTTTAATAGTAACACTGTTCGGGAAGGGAAGTAAGTTGGGAAAACGAATGATTAAAGAGTAGTGAATATAAAGTAGGGGGAAAGAGCCAAGGATAGTATAAATAATATCAAAATTTGGCCATAAATATGGCTATTGTTCGGAAATTAAAAGGGATTTGCTGCAATTTAGAGGATTAAAAGAGGGGAAAATTATGGAAAAAAACCGCTAAATTTAGTTGGTTTATCAGACTTAATTTTGGATTCAATAAAGCCGTACAAATTTTAAAAACCTTTTAAATTGCAAAACGAATGGAGTAATTAGATGAAGAGGAATAATTACGTCACAACTATAATGGGGCCAAAGGTTCCGATGAGGGTTAAGATAAATAAAAAGCGTGCCATCGACGCTGACTGCCCTTATCTTTGGTATTTGCGAACAAAACGAGGTGATATTATACACGGGCGAGTAAAACACTCGATCATCATGACAGATCAAAATTCGCAAAACGTTTCTATGGACCTGAGAGATTTGTACAGAAAATTGGGCCAGATTTAAAAAAGTAGCTTTTTAGACTCCCCGATGTCCCCAATTTTTATCACATAGTCCAAAATCACTGAAAAGACCTGAGGTAATTTGCAAACACAAATTTTTTTGATTTACAGCGGATCAAAAAGATCGCTCGTCCTTGGAATAAAAAGTAAAAAATTTGACGACATAACAAAAAAATCTTAAAACAAACCCTGAGGGGATTTTGTTATAGAAAATTGCGTGACAGAAAATAAGGGCTCAGTAGATCCAAAGAATTTAACTTTTGTAAATTCTGATCCATCATCTCACAAGTCATGGGCAAAATAAACTCGGAATAACATAAAAAACAAGGCTACAGTAAAACATGAACTCCAACAAACCCTAAAGTTCCCGGTTGTTGGCTTCCCAGCCTTTTGTTGATGTAAGCGAGGGAAAAAGATTTCTCAACATCGTAACACCCGAACATAGACTACTATTCGGCATTAACAAACTATAAAAAATTTCGAAAATAAATTTTTAAAATCCCAACGAGTTCATCTACTCCGTTCTAAATAAACGTTCCAATCAACATAACTTTCCAATCAATTTTAAAATCACAAAAAATAAACTGAAATGAACTGTTAAGATGCCGATGATTACTTAATTGGGATTCGGTTTTCCTAAAGCTCCCTCATTTCCCATTGACATTCGCCATGCCTGAAATAAAGCACGCAATCTCTTTCCTGCGAACACAATCGGGGGATATCTTAAGCTCCGCCCCTTTTAAAGAGGCTCAAAGAAGGGAAGGAAAAGGTTGTTGACATCTGCAGGGGAAAGATATGGGGATATTAACCATAACACACGTTTGTTTTGAAACAAATCGAAGAACGGTTAATGAAATAGAATAAGGCAAACTAAGAAGTAGCAAATAGGAATTCAGATTTTACTAAAGATATTCTGAGAGAGCTACAATTTTTAATCCCTAAAATTTTTAACCCGCAATTCCCAGCGGCAGCTGAGGCATTGAACGGACTTCCTTTGGAGAGAACACGCGAAATGAAGAGAGCCGGCCAGACTGAAAAGATCCACGACTTTTTTGATCTGCATGGAAAATCTTGCTTCTTGTGGAGAAAAATTATACGATAATTGAGCGTGAAACTGCAAATCTAAACTTGCAAGAAAGGTAACCTTTTGGAGAACTTCTCTGACCAGAAATTTATAAAGAAAGAAAATTAGAGTAAACTAGGGGCAATGGGAATAAATATTTTGAGTTTGGATTTAAAATAAAAGCAGTCCCGAGTAACTCCGTGTTCAAGTTCTGGGAAAATGAGTACGAAAAGGCCTCAATCTGTATATTATCCACATAAAAGTGTTCCTTGACCCCATCGTGACGTCTTCCAAAGGCCTTAATTTGGTGCCAGCCTGGGGATGACCGAAAAACTATAATAACCATAGGAATACAACGACAAAGAGTGCATTTTGTGTCATAATTACTGTTTCTTTACAAGTAAATATACAATTTAACCTTAGACTGTGTCCTTCTTAATCAGCAGGCACTTATTATGCAAAATTGACTATTTTTTATAACTAAAACAACTTACTCGTCAAAAAATTTCAAAAAACAGTGAGATTACTTTGCAGAGTTTCCATTTGCCCCACAAACCAAGAGCAATCCTCTTATTAAGCCCTTGAAATCCGTCAGAGTTGCTGAAACATGTACTCTACTAACAGGGGAATTATTCCAAGTGCGACGCTCTGATTTTGATGAAACTTGGAAAAGTACAAGGACCTAGTTTTGACACTGCAAAGTCAACGCATCTACTTCGAGCGTTACTCCAATAAAAAAAACAAATACCTTTTATCTTCCAATACAAATAATAATTAACAACTGAAGTACTTGAAGTGTGACGCTCAGATTTTGATGAAACTTGGCACAAATTTAGAATAATTTTTTCTAAGATACATGCGGGAATCCTAGCTCGCGCTTTGCAGAAACAACCGAGATTTTTAGATCGAAATTCGGCAAAAATTTAGGACTTTTTGCCGAATTTCGGCACGAAAAGTTTCATGCCTATTTCAACTGTAAAGGATAATGTTTCTACAAAAAATCTAATTTTTCCGCATGAAACTGCCAAAATTATGGCCAAAAAGCGCTTTTCTCTCTGATCGCTCTCCACGTTTAGCGTGCTCTCTCGGCGGCGAAAATCGTTCGATATCTCGGCGGCGCCCGCAAAGCGCGAGCTAAAACTTTCATTTGGCTGGTTTTATAGACATGTAACCAACGTTTTAAGAAATTTTTAATTGCTCAAGATTTTGAATTCTGGACCTAAAAAGACTGCACTTGTAAATCAAAACATCGTAAGCTAAAAAAAACCGCAACGCTGAAAATTATGAACTGTACTGAAGTCCATAAAAAAAGAATTCTGCAGATTTACCATCAAAAAGTTGGAGTGGATTCAAACCAATTACTAAGACTCCCAATAACAAAAAAGAGGATGTCGGCAAATAAAACCACAAGACTTCCGACATAATTATATACATACACTGCTCCACGAAATGATAGACGCACCCTGTTTTTAGCGATTATCTTCCTTGTACTAAATGATATCGAATAATGTTCAACAGATGAAATGTGGCAAATTAAACGAGAATTCATGTCCCGTAGCGATTTTGGAACAAAATTTTGCCTTGACTGAGATATGACATTTTTAGACTTTTTTGGGGTCCACAAAATGATAGACGCAATTAAGTAATTTTTTGTTTATTTAAAAGAATTTTGAGTTAACCTGCTCTTATTACACTTCCTCGTGTTCTCTGTCGTATTAGAAAGGTAATTACATTTATATCCGCTGTACTTCATCGACGCAGTGGCCTTATGAGCCATTTCCGACCTTGTACATGGGGTAAAAATTCGTTTGAAAAAAATTTGATTAACGATTTTGCTTTCGCCAAAAAACCATCTTAAACCATCATAGATTACTAGTTGCAAATATAAGACATAAAATAAACCAATACCGATTCGCTTGAAGTCATTTAATCGACCATTAAGTTACCGTATACCTTCTACAGTAACCTTCAAAGGCTCTAAAAGTACAGAAGATTACTATCGATGTCAATTTTTTGCTCAGAAAATCAAACTCAGCATGTTAACAAACCTAAAACCGCAACTTATTGCCTGCTTAAATGTCATGATGATTGACAGATGATTGATTAAAGATAAACGTGTAAAAACAAGCCTATTTTTGTGAACTTTTTTTTGTCGAACGACGTTACCGACTAAAGGTATTCTGTAACGGCTGATGATTAAAACATTACGTTTTCAGGCATGCTCAGTTCGAATTTGCAAATTAAATTTTGTCATTCTCTTTGATCGCCTTGGTATTTCGGGGGTCTAAAAGTATTAAGGTAGCTAGTTGTTGAAGATGATATGCCAAGAAAATGCTCGGGATCCTTGAGCAAGCCGTTTTTTTTCATCAGTGAGATCTACACGTATAATGTGATAGTATTAGCTAGTTTTTCGCCCAAGAAAACAGAATCACCTACAGTTTTTTTCAAACCGAATATTTACCTCATGTACAAGGTCGGAAATGGCTCATAAGGCCACTGCGTCGATGAAGTACAGCGGATATAAATGTAATTACCTTTCTAATACGACAGAGAACACGAGGAAGTGTAATAAGAGCAGGTTAACTCAAAATTCTTTTAAATAAACAAAAAATTACTTAATTGCGTCTATCATTTTGTGGACCCCAAAAAAGTCTAAAAATGTCATATCTCAGTCAAGGCAAAATTTTGTTCCAAAATCGCTACGGGACATGAATTCTCGTTTAATTTGCCACATTTCATCTGTTGAACATTATTCGATATCATTTAGTACAAGGAAGATAATCGCTAAAAACAGGGTGCGTCTATCATTTCGTGGAGCAGTGTATTAATAGTTGTCTGTTTACTCATAAAAACAGGGTTCAGCCCAGGGCTCCACATAAGTTCGAAGTGAAGTAGAAAAGTTTAAAAATTGCAGCTATGACAATCGAATCATTTTTGACAACTTTTCACATTTTAAATGGCAGTTGTGCATTAGTAGCATAAAGAATATTAACTTTCTCATATATTCAAGAAGAGAATGTCCCAGTATGCGAAAAAAATATCAAAAAATTTTGTTTTGTATACAAATAAAGAGGCATTTTTGTGAGTACTTCCGGGTTCCGCGTTGTCTGTCTGCGAAGGCGATGTGAGCATATTCCAAATTACATTTTAAACTCTCAGTCATCAACACTTTGAAAGACATGTTTTCCGTTTATGGATGCTGTTGACGTGACTTGCAAAGAGTACAAAAAGTCTGGCCATCTCACCGAATATCGTCCGTAACCCTGAGGGCGAACATTACAAAAAAAAACCGAGACTCTCAAAACCGGCACGCGATCGGAAAATGGAAAGAATGGCCATAAACAGGGAATCTCTCACGGTTTTCAGGGCCGATTACAGCTTCAGAAAAGCGAGTGACAACGAGAATGTCTGGGAACGGAAATGAGGACTTGGACTGTCTGACCCTGAGGGCATCTCAATGGCGGACTGAGAACATCTAACATAAGAATTTATTATTATTCTCGCTGAGTCGATTATGTCACTATTTTCACTAGAGGAATACCTCAGGACGTGAGTCGAGCCGTTTTTTTTGCCAATAACCACTAAAAACCCCTGGCAATCTGCAAAAAAATTTTTTTTTTCAATTTCATTCAACCGCAATTTTTGAACTAAACATTCAGGTGATTTCGTGGAAAAATGCTGATTTCAAAGGAACCCTGAGGCGATAAAAAGAAACCCTCCAGGTCCGAATAGCCCATGTGCACCAAAAAGAAAGCTAAAATTAGCGCTAATGTAAATTTCAAGAATCGGAAAACGAAATTTGTATAGCTAAAGTTTTGTAGAAGGAGGTAGCCAAATCCCCGGAAATGACCCGTTGCAGAGTTTAAGCCTTTTTTCGACATTAAAAATTTATAAACACAAGAGTTGAGGGGGTTCTCATTCACACGTTGTCCTTTGCAATCCATCAAACCTTGACAATTAATGCGTTTTGTTGCCAGTATTACATCACTGCGAGTCTGTTATGTTTCCTCATAAAGCAAATATATGGAGTAATAGTAAAAACATCTCTAAAAAATGAAGTTGGCTAAACGATTCTGCAGATACGGCTCAACTGGTTCGCAAACCCAGAGATTTGTGGTAAACACAAGCTAAAACAACCGTGTACCACCAATCTTCCGATGCACTCACAGTAAACACGGTCTTCAAAATGAAAATACGATTAAAGGGCGAACAACGGTTTATTCGATAAGGAAAATTGGCCAAAATGAGGCCAAACAAATTGAATAAACCTAGAAAATCATTTGGATAATTGCAAGGGATTTGAAGTACGAGAGACAAGAGTGAGATGTCATGGAATGTGATCGAAAAAAGCTTTGCAAAATGTAGAATAAGTGAGTACTGTAATGACTGTTAGTATAATAAAATTAGTGTACTATAACCTGATGAATAAAATTTAATTAAATGAAGACAGATGTTTTTGACAAGACCATTCACGTATATTGTCAGCAAGAAAATAAAACGTAGACGGTATTGGAACCCGCAACCATAAACAGGTCAAAAACTTCTCAACTAAACGACCCGCATTTAATGCCAAACAAAATATGACCTAATCTCTTGAAGAGTAACATCCCTTGCTAACCCCATTTCGATAGAAATCTTATAAGAATAAAGCTACGTAGAATTCCCTGACCGGTACTTGAAGGATAATACATCAGACAACGGATAAGGCCAGATGAGTAATCTGCGAAAACGAACGGGTCACTCGACTGTCTTCGTTTTGTTCATCTTTCGAACCACTTTCTTGGTCCGGCGCACATTCTGATCAATTCGTTTGAAGAAATCCTTAACTGATTCTTCTTCCTCCACCTCTTTTTGGCCAATTTCCGGTTTCGATCCAACTTTTCTGGCCACTTTTTCCGAATCGGAGAGAGATCGTGTGGAAAGAGGGGAGTCGTCATAGATTGGGACCGAAATATGTGTCCGAGCGTACAAGGCGTCGTTAGACCAGAGTCTGCAGATAAGAAAATTTAATGAATTAATTAAGGGTGACAAAACAAACGGAAGTTGAACTTTATACAACGAATCCTCGTTGACTATAGTCCCAAAAAATAGTACGCTCGCATTAACTAGTATGTCTAAGCTCCAAAAACAATATAAGTACAAAGAATACTCACTTGTTGATACGTTTAATCTCAAACATATTGGAGTTGTACTTAATCTGGAGATTCTGCAGAGTGTCCGTTGGTTTGACCTCATGTTCAACTACATTCAGAGGTTTCCTGAGGTTATTGGAAGTGGAGTTTAAATCCCAAGTGGATCCATAACGCCGAATCCGTTGATAACCACATAAGAATGTGTTCTCGTTATAACAGGGGTCGCCCATTTGCCCGTTGAAGAGGTGTCATCGCTCTCTCGACAGCGCGGCCAAAACAACTTCAGGGCTGGGAGTTTAACAACCAAAAAGTAATACGAGCAAGCGTGTTTCGAGAGAGCTTCGGGCACTCCAAAAAACTACTGCAGAAAATAATCGAACAAAACGGAAGGCCCCTTATTCGTTTGGCACTCGCCGTTTTCGTGGTGGTACACAGGAAAAGTAGGAATTGAGGGTGACATTGACGCACGTTGTAATACTTGTAATACTATTTGCTTTGTCGTGTAATACCTGTGTTTATGTTATCAGACAGTTTCCGATGGCTTAAACAAGATTGCTTTTGGAAGGAACAGTGTACTTTCAACAGTATCGGGGCTGAAAGTCAGAAATCAGATCGGCTCCTCTTTGCCAATAATACGATATGTCCGACTCATTAATTTATTGACGTACTTTTTCTCTCCTGGAAATGCCATTAATAACCCCCGTCGAAGGCAATTTGCCTTATATTATCCCGGGACAATTGGCTCTGCAGATCCCGGGTTGTTTATAAAAAACGGCTTGGACGGATGGAAAGATGATCGGATTGGATGCCCTCAAGCCACACGTGTTCGTAATGGACCCAAACGAACGTCAGAGCGGCACGAATCGAGGGATGACAGTTGTCGGTTCAAAGGTTTGAGACGTTCCTTGGAGATCAGTCCCAGCGGCTATGAATGAGCTTGTTTTTCCGACTCGCTTTATGACCCAATTAAACGGGGACCTGATTAGATCTGTTATCACAAGGTGTTAGAGGGTCTTTAGGAGCGTGGCCAAAGTTGGGAGATCCTTAATCAAAGTCCAGGAAGTTGTCAGTAAAAAAGACGACATCCCCCATCAGCTAGGAGTGTTTTGTTTACGTGAGCACATTCTCTCGAATTCTGAGGACGCTTTGCTTGGAATTCAGGCATGTGATGGTACCTGTTTGAGGTTGAACTGATTTTTGCCTTGATTTAAAATCCTTGTAATTTGATTATCTCCGTTCCGAACGCCGATCTGAACGTCAGTTGTCGTGTTTTAGGAAACCCCAGACTGTTTGGGTTGTGCTTTGAACAAAAATCAAAGGCGTGAATTTTAATGTCATGTTGTTTACAGTTTCTTTTTATCCTCTCCATAAAGTGGTTCTTTGCAGAATATTGGACGGGTCTCCGTGATGGAATTGACTCCGATCGGCGCCGAGTTTGAGTCGATCATAGCAGCCGTCCTCCTCTTCCTATTCGGTGGGATCATCTGTTTCTTGGCCTGCTTTGGTGTTACCCATTGCTATCTCTGTTACAAACGACGAATTCTACGGAAGAAGCGAAGACGTGACCGGTCCGAGGATTTTAATTACACTACGTTGGACTTGGAATCACAAACAGATGAGGTCTATGTTACAGATGGGAAGAAGTTGAAGGTCAAGAACGAGAACCCGGTTCAAAGGCCATCCAATGCGAGTCTCATTTCGAATGGTTCCTCGGAAACTACTGGCTCCACAAAGAGTACGAATACTTAAATACTCGAATTCATTCTGTCTCTCATCACTTACGAGGTAATAAACGTATTATTAAAACTTCCTCTCCCCAATATCATAAACTCTATATGATTTATTTAATTTTCTGTAATTTAATTTTATTCACCCGTATTTTAGAAATATTGCTTAAAAATCATGATATTATGACTAGTCAAATCCACAATGTTCTGAGGGAGAAAAGGTGCAATTGTTGCTTCAAGAACACCAAGTAGATGACCTAAATAGTAATTTTTTTGTGGATTCGTCTCTCTCCCTACCTGCAACGACATCAGAGAAATAATGGCGGCCCAAGGCAACTCGGGATAGGCCAAGGATCACGGGGACTACGTAGATAAGCAGCTTACACACCGCACATTGTATGTTGAGCATTTTAATTCTGCAAAATTTCTTTTGATAAGCACCTATTATATTTATTTACCCCAAAGCGCACACCATCGTGGCTCGAGATGTGTGCCCTGAGGGGAAACTGAATTTGTCGGCAACCGGCGCCTCGTAGATCTGATCATCGTGATTGTAGGGCGGTCTTGGCCTTCGAACCGCCAATTTGATTAATCCCACAAAGGCCAAGTCGATGGCAATTCCTGGAGAAATAATGCATCAGGCAAACAAATGAATCAGGCTTACGCAGACGTCAACTCGAGCTTGTAAACTTTTTTATTTGGCCAGAACTTTCCTAATTCCAGCTTCCACAGACAAAAGGTTTGTAAATTATTGTTTTGTGTGCAAACAGAAACTAAAGAGTACTATTCCCTTGGGTCAAAGTTCTTTATTGAACACTGTTTACATTGGTGAAAGAACGGGTAGCAATTTGGGTACAATTGAGGTGTTGGGGAGCAAATAGAAAGCTCGAGATGGAATGGGACGGTCAGCGAACTCGATGGGATGAGTCAGCGATGGAGAAAATCACTGGGAAGAAGTCAAAGGTGTTGAGTGTTGGCCATAAATGAATGAAATACGAAGCTCAAATCAACGCAATGATTACAAACTCAATATCTTATCCAAAATGATCGTCACTCAGTCTCTGGCCCAAACCCTGACTTGACGTCTCAGTTGAAGGAAGGGCGAGGTCCCTGGATCTTCTCTGAAGCCTCAGCCGCTCCAAATCCGGCTTCTCTCTTTCCGTACCACCCATATCCATAAGCCGGGTAGCCATATCCGTATCCGTAGCCGGGCCATCCATAATAATATTGGGCGGCGGCTTCTTGGGCGACGAATCCGATGAGGAAGAGAGCAACGAAGATGGAGAGAGTGAACTTGGACATGCTGATCGTAGAATGGATCGACTGATGTTGGGCTCTGTTGATTGTGAGCTTATATTCTCCCGGCTGTTTGACTGTTGGGAGGCCTTGGCAAACTTTCGGAAACCAGTTCGCGAACTCGGCGCCCGAGCCCGAAGAGATGGCTCTTGTCGTCTTGATTTCGTTTTGTTTGTCGTATAAGTAAAAAGCGGGTCCAGGAATAGCATCGGGCGCGCGCGGGTCGAGGGCTCTGTTTGTTGCGGGAGCGGGGGTTCGAGATGGTTCCAAAAGTCGGAGGGCAAATAACGCGCGAGCACGCTCGGTTGTTTGCCTCCGGGTACCCGGCATTTGTCAATTGTTAAAATGCAGAGAAATACACAAAACGCGACAGAACAGGCTTTATTCCGCATAAAAAACTCCAAAATTTGCGCAGGGATTTAACGCTGGGACCCGCCCAAATTGTAGTCACCATGCTCAGGTGTATAAATTGAGAGAGTTAGGATGGAGGGCATCAGTTCGACTGTTCATTACTTCAGAATCATGTCTCGAGTCACTCTCTCCATCCTCGTCGCTCTCTTCCTCATCGGATTCGTCGCCCAAGAAGCCGCGGCCCAGTATTATTATGGATATCCGGCCTATGGATACGGTTACGGCTACCCTTACTACGGTTACTACGGCTACTACGGCAAACGAGAAGCCGGTTTCGGAGCTGAGGAGAAGATCCAGGGTCCCCGACCCTCGTTCCAATGATCGGAAGACGCGATATTCGATTGTAATCACTGATCCTCAATTCCATTTTTCGATTCATTGCCCGGTATTATGAGAAAATAAACATTTCTCGCATGCAATTTTGAGGGAATTACTGCATCTTTTTGTGAACAATATAAAAAATTTTAAAGCTCTGACCGTAATTGTGTAATACGTTCAAAGGGACCTTACCGAACAGTAGAACCGCCCATTTCCATTGAATTTCCTGACTGTACTCGGCAACACAAACATAAATGAACACGGAGACACTGAATATGAGCCAGGGGATGCCGTGCGCACTCCACTCGATCAACAACAATGGGAAACGGGCGTCGCGAGAGAGATTGGATTGGGTCCAGACACGTGAGATGTTCAAGGAAACACGGGCATCGTATTCCAACATCTATCTGAAAAGTGGAGCGTTACATTCATGACCGCTTGTCCCATGAATATCTTGTGACACTTGTAAACACATAATCACAAGGCTTTGAATAAAGGCATTGTCTACAAGACCTAACCCATACTACATTCAATCACTCAACCAATCATGTTTGTGTTGACTAAGGCCCCCTACAAGCAGGTCAACGTCATCCTTTCTTTGCAACAAAACAATAACTTCCTTGGATTTCCACTCAGCACAAGGCATTTCCAAACAAACAGTCATTGAACTTTATTACGGTAATTATAATACAACCAAGCCACCACAAATAAAATCTAATTGATAGCGCTATTATTTTTTGCTCTTCTTCGCCTTCTTGGCCCACCGTTCTTCTACTTGAGCTGCCATGGGATCTGCCGAGATTGTTTTGGTCAGATTGTAGGCTTCTGTTTCGGCTTCTGTGGGTTTCTTTCCGAATTCCTCGTAATGGGAGTTGTACTTCCTCTTTCTTTCGTTCAACTCTTCTTCTTTATTCTCCCTAATGGCTTCCAATTTTTGTTTTTTCAGCTTTTTGATGGCCTTCTTTACTTCTTTGTCCTTTTTTCTTTGTTTCGCTTCTTCTGATTCGGATTCTGAAGATGACGAAGATTCTGATTCCGCCTTCTTTCCCTTTGACTTCCTCTTTTCCTTGTTCGATGATTCTGCATCTGAATCCGAATCTGAACCAGATGATGTTGAAGATCCAGAGCTGTCCTCTGACTTCCCTTCTTCTTCATCCTTCTTTTCCGCTTTCTTGTCTTTTTTCCGCTCCTGTTTGTCCTTTTCTACCTTCTTCTCCGTATCTCCAGTCTTCTTGAAGGCATTAATCCGTCTCTCCATCTGATCTGAAGGTAACTGTTGTTCCAATTCGATTCCCTGTTCTCCCAAACAATACGAGTTCTTGATGGTTGAGTGACAACATTTGTATCCCCATTTCCTGTTCTTGTACCAACTCCCAAATACTGAAGTATGATTCCCCGGATGCACGTCTTCTTCGTATTTACTCTTGATGGCAGCCCTCTCAATTCCTTTTATCACCTTTCCCTTCCGATTATATTCCACATAATTCTCAGTCTGCGCCAAGAGAAGTTCCTTGGGAGGGGCTTTGAGATGTTCTTCACCGCCATACTTCTCCAGGAGTTTCTGTTTGGTCTCATCTTTTGTTCCACTGCTCTCCTTCTCGTATTCTTTCCGGAGTTGCTCCAATTTTGTTGGTTCGGCCAGGGCATGCACATCAATACCTTGTCGTTTCGCTCCCCACGCGAAGACCTGTGCTTTATTTGCATCCACAACTTCTCCTGTATATCTGACAAAATTCTCCCCGGCAAATTTTGCAGCCTCTTGTTCCTTTCCAGGACGACCAGCAAATGGATTTTCTCTCATCGACCTTGATTTAGGATCATAATAAGGCCCGTTGGGATCGAGATTATACAAGTATTTAGCCGTGTCTTCTCGGATTCGGAGGTTTCTGACAGTAATTCGTGTTCGGGAGTCCATATCTACACTCTGAGCAGGAGCAGCATCATCAGCATATTTATCTTCATCTTGTTCGACTTCTGGTGCATCCTCAACTCCATCTTGTATCTAAAATCATACGGTAAATAGCGTAAAACAAGTCATAATCGTGCTCGCATTACATATCACCTAATAAATAAGAAAGTAGAATAAGCTGTCACGCACATTTTTATTTTTAATAAGTTTCCTCGTCTCTTCCATCTGTTCATAATCCTGAGCAACCTCTTTATAGTTAGATGCATCATACCCATTCCATCGATCTCTCTTCGCATCATATCCCAATTCCAATTTTGGGGCAACATAATCGTCAGCAGCAATGTTTGACTCTGTTTTGTTAGCTCCTTTCGATCTGGGTCTTTCAAAACAATCTTTTTTCTTATGCCCCATAGCTCCGCAGTTCTCACAGGCGCCCTTTCTGAACTTGGTAGCCACTCGCCCAGTTGTTCCACGGGGATACCACTCGGCCAACTTTGCCTCCATTTTCTGTCGTTCGGGATGTGGACGTTGATGCTAAAACCAAATGTTAAGAATTTAAATTACACAATTCATGAATGATCGGAGAAACTTCCTAAACAAAAAACAATAAATGTTTTAAAGCTTACTTGCAGAGTTGGACCGGAGTGTGGGATATACCATGGTGTCTTCTCGATGAACTCAGGGATATGAGGATTGATGTCTCTTCCGGTTTCTACATCCACCATAGCTGGTGCCGTTCCGGCTTTTCTCTGTTCCTCCAAGTCCTTCTGCTTTCGGTACTCGTCCTTTGTTCGTCGTTGATCAAACTCATCGCCCATCGAAGATCCCTGCTTCAAGACGGCAGAAATCGGGAGATTCGGGGTGGCCATCCTGTCTTGAAGTAAACTGTAATAGTTAGAGAAGGAAACTGGTAAAAAATACTAATTAAAGACTTTATAACAAACGATAAAGCAATAAACACTAGAACAATTTATTCGTCTCTAAAATCTTTTTGGAAGAAAAATCTTTCAAAACACCGCTCGCAAGCTGCGCCCACACGGCACGCACAACTCAAATGCCATTTTATACTTTGCAAACGAGAGCAAGGCCAACATTTCGGCGAACAGCTGAAGTCCGAAAAGAGCCGCATACCCTACACAAAAATGACGTGAAAATTTTACGCAATTTACGACTCATTATTTTATCCGCATTTGCTGAATGCACTATCTTAGATTTGGTTTCCTCCATGGCGATGTCCACAGATATTATCAATTTTCCATTCCCAACCAAACAAGGTTATTGGAAGATCGGGAAGTTGAGTAACGTTAACGTCACCCACCGTGTGTGAAAGCTTTCAAAAACAACCTAAATTTATTCTTTCATTTTCCAAATCAACAACAATTAGATGGGATAAAGTCAAATTGGGGCAGCGGGAAATACTGAAGACCCATAATCAGTAAGGAAGACATAATTATAGATTATAACTCGTTTTAGATGAGTAATAATATGATTAATTCGAAAATGGAGAGATCTGAGAATGAATACAATAAAAAGTGAGCAAATAAAACAACATCCCTCAGGATACTAAACATTTGAGTCCTCAAAGACGAAGAATACCAGTATAACGCTGACACTGCGGAGAAAGGTGTAAACAAAAATATAATTAATTGTAGAACCGGCTGACTACTTGTTTCAGACGATTGTTGGGGCTAATGGAACCGTTGAAAAGCTCGTCATGGCTGGATCCGGCTGATTTGTTGGACAATCTGGGCGAACTCTGATCCACGTAAGCCTTGTTGACAGGAGTGGCAAACTTTCTTGAGGTGGCTGGTGCCTTCTTTGCCAGCTCTTGATCCGGAGTTGAATGGAACAGAGGGGATGCCGACAAGTCTGTAGAAAGACCCAGGGATCCATCATGGGTAGTCTGGTAGGCATAGACACGAGAAGAGTTCAGGCTGGGCCGGACATACGGCTGACGTTGGGAACACGCGTAGTAAACTAGAAAGGCTATTATAAACATAATTTAGTACTTACCAAACATGAACAAGGTAGCCACAGCAAAGGAGAACATCAACATAATCGAGATTCCGGGATTGTTATCAAAGAATTCTCCCAGCAGCCTTCCAATTCCACTCTTGGCTTCATCTGCAGTCTGCTTTACATAGTTATACGATTGCCCTAAAGTCAAATTGCTGTCTCCAGTTGTATCAGCTTCATCCTTCAGTTCTTCGGGACTCAAATCTGCCACTGACAATCGCAGGAAGGTGGCAATTCTATGATCTTTCGGATCCCAAACCTTAAGGACAGTCTCCCCATCATACTTCAAATAAATTCTCAGAGTTCTTCGATCATCAGATGATTCAATTTCTGTCAGATCGAATCGATGAGGCCTGTAGGAGACCTTGTTCCTGGCTGCATGCAGGACTCTTCCCCGGTTGTCTCTGAATCCCACATGAACGGTGATCCAATTTCCTGGGATTAAACTCTCTCGGATTCTGTGAACGTTCCCATCAACGGTCAAATGAATCGACTTGGCAGCAGTAACTTCGACAGTGACAAAGTGGCTGTTATTATAGACGGAGTTGTTGTGCTCCACCAAAATGGCGCCGACCCCTTCCAAAGAGCCGGATTCAAGGATAACCTCGGGAATTCCATCAGCAGTTTGGCCCGATTTCACGCCAAACAATTTCTCAGATTCCTTGCTAGCTTTATAGACAACTTCTTCCACTGGTCTGAAATCAACAGTTAAACAATCAGAAACAAAACGCGGTTGCGATAAAGTTATGTTACCAACCTGTTAATGCTCAACGGAAGTGAAGCCAGTGGAGTAACTCTAATTGTGGGTTGTTTATCCAAGAACGGAGCGACGAAGTTCACCGGATCGTGGACATTTATCTTAATGACATCATTGAAATGGGATTCTCGGGTCAAGAAATGTCGATACGAGCTGGAATGGGCAGTGACTTTAACCTCCAGCTCGGCAATTCCACTCTTCAACCCCCTGAGCTGTGTAGCAAACTGATTCTCCTTCTTCTCTCTGACCAATTTGTGCATTACGGGTTCAAAATTGAGGATCTCCGAGTCGGCTTTGGAGAGCTTCCATTCCACTGTTAACGGGTAATCTGCTCCTCCAAAAGCAAACGGACTCTCGTCTGAGCCCGCAATTCCTTCAACTCGGGCTTCCAACACTTCTCCAGTTTCCACCAAAGAGGACGACACAACGATTCTCACACCGGCCAACGAAACCACCTTTAAAATTACAGTATCCGAAGTCACAGTGTGGCCGGAGTATCCGACCACTCCTTTGATGGAACTGTATCCAAGTGTTTGAGTTGAATGGATAAGGCCGTTGGACGAAATTGAGGCAATTGCAGTGTTATTCATCTCGAAATTTACGGGATGGATTGGCTGGGGACCTCCAATTATTTCCAGCTAAACTTATAAAACATTATTTTAGGTACCTATAATTTACAAAAAAAAAAATGAAAGACTTGCCTGGAATACACTTTGTGGGATCAGTGTGACCTCTCTTGGATCCAAAATCAAAGGAGCAAATACTTGAAGATGATGTGGAGTACTTCTAACAGTCTTTCCAGTAGCAGAAATTGCAAAGACAATAATCTGAGTAACGCCAACTTTGACTCCAAGGGCGTTATAGGTAAGTAATCCTTGTTTATCCAGGGAAACGAGATCATTATTGTATTCCAAGTTCAGATTGATCTCCTGGATGTCTTCCAAAGCGAATTCCTGGCCCTCCACATCGATGACGACCACTTCAAGTGGGACTTCCTTTTGAACCTCGACGAACTCAGCTCCCCGGATTCGAATTTCACTAATCTCGGTTACTTTAACATCCACCTTCACTTCATGTCCGCCAATACAAAGGTCATGAACCACGAGTTTAGTGAGACCTTCTTGAATGGGGCTCAATTGAATCTGGGTTTGGCCGGGTTCCTTTGGGTTGGTCAAGAGATGAGCATTCACGTATTGCCCGCTGACAGTGTAGTCAATCCAGAAATGTCCAGAACCCCCAACAAGTGTGACAACTCCTCTAGCTTCCTTCTGATTCCAGAGAACAATTGAAGTTGGAGTGGCAGCCGCTTTGTCAACAAGATTCAGTGTCAGGTGTGAAGAAAGTGTCTTTCCAATAGACTTTTTCGACTTCTTGACATCAAATTGGGAGGTAGAGGCCTGGATATCAACAACACCAGCTCTTCCAGAAGGTTGGATCACGGCATAAACTAAAAATAAAAAGAATAAAGATCAAATAAATATTACTTACTGAATTCTTGCTCTTCAGCTTTGTCAAAGCGATCAATCGAAGCCAGACTCGTTTGTTTCACCCTGAAATCAACGACAAGAGATGAAACTGAGGAGAATTTCCGTTCCATGGCATCTTCACCTTGGCTTGAGCAGTGGCCAAACGCCGACAATTCCAAATAAGAGGGTTCTCCAAAGAAGACAGAGTGCTAAAACAATAATCAAAACTCTAAACGTATCCCTACCGTCGAGGTTGGGCAATTTCCGCCTTTAGAAACCTTGGCTTTGCTCCTCTGAGTTAGTGCAATTCTAGATGGAACAGAGCAACAGAGCTTGGCTTGGGCAACAGATTGGGCTGGGAACGGCAAAGAAGTACTTCTTCTGTTCCCAACCTTCACCGAGACCGTAGTTTCGGCAATATTTTCTTTGCAGACAGCTCTGTAGACATCTCCCGTGTTCTCAATTTCTCCGATCTGACCGTTTCCGGCCTCAACCTTCGCATAATATTTGCTTGGATCAAACGTAAATGGTCTTGGGCCACCTTCAAATTTAAAAGGAGCGGATGAACCGAGGCCAAGAAGAAGTTCCGTGTCAACAGTAATCTAAAGCAATGTAAAAACCCAATCGAAACTCTTACCTTGAGTGGTGGAAATGCAAATATATCAATCTGAGCTTTCAAACTTCCATAGGAGACAGTAATCTTAGAATCCCCAACAGCCTTAGCAACAAGATGGATAGTAGAACATCCGCGATTCTCCTCAGGGATTGCGCCGGGTTTCGCTAAAACAAAATCACATAAGATTATTGAATAACTTACATTTATCGACTTTAAACACATTCTGATTCGAAACCTGGACAGTAAAATCAAAGTTTCGGCAGTCAGTGAATGGCACTGGTGATCCATTCAGCTCGGTGAACATCTTGATATTCAGAGTGAGAGCGGTTCCAATCTCGGCTTCAAGGACTGAAGGACCAAATTCAATGCCCTTGGGCTCAATTACAATCACCTAAACCAAATAAAAGAATAAAAAAACAGCTAACCCTACCTTCGAGATATCCCGATGTTGCTCATTTCTATAATCAGCCACATGTACGATCGTTTCTCCAATTTCTCCACTACTGACAACTCCAGATTCAGAAATCCCAGCAATATTTTTATTTTCAGTTGACCACACAAAGACTCCAGACCCTCCTTTCACCTTCAATTTGTAATTGTACGGATAGTTTCGTTGATATGGGAAGATCAAAGTTTTAGGAGTGAGATCAATGGGATCAAAGATTTCGGTTTTCTGTTCTCCATAAATAGGAACCGCCACTTTCTGGGTATATCCATTGACATCGATGAGTTCCGTGAAGTGGGATTTGATGGTGATTTGCCCAGTCCTCTTCGCTCTGACTTTGAAATAGGTGCCGTTCTTTGAAGATTCGATTTTTTCGAAGTGGTCGCTCAAGTCCGTTTCAAAACGGGCATTCTAAAAATATAAATCAAAAGCAAAAACACTTACTTCAGGAATAAACACGTTCTTTCCTTGCAAATCGAGCAGTTTAACTTCAATTTCATAAGAAAGTCCAGCTTGTAGAACCCAATTATTTCCTCGGCTAATGGTGAAGAAGATTGAATCTGGCTCCACCACATATACATGAGCACTCTGGGGTTTAAAACCGGCCTTTTGTTTGACGGCTAAACATAAAACTCACAAAAAACCAATAACTTACTAGTATCGTATAACGTAACTTCCACATTCCCCAATGCGTTTGCGGTCAGGTAATTGGTTGTTGGATCCAAAGAGCAGACATCAGGATCGCTCACAACCAGCTCATACTGATCTTTCGGAACAGCTAAAGAGTACTATTATAATATATCATTCCTATACTCACGCTCTGTGGCTCCTTGTTTGAGAATGACAGCACTATAAGGAATGACCGATCCGGCGGTAACAAACAAATCTTCTGACGGGATAAGCAGTAGGTTGGCCACAACATAGAGTTCAATTCCATGAGGTGCAACATACTAAAACGTTCATAGTAATAACAGAAAAGAAAAATTACACTAAAGTCCGATTCGCTGAATCTGGCGGTCAATTTAGCAGCCCCAGTTTGAATTCCTTCCACCAGAACCACATATCCCTTCTTTTTCTGCTTCTCCAAATCCTCGATTCCAGGTGGAGCGTCGTATTTGCTCTGAGAAAAAGGAATAATTCTCAATGGCCTTCTAGACGAATCGGCAAACTCAAACGACCAATCAAATGGGATATCTCCAAGAGCTGAGAAAGCGTGCCCTTTGGCGTTGAAAGCATCCACATACATCCGAGCTGGAGGGGCTTCGAGGAACAAAAGATCGGTGATGGTTTCTACTTTGATGGAATGGATAACGTCCACAGACACCCCACAGGAAAGTGTTACCCCACTATCTAAAATAATGAAATAACAGAGACAGCAAATGGTGTCCTAAAAATAAAAAGGTAACAAAAACATACTGAGATCTCGGGCGAAGATGGTTGCACTTTGTTCATCAGCATGTTTCGATCTGGACGTTAAAAGGGCCTTGTCCGAACATCCATTGGCTTTGGGATCTATTGGCTCGATGGAAGCAACATCGGGACGAGTGGACCTCCTGAAAGCACGAATCCCATTAAAAATACATTTTATAAAACGATAAGTACTCCTAAAACCTTACCAAGAAAAACATGCGCCTCCCGGATGTGATACCTCGAGCAGAAAGGTTACTTGATTTGATGGATGATACGGCAATAAAACTCGCGGAACGTTGAGTCGAAATGCATTTAGGCCCACAAAGAGCCCAAGAGCTATAAGCAATAAGGGTTTGGGGAAACCCATGCTGAAATTGTTTCGGGTAAATGTATAAGGTCGGAAAAAACGCGATTGAACACCAATTTATCCTGCAAAAACAGCAAACTGTCAACTAAAAACCGAGAAAATATATTTCGAAAAAAATAAAAAAATCCCGCTTTTCTTTATCCTGTTTGTCAATTGTTTTCGTGGTGGGACAATCGGATTTATAACGCGTAGAGCAACATTCAAAAGACTATCTTTTCGATTAATTAGCCGTAATTGCAATATTTTGCTGCTTACTCAGTAAAGGAGAATATATTATATTGTCCCACAGAAGGAAATCCGTATTCTGGCTCAAGAATCATTCGCTGACTACATAAACGATACAAAGAGTAAGTTCAACCAGGATGATGATAATTTATTGTGTGAACGACAGGCCTAGGTGTTCTATGAACAATGTTCGATCACTCAACTGGAATTGCGATTTTTTGATACCACTTGTAAGAGAAAATTCAAAAGTTCTTGTAAGACAATATATATTATATAAATTATATATATTATGTACTGTAAAATTGCATTTCTTCGGGGGCTTCTGGCGAGAAAGAGTTGTGGCGTGGGTGTTGAAAAATCATTTGATGTCGCTGACAAAGCACCAAGAAATCGTTCGTACTGTTGTTTGTGAGTTATTCTGAAAGTTGGTTGAAATGTTCGGGCGCAGCTCGGAAAATAGGCCTAGAAAAATATGCATATTTGAAGAGTTGATTTTTTCTCGTTATAAGCCGACGTGCGCCCGAGTTCCGTTTCGTTCGCATGCAAAATTTTCACAAGCATTACTGTAGGTCTGGGCGCGAACTGCGAGAGCTTGGTCGTTTTTTGGTCGTTTTCCCACCACATCGCGGAATCTTATCGAGTTTCCAATGGCTGAACATGTCGCTGCAAAAGGCAGTCTTACTGATTCTTTGAGGAATCTGGATTTATCTGTTGGCCCTTCATATCAAGATCAACAACTGGATGGAGGTAAACGATTATTTCGAGTGTTAACAAGGAATACCATGTTTTAGGATCAGAATCGGCGGAAGGGGGAGTATACATTGCTCCAGACTTGAATCGACCTGTGGAATCACTTGGAGTTCCATTTGCCAATCATGTGCGCACGGTAGGGCGAGCAAGTCGTCTCAGCTCTGAGCCGTTTATGTATCTCATGGATTCTCTCAGCATCCGCATGGTCAAGACCTTTGCTGTAGGTGTTCGTCTCAGTTTTAACTGTGTTTATAGATGGCAAGCCCGTATTACTTACATGCCGTCCAGAGGTACTTCGCTGACTTTCGGTGTTTGAACGTAAACCTCAATTTGAAGAAGTATTGTTTGAGCAAGAAGGATCCGTGTAACTGCGTGGACCGGATGTGTGGAGACAGAGTCATTCGGAAAGTGAAGACATGGGTAGATTTTTTTCATGCTGGGATCGTGCATGTTGATTTTGTTTACATCAAAGCAACCAAAGAAATCCTGCAGAAACATCATTTTAGGGCTGTGGAGAAGTTAATGAAGGAGGTCTCGGGTAAGTTTTGCGATTTATTACTAGGCGCGACATAAAGTCCGTAGAATTTTGCACAATGCATTCAACCCTTTTTTTCGCACGCACCGTGGCGATTCCCCGTTTTTGCACTAGCGACATGCACTTTTCGGCGATTGCACCCGCGACGTTGGCGAAAAAAATTCTACGGACTTTATGGCGCGACTAGTGTACACTTGAACTGCGATTTTACCTTATATTTTTACATTACTTTAGGCGTCAAAAAGATTTTTCTTGAACTGAGCCAGAATAATGCTCCTGAATTGGCCAGAATTGTTCATGATTTGTGCGAGAAATCACAAAGAGACGACCTGTTCGTCTATGTGAAGGATGCAAGCATCGACAACTTCACAATGAATATTCCTCCCTTCTTTCCCGCCTACACTAACCGTCTCGTCTTTACGAATGACGGATTCCCTGAACTCAGGTGTGGAGAATGTAAAAAGTTCCTGGTTGGCAATGATTTGCATCAATACGAGAGAGATGCGGGCAGAAAGCGCAGGTCTTTTCGTATTTCAAGGGTCGTTGATGAGATGATTGACGACTGGATGCATGAAGTTATCTTTGATGACATTGTTGTACATAATGACCCCAGGGAATTTTGGCTTGAAGATGAAGAGGAAATGGATTTGTTTTAGATACAATTTTATAAAAGCAATGCCTTCTTAATAATGTTGTTATGTTCTCATATTTTATATTTTTGTCTTTGCACACACCATTATAATCTCCTTTATTGTTTTTTGAATAAAAAAGGTTTTGTTGTTCCAATCATGGTTTGTTTCTAATATTATTTATTTAAAGTTAAAACTATATTACAATTCTTACCATGACAGGTTCGGTATAAAACTCAATCGTTTAAAAGTGTTGAGAATCGGAAAAGTGAAAGACTCGTATTTAAATAACCTTTGAGCAAGAGCCATGCGTATATATTAACAATAGGATCAGCTAAACTATCTTACATAAGTCCATGCAATTGGGAGAAAGAAGAGGGATCAACAAATAGACCATGGCAAACAAACAGGGGTTACATTCCCTTGAAGTAGTCGCTTCCCAGACATTCTTGAGCCGTCGGTCTTTCGTAGGGAAGGAAGGATAACATGGCCGATAAAAGGTGTTGACCGGGCAACGACATTCGAGGAACCAGATCTCGCATGGGCCTGGGGGCATATTTCTCGAAACAATTAACATCTACAATCGCATCAAGTGGCCATATCGCGGCAGATGGAGTTCCAATCGTCCTAAATAGTGGAATTATTCTACTACTGATGTAATATTTAGAGTCACAAGTAATAGAGAAATCAACTTACTGAAAGATCAGCTTTAGCATACTGGCCTCGGTATTCGCAGGGAAGAGTGCCGTCCGGTTCATTAACTCTGCGATCACACACGCAGTCGACCAGATATCGACGGCTGTATTGTACTTGCATTGGAGAAGAACCTCCGGACATCGATACCAAAGGGTGACTGTCTGAAGAAAACAACTATTAGAATTGAAAACCACACGAGACGAAGCTTCTAACTTTCATAAACTTCCGTACCTTTGATGTGAATGTGGTGTGAAGAGAATAAGTCCGGGATAAACCAAAGTCAGTAATCTTAACTTGATGATCCCTGTTCACCAGGATGTTCTGCGGTTTAATATCTCGATGCAAGATGCCATAAGAATGCAGGAAGTCAACTCCACGTAACAACTGAAAAGGATGAAACAATACAATAAAACTAGCTTACTTGAACCGACAGATATTTACATTGAGCTTCTCCCATATTCATTGGCAATTCGTGGAGATAACGAGAGAGATCGAAATCACACCGTTCAAACACAATCCGGATGTATTGATGGTTACTTTCGGTAATGAATGCATCAATGAACCTGAATTGTATGAATAAAATTTTATAATGTACGTACCTGGCGAGATTGGGGTGGTTCATCTTCTTCAGCAAAGCACAAATGGAGATCTCTCGAAGAAGAGCTTGAGGAATTCCATCGTCTTCTGGTCGAATTCGTGCAACTTTCATGACCATCTAAGATAAGGTTGGAAACGTAATACTAAGGCACAATAAGAAAAGTGAGAGGATAAAAAACACAATATCAATTATCAATAACATTGGTAAAAATTTTAGGTACTCAAAATGATCCGCCTCAAATTGTTTTAGGTATAAATTTCAAAAATTTGCGTGAAGTTATTTTAAAAAAAGCTTGGAAAAAAAATGATCTCGACATAAATTAAACTAAAGATGACACAACAAAAAGAAAAACGACTTACCCTCAGATCAGTCGCGCGATGTGTGACGGCATAAACCTTCTAAAACGATCAAGGATAAGATACAAACGGTTTGAAACTCACCCCATAGGCACCTTCACCGATGATCGCTCCTTGTCTGTATTCATCTCGATTCAGAGGCATCGAGATCCACCGACAAAAGAGATATTCGATACTACACAAGGCCAACTTCCATAAAATTCATTCAGTCGGTTCAAATACGAGGCGTGGCGCCGCTTTTCTTGGCGAATATGATCGGCAGCCGAATGGATACAATGGAAAGAGGAAGCGGGCAGAAAAGACGGACAACCTCGCTAAGAAAACCAAACGGAATGAGGAAAACGCAACGACAGCGACGCCCGACGAGAGAGCGATGGAATTGGGAAGGGCGGACTGCCACCGCGGTGAGAAAGAGAGGCAAGCAAGGCCGACCTGGAGGAGCTCTCGGCTGTTGCGGCATCTTGCCGTTTATAATTCGGCAACCCGAAGCGGCAGGTGCGGGTGCGCGAGGCATCAAAAATGACCTCGCGAGGTGTTTATTGAGGTCAAATTGAAAAATTTTTTGGTATCGAAATAAAATTATGGAACCTGATCCAAAAACTTTTGTCATTTTGAATTTGACGGTAACTACAAAAAATGCCAATGATTCAAAATTCTGTAACTTTATGCAAACAACAATTTAAAAAATAAACCATGGAAAATGTGAATGAAAGATGCCGACGATTACAAACAAAAAAGCCCGTATTACAAATGAAGTTGTAAAAAAGTAGTGCTATATTATTAAAATAAACAACATTTTGCTTATAATTAAGATCAGAGGTATCAGTGGTAGCAAAAGAGAGAGGCGTTCAAAGTCTTTTGGGTGCAAAGGAGAGGGACGAGAGGTAAATGTCAAGTTATTACATTTTTATACGCTGTACAAAAAAAAAAACTCGTCGAGTGAAAATGGAGAATATGTCATAGCGGGGATACCCGTGAGCAAAGGGAGCTACAAAAAAAGTAGAGTGGTAAGGTTATCAAATTGGGAAGCAAATTGTCTGGCAACAATAGATTTGAGGGAATCGAAAAAAAAACTCTAATCAAGTACAACTTCTGGAACAGAGTCTTAAATTATAAATTAAGGCAATCACAGTAGTGCCAGACATTTGAGACAACAATGGACGACAGTCGGTCATATTTATGTCAAACAATCATAGAAAACCTGTACAACAAACGATGAGAAACGCTAAAAGTTGAGAAGATTTTAGAAAAATAAAAGAAGATAACAATTTTTTTGTACATTTTCCTAATTAATTAACAATAAGGTTAGTCGAAGAGATCGAGTCGACTTTCAGGGCTGAGGTTACCCTTGGGATCGTGATGGCCAAAGGCCTCTCCCAAGAAATGCACAGAGAACTCAGTAAAGGCATTTCAGAATGCACATGCGGGCGCAGATCGTAAGTCAAAGGGATGAATAAAAAAATGCGGAAGATATCTCCTTGCCTGCAACCGGTCTACCCATGGACTGGTTCCGATCAAAATGACCCTCATTTGTTCTTATTTCACGCTGTTGGTGATTTGGGTGGTGGACCAAGTGAGCTTATGGATGCGCTTAGCTGTGATTTCGAGTCATATAAGGAGTTTGGAGCTGGCTTTCTGACTCTTTTCGTGCCACCTCCAGCTCGAAGATGAAGATAGTTCTCCGAATCCACAAGCATACTCGAGAATGGGTTCTGAGGTGCATTCGGGGAAGTTGGAGTTGTCGGATTTGAACCATTTCGAACCTTGGCAGCATCCAAAGTTCGGGCCAAGAGGGCCGTGGGACTAGCGAGAGGAGAGTTAGGAGTGTGAGGCTGCGATTTCGGGGGTTTCAAGATCTTAAAGAAGACAATAAAAATATTCAGAGAATCAGCTTACCTTCAAATCGAAGTTGCGAGCAGCTTTATGGGCAAGTTGGATCTGCTGAGTTATATCGATGGCCACATTTATGGTGTCCAGAAGTTGTCTTCGGAAGTCGTTCTTTTCCTCGTCTCCTCTCTAAAATACAAAAGTTTTTAATGAATAAATAGTGACATATGTTCAATTTGATACTTTGCTTACCCCACTCTCCACAATCTTCTCCAAAGCCGGAGAGAGGTCAATCTCGATCGGTCGGTCCTGTAATTGCGTCTCCAATGCCTGTTGCCAGCTGGACAATTTGTCTAAATTCTTGCTCAGAGTGTTGTGGATCAATTCCAGTTCTCTTTCCATGTCCACATCGACCATTCGGTCAGTTTGATGGGAAGGTCGACTAGCCAACATCATGTGACGACGTTGTTGTTTCTGAATCAGGATCATCCTAAAACAACAAAAATAATACAGATTAACGCATAAACAATATATAAAAAAGTTATTACAACTTTATACAATCAGCCCTACCATTCGTTCATATCACTGAGACTGTTGGCCTGGAAATGGACTTCAGAGATCGCAGTGGCCACACAAAACGAGTGTTTGGAATCAGTGAGTGGAGAGACTGATGTGATTTCCGACAGAGCAAAGGACCCTTTTGGTTCGAGTTCATTTCCGCTTCCGTTCTCTTTCACTTTCTGCCAGCTGAGTTCCGTTTCCGTAAGGGATACAAATCGCCGTTTTTGGTGGATAAAGTTTTTGAACGACCTTTTTTTGTCGCTCCCTGCCCTTCTTTCCACCATATGGCCAGTCTTCAGGAGAACCGGGACCTCCGCAGTTAGTTGGCTGGAGAGTCCCGTTGTAGTGGACATTTCGGAGCCTGGACTGGAGGGCGGCTGGTCCGCTTCTTCGTAATGGCTGACCGAATCCAAGAATTGAATCATCGCCTTTTTGTGGGATTCATCGGACAGACGTTCCAAGACTGGTGTTAGCCACTGCTCCTTCGTTGTTAATGGATTTTGTGAGACAACACAATTGGCTAGCCGTTGAAGGACTTTGGAGATCAGAACGAGAGTTCGAGAAACGTTTGCCTCCTAAAAAACAAAATAAATAAACGGCCTCCCACAATATAAAAGATTAAACAACTAATCTTACACTTACCGGGGCTTCCCGTTTTAATCCATACAACTTGGGGTTCAAAATTGCTGCCGCGAAGAATCGCATGATGAGGAAGGAGGACAGAGCCAGCCGTCCAATATCCTCGCGACCAGGGAAGAACTCTCCAACCACCGTTCTCAGTTCCGAGAAGACCTCACATAACATCTGAGGGCATCGATGCCATGAATCCACAACTCTGCTGAATGCCAATTCGGAGTAAACCATAATATTCCGCAAGTTCTGGTCAACCGTATCCCCTGGTTTCAGTTTGGATGGATCGATTTCACAACACTTCCGTTCGGCATAAATGAGATCAATAAGGGGCTTGAGGGAGACGAGAAGATACTCCTGGCCGACAAACTTCATCATCTCGTACATTACTTTGGAACACATCGATTGTGACCGGAATAATGTATTCACATCATGAGAGCCGGAAAGATAGTCCACGGTGATGATACGAAAAAACGTTCGTATCTCTTTGGCATGAACGAAGATCTTCATGAGAGGACGGGCGATGGTCTCCATGTCAATGTTGAGCTCTTGTATTAATGCTATCAACGACGTCGAATGAGGTCTATGGTTGAGGGAGGCAATTAGTGCTGAATAGAGCTGTTCGTAATGACACAAAGGGAGGACCTCGTCCAGCGAGTACCAGAGTCGTATCCTCATTTCGCCGACTTGATTCGCCTCTGTTTTAGATTTCTTCCGTGCTTGAACCAAGTCCGAATCCGGAGTGGAGCCAGCAGAGGAAGCCGATGAGGAGGCGGAAGAACTGTTTGACGGGACAGTGGCCGTGGTGAGGGCTTTGTCCGGGATCGGAGATATTGTGGGGACCGTGAGGGTAGAGCGCGATTTTACAGAGTACCTGAAATAAAGCAAAATTAGTGGGACATAAATAAAAACGTTTTCTCCGCGGATAAAATCTGACAAACAAGGTAAACCCTCCTTTAAAGACCTGTAAAACCTGTTTCTCTCTTGATAAATAAAAATTATCAAAACCTTCGAGCTGCGCCCGAGCTTCGAATTGAAACTTGCATTTTTGCTTTAATTTTGCGGTAAAACGCTCTACGTAACTCAATTTTCAATTCGCAGCACCTGTAATAATCTCAAAAAATGAAGAAAAACCAAAGTAAGGATAAGCGCCTTAGTCTAATACTTCCGGCACGCCAATAGTAAAAAGAGGAGTGACAAAGGGAATTAAGTAATTCTTTAATCGTTATACAAGCTGTAACTATTACAGTAAAGCCCGGAACACTCATGATCCATCTATTACAGCTACCGAAAACAACAACAATATTGCAGCCAATTAGAAGGTGTTACTGGGACATTGCACTCAAACAGAAGAGCCGTCCGAAAAGCGCAATTAATTGCGTCGACCGTGCTCGGAGAACAAAAAACGGAATAAAACAAAGCCGGGCCATTTCCGGGGCCGGTTCCGGGCAATCCGCGCTTATCTATAACGACCGGAAGTCACAATTCTCCGTTACATTCGGCCTTTACTGCGGCCAAAAATGTTTTTTTGCACATTCCAAAACGGAACTTCGCAAAGAAATTCCACCCGAAAATCTCGAGACCATGGGATTTTTGGCCCGGAAGTGGGCGGCGCCAAACCAAAACTAGATCCAGTAATTAAAACGCAGTAATATTAAGTAATTTGCGCCGTAATAATGGGCCTTTTGAAAAGACCAATCCGTAATAAAGTTAGGTGCTAAGGTGGGAATGGCCAAAATCTTGGAATTGCCTCTCGGAAGTGGAGTTCGAAAGAGTTTTATTTGCATGGGAATTAAAATATTTCAATTAAATTCACTAAAAACAATGCTTTAGCATTCTAACTCGTCAAGACTAGAGGAGAATCCATTATAATCAAAAATTCAGAACGCAAAAAATATTAATCTTCGATTCGCGTTGAAATCGCCGGAAATGTGACTTGTGCAAGAGTGTAAAATAAATATTTGATAACGGCGGGGAATTCAAAACACAATCAACTTTCACGGCATGCCGTCCGTTCGCTTTTTCAAGACAAGCCCCCACAAACGCAAGGACAATATTAGAGATTCCTTATCGTAAAAAATAAAAACAATTGAGGTGTTAGAGAAATAAGATATTCCCATAACTTATTCCAATTTCATGTTTTTTAGAACCCTGTGTATACATAAACTACCCTAATCCACATGTAACTATTACGCAACAAAGTGAAGAATGCGGGGATCTCGAAACAACGCCAAAAAAAAAAATATTTTTATCGAACTGGAACTCCAAATAAGACCTTATCTCTCTCACGATAGACTTTGTTTGCTTGAAATTGCATTAAATTGACTGTCCTCTTTATGTCCCCTCCCCCGCACTTTTTTCGCCTTTTTTGGAGAAAGGAATTTCAGAGCCGAGGGCCATGTGTAAGTCAGCACTATCAGATCGGGGGAATGTAAATACGGCCAGTGGTGTTATAAATCCGGATTTATAGGATTTGGTGGGGGTGGCAGGGAAGATGTAAGCGATGCCATCCTTGTTTGTCTGCTACTTTGTCGGCCAAACGTCAATGGGAAATACCGTGGGAAATGAAGTTTGAGCCTCGCTTTGCAAAAGAGGAGCAATACTACAGGACGATATCAAAATCGAAGAGACTCGCGGAAGAGTAGTCGTTTGATAACCAATTTTATGCAGCATTCGTTTAAAATAAAGCTTAAACATAGCAACAAATTTACTTTTCGGCAATTACATCCACATTCCATAAATCGAAAATCCAGACAATTCCCGCCCTCAGGCCGAGAAGGACAAGAGCAACAGACCGCGCATCACTGATTCCCAACACTTTATGCTTGGCCGAGTCCACTCGACAAAAGAAAATAATATTTATTTATATTTTTACATGGGAAAACAAAAAAGGGCCCAAGGGAAAACACCTGGTTCAAATAAAGGAGCCAGTGTTTAAAAATTGTCCAAATAAAGCCAATGAATTCAGCGAGAGGGTGGTGTGGGGGACCAAAAATAGAATGCAAATTAGGGACGCAAAAAATCCACGGAAATCCAGTGGGCATGAGCTAAAATAAATTGGACAATTCGTGAACTTTATTATTGCGGACATCTTCGGATGCCACCCCCATTTTAGAACCGTTTAAACAATACATTCGGCTTTCCGCCTCCACAAAAATCTTGACAAAAAACAAAAAGGGAAATCTTTATGGAGACGCCGCTTGCTGGCGATAAATTCGATGACCAGACTAACGAATAAACACGTGGAGATTACAGAGATGTAGGCGGGAGAGTAAGGCAAAGACTGTTCCTCAAATAAGGCGCCAAATAATCCTATAAGTCGTCCATCAAAAGTTTTGAGTATTTTAAAACAAAGTCGCAAAGTTAATTCCTCGTTGGGCATCAAAAGATTGATGACTTCCTCTGGTTGCACCCAGAACTCCTCCGAATTACAATAAAAACTGTAATTATCAAAACAAAATTCGAAGGTAACTAGTAACACCTTCCAGCCGACGTAATTATCTTTCACCAACCTCCCACATATTGACCAACCCAATAGGGCGACAGTCCATAAAAGAACGGCAAACATGACTTGTGGAGGAGTCAAGAAAGAAGAGTTAATTTCGAAAACACGGGGGAGGGACCGCATTCTCTTGCAGCGCATAGTTAGGGCTCTAAAAACATCTCATTTCCGGTCCTCCGATTTCCTCAAAAAATTAAGCGCCATCCAAGGGAATTATGAAAACGTCGGGAGGGGGAGGGCGGGGAAAGATCGGGTTGATATTTACATAATAAGAGCTAAAAATAAACCCTTTCATTCCATAAATAAACACTAACACCTTAAAGCAGAGATAGAAACGTGGGCAAAACCAAAAACGAAACGACCAGATTTTGCGATATTTAACCAAATCTAAGAATAAAAAAATCGGAGGTTCTAACAACCGCAGTTGAGTGCACAAAAGTTGTAAAGCACTCGTAGAAATAACAGTCATACATTTCGGTGAGGAATTCGGACGTAAACTGAAGAAAGATAAGTAGAGGAAACGGTGATAAGCACAACACTCAAGTTGAAGTAGTTATAAAAAGAATGAGTCATTTCTTGGGCGTATGAATGAAAAAAAACAATGATGTGATCGGATGCATAATCAAGGCGACAACAAATGAAACACGTCACAAAAGGACCATGAAGTGTCCCTATTACGACAAACACTACTGCAAGACTGAAAGATTGGTATAACAGTTTTCTCGTCCTAAACGCCAAAATCATTTCTCATTACCTCAATCCAAACTTCAAACTCCTTCCCAAACGACGGCTTTTAAAAACAAAACTTGCAGTGGGGATTGAGGTCGGTGCCGCTCTGTTCCGATCGAGGCCGAGTCCGTTTTCACAAATCCAGAGAGCCGAAAAAGTGAAAATCCAAACAAATTTGCCGGTTAAACCGATCGTAAAACACCTTATGAGCCGGCAAGGATGTTCTTTTATCGGCAATAGGGGGGTTTTACGCCGACAAAATTACAAAGAACATTGCCGATTAGCCACAAGACTAAATAGTTTGCCATTGATCTGATCAAAACATCTCACAATTTTAGAAATCCGATCGGACTCAACAATCCCTGACCATTGTACCATTCTCTCGACACCACAAAGTTTATTACGTCAACTATGATCACAGTAGAAAATTTGGAATATCCGTCATCAAGAAACAACACTCCCTTCTCATTATTACTTAATTAGAAAAAAGGAATCGTAAGCAAACCGGAAATGATTTGAATGGAAAAGGGAAGGGAGGGAGAAAGTGAAACCTCAAAAACATGAAATCGACCCCAAACCGCCTACTCAAGCCTCCTTTCCCATGTTCACACAACTCGGACAGTAAGAACTATAAAACTATTCTAACTATGAATTAATTGCAGATGGACTGGATTGAAAACATAATTTAATTGTAATTATTTGAACATAAAACGTTTTCCAATCCGGACTACAAACCCCGTCAATAAAAAAACCCTCGTTAATTCAAGAAATTTTACTATTATAAAAGGTCACCTTGCTCATTGGAGCTGTGTTTCCGATGAGTTAAATCACCGTAAGAGAGTGTAGGCAGGGATAGAGAGAAGTGCCGACAGAACTCGTTTTCAGATGTGGTAAAACGTACCGCAAATTCAGGAAAACGAAATCCTTTCGAACGAAAATCCAATGAAAGTGCAACAAACCGTGATGAAAAGAAACAAAATCCCCCAAAACTCTTTGCTGGTGATTAATGAGAAACGGAAAAATGACTTCGATCCGGGACCCGGGCATATAAATCCTCCTGTCCTGCCGCCCGCCCTCCACCTTCAGAGCGGAGGATTCGAGGAAACTATCGGCGGGCCCTAGACATAATGCCTAGACCATGTGATTAGGAAGCGAGCCAAATGCAGGTGATTTATGACAAAAAAGGATTACGAATACTCACCAGTTGGGTCCAATCGGGTTATTTTCGCGCGGAAACATGGTCTGGGGATCCAGCTCCACTTGCACTGTCCCATAACAACTCGTGTCGTCCACCACGGGTTCGCTGCATACCTTAATACACAAACTTGGGGGCTTGTCCGAGTTCGGCAGAGGCTGGGCTGGGAATTCGAATGAGTTGGAGGTGGATGGGAGCACGGAACGGCAGTCGATGCGAACGGGGTCCAGGCCTCGGCGTTCCACAATTTGGAGTTTTCGCATGAGAGTTTGACCGTGTGGAGTGATTACAGTGGCTATTAGGTATAGCGGTGCGCCTGAAAATATCCGAATTAGGGTAAAAAATGGACTACAAAGGTCAGATCATCAATTTCTAACAAGAAATTGCCTTACCAGGAGTACCAAAAGGAGGCGGAAGATCAGGGTGAGGCTTGGGAAGAGGCTGAGAGCCAATGGATGGGTGCCGCTTTCTGTCCTGGGACTGCTGGAAACTGGCGTTCTTCTGGAACTTTGCGCCCAATTTGGGCGATACCACCAGACTACCTTTTTTGGGTTGTAATAAGGGGGAATTGGCCACACTTAATGCGTCCCCAGGCAACGAGCGATGGTGTAGAAGCTGGGGATGTTGAAGAGCACGAGGCAGAGTGGCTTCGAATCGAGGGACCGAGAGGTCGGATCTTGATGAATAAGGAGAAGATCCTTGCGAATGCAAAGACCGGTGACTCTTCTGGTATGAGCAGGCTGAAGATGATGACGAGGAAGCAGCTGTTAAACAGCAAGGCGGCGTCCAACGATTCCAATGAGTACAGTCCAATAATCTGACAATAAAAACATGAATAAAAGACAAAAATAAAAAGTAAAAAACAGACACTGAAGGTGATAAGACCCGGTTTTTTGCAAAATGGCACTATCAAGAGAGCCCGTAATCCGACATTACACATTGCATCTGCCTACACCGTCAACAGCTTAACAATTCGGAGAAATCCGTAACAATTCGCCTAATCCCACATTCAAAATCGCGCTAAAAAGCAAAAAGACTGGTAAACATCCTCATCCGGTGGCCTAACGAGATTACCATTAAAATCTCAGATGAGTTTTGAATGAATTTTGGTAGAAAACTAATTTTACAAGATTAATAATCAACGAAAAAAGGAGTAAGGACAGCAGGCGTGGAGAGTTCAGTGCGGGGTTGAAACTCTCAAATTCCGTCAGACAGCCGCATTGGCCATACGTTCTTGGCAATCGCAATAACGTTATATGATTGGAGACGGCAATTCTAGTATTAGAATATTATACAGACGCGATTCAGAGAGCAAAGGTTAACATATGGCTCGTTTATACACTAACGCCCAAAACAGCTTAAATATTGGAACACAATTCTCCAAGAGAAATAAAAAAATTAACCATATAAGACTTGTTTACATTTCCAATATTCGATGAAAAAAAAACTGAGAAAAGCGAACAAAGTACTCAAAAACATAAAAGTTCAAATATTTTCTCTTCGAATTCCCCAATAAAAGATGAGGCGAAATCGGCTTTGTCGAAACACTTTGGACCAAAACATTTCCCTCCCGATTGACTGACATTTGGACATTTCCTAATGACAGTGATAAGACGAGATCTCGGCCCAAAGAATAACATTACTTTTTTTGATAAATAGAAGCGAGAAAACCTCATCCCAATTACATGATATTCGATATGAAAGGTATGGGATTACCTCAAAATATTAGATCTTTTTTGAAACACAGGATTTGTAAGTTTGAAACTGACTGATTTCTTCGACTGTAAACTACAATACCTCCGATTAATTGTCAATCTTCATGCCTATCAAAGACCCGTGATCAAATACTGTAAGACATCACAGTTTCCCATTACTGATAATTACCGGAAAAATGGGGGAACCTAACTGATGGACATGTATAATACCCCTTGCTATTTTGGGTTCCAAACCCCCTTCCCGACAAAAACAACAAAATAAAATACCAAAAAGGATAATTGGAATAGAAAAGACACGAGATTCCATTGAGAAAAACTACATTTCGATAAAAAAATAAAGTCAAAAATAAGAAGATCGTCAATCAAAACTGGGAAATAACCGAAATAAAAGCGAAAAACGGAAACTTAGTAGCTCTGACTCGTGCGATCATTCACTTCCAGACCAGGATTTCAGAGTTAGAAAAATTTCCGGAAGTGGTCAAACGTTATTAAAAACAAAATTAATCGTATCTACAAGTACCACATTACAACCACAATTGCATACTTTTCCAACAACTCATTAAATTCATTGACAAAAATAGAACGCCATAAAAGGAGAAGATATTCATTATCAATCAAAATAGAAGCAGGTAATTCCAGTTTTACAACGGGTAATCAAACTGGAACCCTTGGAACTGAACCTCATGACCTTTACTATGCTCTCATCTACCTGCAGAATCTACAAAACAAAGTCATAAAAAACCTAATTTCGTCTCGGTTCGATCGAAAACAGAGTTATAAATTAAAATTCTTAGCTCGCATGACCTTCTGCTGTTCGCCCTTGATCCTGGAGGATTAAGAAACAGGCCGGTCATGGCCGTATTTTTAATCCAAGGGTCCAGTTTCGGTGGCAAAAGGCGCGAAAGAGCGCTAATCCCATTCGCTATGTAAAGGTTGGAGAAAATAGGAATTTAAATTCAAAGAAAATACCAAAGACCACAGTATCTAATTAACGAATCATCACACAACAGGATCCACAAAACTTTTGTTTAACACTCAACGTGCTCGCCGTGTCATTTTGAGAATTATCAAATCCTTTGCCAGTGAATAAAGCACTATCAAAATTCATAAAACGGCACGGACGGTGCATTGAGTGCAAATACTTACCTGAACTCCAGCTCCTTCGTCCTATGATCAAAGTCAATATCCAATAAGACTTGTCCCAATTCCTCGCAGATTGGCTGTTGACTAATGTTCGGTTTACCCGGGACTGGGACTTGTAAAGGAGCGCCGATAGGTAACCAGATGTCCTGATGCGACTGGGAGATTATCTCTCGTCTCTTCAGGGATTTCCGGCCCAATTGACGTTGTATTCGCCCATCGATGGTTTCGACTATCACTATTTGGAGGTTTTTGAAGCTAGATGGCAAGATGTCATTGTATTCGCCTGAGAGGACGCAACTAAAATATTTAGAAAATGTTATATGCCAAAAATATTTAGAAGGAGAGTAAAACACTTACCTTTCTGCGGTCGGAACCGCAATCGACTGAAAAAACTCCTTTCCGTCGATTTTTACATGGACCCGTAGGACCGAGGAGACTGGAGGATATGTTAAACAAAGGTTTTCTAAGACTTTCCGGCCTTTGGCTGGGACTGTAGCCGTCGACTTCAGGTGTTGGCACGGTGCACAAGCGGGCGGTGGCGGGGAAATCCGAAGATTCCGGAGCTGGACTATCGACATCCGAAGAGATTCGACCCGACGGAGTCGAGGTCCTTCCTCCGGCTGGATCGGCGGCAAATTGGGCGGCCGACATCCGTGCATCAAGGGAGGGAGTCAGTCCTGAAGGATAATGCAAAAATTATTAAAATACTAAATGGAACCCATCAAAAATACATTCACGAACATCCAGATTCATATTCGATAAAAAATAAATATTCCAAAAATCATAAAACGGAGAGAAAACCATCACAAATATCTATCAACACAAGATACGAATTAGTTTCTCCATGATTTCATCAGCAAGCCTATAAAAAGCGCATGACCACGACTATTCTAAAGGGAAATGTCAACATCTCCAGCATAAATTACATCTTTTACAAAAGTTCTTCGGCGATAAACCTAAAAATCTTCTAAATTTATAAATTTTGCATTCAAAAATCAATAATTGTCGACGCAATGTCAAAAAATTTAAAATTTATCGGATTTGATTAGTCTTTGGTAAGAAAAACAGAGCATTGTAGGGCGTGAAAGTCTCTTAATCGAATCGATGATCGAAAAAAAGAAGAAAAAACCAGATTTTGGAGCTCATTAGAAGGGCGGTGGGGGGAGAAGGCGTTGCGTCACTTCCGGCCACCGAAAACGCCCAAAAATTGACAAAAAACGGAAATCCGTCTACGGTTCCACACGAAAATAGGACGCATCCAACACTTCCATTACAGCACCTACACAGGATTAAGGACAAGATCGGAAGACTTTTCAAATCGCCTGCTACATAATATTAACCGATTCGCAAACAATTTGAATAACTTGTCCAAGTGCAAGGAGTATCATGAAAAGAGTAAGCAAAAATGAAGAATTTGAATACCCAAGAGCATACCATTCACCCGCGGCGTGTTTTTATCCCCAATATACATCAGCATAATAAATATACCAAAAAGGATGTCATGGCATGATGGAATGGTCGAAAATAGTTGGACCGATAGATCCAATGTCCATTATTCTCATTTATGACCCTCTTTTGAGGCGGAAATCATGAATACATTTGAATAATATTGTAATAGCTGATCTCCGCGAACAGATTAGGCTTAAACCCACCGAACCCGACGTTCCTCCAACGCTTAGTTTGCATAAAAATAGATACAATACTCAGCTGTTAACCATGGATTTGCAATTTGAATGCAAATTCAGAAGCGATAAGCTCTGCAGCAACGAATTCGTTCTCTTTTGGTTGGAATCGAATCGGAAATTCGCAGGTGAAACGACCAAAAGCTGATGGAATGAAACGAACCGGAAGTGCAATGTACTCTTTTGAGCCGTCTGCTTCTCTCGCGTCTCTCCGGCGACCCCGCTATCAGTGACGGCGACGGTGATAAGAGCGCTGCAAAGTCGGGGTCATCCCGAAACGGCCCGATTCTCGGCATTGTTGCGCAATTAACGCATGTTTTTGCTTAATGCCTCGGGGCCTGGGCTCTCGGGCGGATCTCCGCCGGTACCGCAATCTCTCCCACCGCCATTTTAAATGATAAGGGTGCGGTCGAAGGGTGATCGAAAGGTCTTTCCGCCAAGTTTCCGACGAATTAGGAGAAGAATCTCCGGTATTCAAAGAGTTTGCGGTCATATTTTACAGTTATTAACGTCGAAAAGAGTAATAAGGATGATTATAAATGGTGAAAGGCATGTGAAATAAAGGGTCGCCGCAGAATAACGGACTTCTTCTTAGAACGGATCTCAGTTTGAACGATTTGACTGCAGGTTAACTATATCAAATTACGAGAATATCTACCACACATAACAGCCAAATAAAATTGATGATATTTTATAAATAATTCCTCTCTAATGAGTACCCAAGAGGACACTTGCCTGACAATATTCTGATAGTAATTGGCTATTTCATGATACGAAAAGTGTTGTTCAATAACAAATTTGCTTTCTTTCACTTCCGCTGAACCCATTCTGCTCGAGAAGATTGTTAAAACCCGAGTAAAATTACACTCAAGATCACGTTTTCACACTAATACAAGGTATTTTTGAAGAAAGATGATAAAAAGAGATGATAATTTGAGAGGAATTATCTGATTTTGAGTGAACTTGGGTATTACTTTCGAAATAATGAGTCATTAACAAGAAAATTGTTAGATATTAGAGCAATTTAAGGTAATCAAAATAAGCAAATAGGCAGAAAATGGTCATAAAAGCATTGAAAGTGGTGCATAAAATCTCGGAGAAAAAATGTATCCGTTTCCGAAACTTGAAAGCCGTTATCACAAGAAAACTTTTTTGGGAAGATTACTACTATTCGAAAAGAAGATTAAATAAAAGCCCTCCATTGTAATCGACCAGAACGCCTGAAGACGCTCCGAAAACTCTCCGCGACATTTTTTTGGGACCGAGTGTAAAAAATCAGTCGAAGGAAAGCGATTTGGGGAGATTAATGGGGCCAAATGGACGGGTCGACGGCAAAAAAGTTGCTCACTCCTCGGGGAGGGGCTTTTCAGACGGGCGAGACGAAAAAGAAGGGAAATTTTTCCGTTACGATTGTTTTGGAGGGAACGGAGGTGCGCCAGGTGAGAAGCGGGACCTTTAAGTGACCTTCGCTTTTATTTTTAGAACACTGATTTTGGTGAGAGAAGTCACATTCCTCGAGTGCCGCGCGGTTTACGGGATCAGAAGCCCTTCCTTTGGGAGCGGCGTTTCGGATTAGTCAATGGGAAAGTAATTGCGCAAATCCACTCAGCAAGGCAATTGCGCGCGAGCTTATAATAGTCAAAGCAATCCGCGAAAAGTTAACCATGATATGAGAGACATTTCATATCATAAAATACAATCTTCGAAAACAAGATGACCATCAAAAGTCCGACCATTGAATCCAGACGGAAATCTCGCGATCAGTCAAAAACTTTTAAAAATTGAAGGGCCTAGGATTGTATTCTTTCTTTTGTAAGACGGGAGAACGTTTGGACACAGCCCGGCCGAATTCAAGAGTTTTGTTCAGAGACTTTGGAACAGTCAAGAGAGTAGGCGGGCAGGAAGGCAGCTCAAAGGGGAATTAACAAACACACAAAAGATTAAAAGACAATTAAATTGTTTATTCTCGCGAATTTGAATCCCACTGAGCAAGTTTTTGAAATTGGCCTTGTCTTTTGGGACGAGGTTTGTGGCCAATGATCAAGAGGAATGTAGGAAACAGAGGGAACTGCAAGAAACATCTCGACAACCCATTGAAACGTTGCTTTATTCTGCCAATCGAGATACAGTAATCTTAATGTGGGATGTCAAGTTTTTGTGCAGAAACCATACTCTATGTTACTGATCTGGATTGTTCCTTTTGTTGAATATGGGTTGTTAAAAAGCAGCTACAGTAAACAGAAGTTTCCATTTTTTGGGACACCCTGTAAACACTCAAGTTCTTGGACCGTCTCTGGGAACACGTTGGTTGGCAAGGATGATAAAAAAAACGTAAGGCAGAAATGTCAAATATGACACTGAATGAGATATTCGTTTATTACAACAGCCAAATTACGGTAATCTGAGATGTGAGGTGAACCAAGTTCACTATGCCGATGCATTATCATATACCAAACGTCGACTAATTTTGTCGTAAACGAGATTTCCGTTGAAAACTTCAAAGAAATAAGTGTTGGAACCGAATCCGTCCTTGACTGTCAGAATACTGCTACATCTTCTTTTCAATTTTGCTAATTCACCTGCATATATCATTGTTTTCTTAATCTTGAACATCCCATTTTCAATAAATGCAAACTAAAAGAAAGTCATAGTAAATTCTGCAAATTTGAATTAAAAATTGATGACTGAATGACTTACGGAGACATAAGAATTTTGATGGAAAGCATAAACCGATTCAGTCATTCGAATAGAATTCGAAATAGAAGTACTCCAAGTACTCCTCAGCATAGTGTGATCAGCACTTATGTGAGTTAAGCCATCTTCTGTTCGAATTAATAATTGATTTGCCCATTGAAACATATCTTGGAAATGCCCATTTACTTCGTGCCATATACATTCTTTGGTCTTGGCATTGTAATACATGATATATGTGTCATGTTGGCATGAAAAGATCAAAAATAAATGCTCCTGATCCACAGAGATGTGTGGGCTTTGCAATTTCACACAAGTGTTTGGAGTTGATAGAACCTTTACTGGTTGATCCTGGCCTGGAGTCATGTAATGAATATCAACCGTATTATCGTACTTCCATTGAGCGCAATAAAGACGATCCGGTTTCTTGTCGTAGAACATAGCGTTTCTACGTTCTGTATCGCGCCTGTCCTAAAAAATATGTTGCGGCATCTTTGGGATATACAAATTATACAGGGTGGGCCACTCGAAACTGACAAGTTGTTTCTTTGAATTTCTCCGCGGAGACTCCGCCGATTTTTCCAAAATTTAGATTTTTCTGGAGCTGAGACCCGCCATTTTCAACCGACTTACTTTCAAGAAAATATATTTTGAATTGACCTTTCCATGCCTTCTCTAAGTTTTGAAAAATTATTTTCAGGCCGAAACCGCTAAAACTTGGAAAATTTTTGGAATAATTTTGAAAAATTGGTCATTTTTCCGAGTTCTTGGGTGAAATTTTCTTTGTTTTACCTCAGATAGTTATCAAATATTGTTCCAAAAACAATTTTATTTAACAATCTGATTATAATGTTTCTATCTGAGTTATTATGCCCACCTCCTCTCGCATCACAACCTTGTAGTGGCTTTGAGAGTCATGAGCAGTTAAAATTACGTATCGTGGATACGTAATTTTAATTACGTATCGTGGATACGTAATTTTAATTACGTATCTGAGCTTCAAGATGCCCCAAGCCTGACTCGATAACGATTGACGTCGAATTTTTCAATCTTTGTTTGATTTTTTTTTTTTTTTTTTTTTTTTTGAGCGTTCGTGCCCTAATGGTAATACAAACAACCCTCTGGTGGCTTTCAATTTGCTTTAAACAAGTTTAAGGCCCACGATTTCGTAAGAAAAATCAAAAATTTTCCAAGTCCGAGAAAGTCAATTGAAAATCATTCCAAAAATTTTATAAGTTTTAGCGGTTTCGGCCCGAAAATAATTTTTCAAAACTTTGAAAAGGCATGGAAAGGTTAATTCAAAATATGTTTTTTTGAAATTCAGTCGGTTGAAAATGGCGGGTCTCAGCTCCAGAAAAATCTAAATTTTAGAAAAATCGGCAGAGCCTCCGCGGAGAAATTCAAAGAAACAACTTGTCAGTTTCGAGTGGCCCACCCTGTACACTGAGATTTCCTGCAGTCACAGAAAAAGTTTATTTCTCACCTTTTTTTGCACATCCAACGTAAGCGAAATTTTAGTCGTCTCTTGGTCTTCAAACTGCTTCTCATCGTTAGCAATAGTTACCACAATTCTACCCGTGTCACCGCTCTTACTTGGTATTGAAATTTCCATAATACCGTCTCTCATTCCACCATAAGTCACAATAAATTCGATATTGAAAGTTTTCAGATCTGTAAATTTGCTCAAAAATAGGTTCTGCAGGAAGTTGTTACAGGTCATTAGAACAGGTTCATTTTGAGGGAAGAAGGATGACGATTTATCCAAAATCAATCTGAAGGATGATGATCAGTGATTTTGATCCGTAAATCGATCAGGTTACACTTTTCGAACTTACCGATAAATTTTTTCGGCGTTATTTAAATTGTGGCAATTCGTAATCCGATTTTGGGAACAACATTCTCTAAGTCTCTCGTTGGCGCTCTCAAAATCAAGATCTGCAGTGTGGTAAAGCCTCATAATTTGGTAAATTGTGAGTTTTGAAAAAACCGAATCCAATATCTAAAATCAAAATGTGTCACAGTACTTTTAAATATTGAGATTTGTTTTACTGGTAATACAACTTACCCTCTGCGGGAGCTTTCTTATCAATCTGATCCCCATATCATTAGCAATACTTTCAAAATTCAACAACTTTTTTGGTTTTTTTGGGACAACAGTATCATAGGCTCGGAGATCTGGATTACAATGTAAAATTATTTCTCGACATTCCTCTGTAATCCCCAACATAAATAGAAAAATACAAGATGTGACAACTGTAATTAAAAATCCAAGGCCATACAAGGCAGTTTTTGAAATTGAATAGGCAGTTTTAACTCCATTGCAACTCCACTGTATTACTTTTAAAGCGAATAAAAGGCATTGTAGGGCGATTAATATGCAGATTTCGAAAGACGTTCTGACGAAAACACCCAATATTTCCGAATAAAGTTGGTTTGTCATAGAGAATATGGGAGGTTATAACAGGCAAAAAATCGTCGGCATAAAAGAACGCGACTAAAAGAAAGCTTGGTCTCGCGCTGACGTTTGCTTAGCCCTCTCTGTTGACCAATGCTGACATCATCATTAGTTTCAAAATTGCATTTATTTGAAATAAATATTTACTTCACATTTCCGATGTGCATAAAACTTAAAAAAAAATTCTGCGTATTTTACGAGTGAGTGTCAATGCAAATAAAGGCATCACTTTATCTCAACCCATAAAAGCATAATTTTGATGAAACTCATTAAAGTTTTTATTAACGAGCCGAAAGCGTTACGGTTCATTATTTTCATCAAAGAAAGAAACAACGGCTTGTTGCTGAAGTTGCCGAAATTTTTAATTTTTCTGATTATTTATCATGCTGTTGAAACTATTTCTATTACAGCTCCCTGGCTTCATATTTGCTGATGGAGTTAAAATCGCGTCGTTTAGATTTGAATACGTAAAAGCCGAGTTAATCCTAGCTCTGTTTATCTTGCTGATCGGATTTTTCAAACTTTGTAAGTGATAAATATAATGTAATGAAGGTAATTTAGTATATCATCATTACAAATATCCGAGAGCGCTAATTCCGGAAAGCTGTTGTCTCATTATCCTCGGAATCCTGCTTGGGCTGGTGTTTTTGTGAGTCCAAGAAGCGATTACAAAATACGATATAAACACATTTACAGTTACTTCAACACAGATAGCCACACGAATGCCGTTAAGTTTCTGGAGTTTGATTCAAAAATCTTCTTCTTTTTCCTTTTGCCGCCGTAAGAAGATGGCTATATAAGAGATATACATAAAAATGTGTTTAGAATTATCCTCGAATCGGCCTACAGTTTGAACGACAAGGCGTTCTATCATAATGTTGATACGATCATTGTCTTCGCCGTTATTGTAAGAGGATCTTTTCATCGCATACAAGGCAACTTTAGGGCACAATAATGAATATAATCCTTGTTGGCGGTTCCCTGATTGCATTGGACAGATTTGGTTTGTTCGGGACGTTAGGATTCAGTTCTTTGGATTGTCTTTTGTTTGCCTCTCTGATTGCTGCAGTTGATCCAGTCGCGGTAACTTTGAGCTAATTTTATTATTTTGAGTACAGGTACTGGCAATATTCACAGAAGTCGGGGTCAACAAAACTTTGTATTTTATGGTCTTTGGGGAGTCATTACTCAATGGTAAGCTTTAATAAGAAACAAACGGCATTTGCGGCTATTTTGTCAGGCGTTAATGATGATTATCTTACTTTAGATGCTGTCACTGTCGTGTGTTATCAGTTGATTGGCGATTACAAACAACTGGAGGCAATTACCATTTTCGATGTAAGTAAATTAATAAGTCGTCAACTCTCAGGTTTTTATGGGGTTCGCTTCATTTCTGAGTGTCAGTTTTGGTGGATTATTGATCGGAGTTCTCAGTGGGCTACTTTCCTCTTACGTTACCAAGTTTACGATCAGTGCTAGAGGTAATGAAATGTAAACATAACGTTCAGGACAATTTAGTTGTGGAGCCTGTAATTTGCCTTGGAACTGCTTACCTTTCTTATGCCTGCAGCGAATTATTTCATTTCTCTGGAATTATTGCGTAAGATCAATCAACAGTAATTCTATTATATCATAGAATAATATGTTGCGGCATAGTCCAAGCAAGATATACCATGAAAAATCTGTCAGCCAAATCAAACATTTCCATCTCTTATGCAGTGAAAGTAATCAGTTCCGTCTCAGAATCCCTGATTTTTATTATCCTGGGAGTAATGCTGGTGAATGAAAAGAATTGGTTTTGGAGTGATTGGCACCCCGTTTTTGCTTTTACTTCTCTCATTCTTTGCGTTTTGGCAAGGTTCTTGGGTATGTTATTGGTAATAAATTTAACTTTTTTAGTCGTATTTGGGTTGAGTTACATTGTGAACAAGGCGACTAGTGGAAATCGCTATATATCCTTCAAAGAGCAAATTACTATGGTAAGAAATACTTTTTTGTCATCCAAAAATATACTTCTTCTCTAGGCGTACGGTGGACTTCGCGGGGCAGTCTCTTTTTGCTTGGCCTTTATGATCAGCGATGAAAGTCCGGCCAAGTCTACAATCTTGGCAGCCACTTATCTTGTCATCCTCTTTACTGTTTTTGTTCAGGTAGGCTCAAAATATTCACCATCAAAGGCAATGATATTTCCAGGGATGCAGCATTGAAGGAATGGTTAAGGTTTTGAATATTACGCTTGCTAAGAAAGATGATCAATACAAATTATTCAAGGCCTTTAACAAGGGAATGGTCGGGCATTTGGCTGAAGGAGTTGAGGAGATCCTTGGCGTCAGCAACACTTCTATTTTTGTGAGTAATGAATGGTCGTGCTAAAGTGGGGTTTTACAGAAGACGATAGGAGAGATCAACAAAAAATATATCCAGCCGTGTTTGGAGAGGGATTACCAGAGAAAAGAAGCGTACGATCGGCTGGTATCTTTGGAGAATGAGGCGAGACTGAAGTAAGTAGCTTCTAATCAGCGATATAAAACTTTCTCAGGGAAAGTCTTCTGGATAACAGCACTATTACCCGGAATATTCATCTTGGTATAGCGTAAGTGTCAGATTCAATTTGAATTTTAATTTTGAAACGGTTAAATTGTCTTTTAGCGGAAGTAAAGCAACCTTTGACATTGTAAATGAGCATAATGAAGAATTGGCTCGGAAGAAATCACACGGGGACAAGATCAAGATCGAAATGACTGATGAGGTGAGTGAAAACATCGAAGCGGAGGTGGACGACCTCATGAATAATATTGATAAGATAAATGCACTAGTCAGTGGAAGTTATAATGTAAGTGCAAGTGGTTTAATATTACATTTGTAGTATCATCCCGACAGAAATCTGACCAATGACGATGACCTGGATCGAAGACACAGCATCAAAGCTTGGCAACGACAGATTGACCGATTGAAGGATCTGAGTTTCCATGAAACGTATGTTTTTGCTGCAGGGACATAAGCCGAGTGTTGGTCGATGGAAATTCGGGGAAGATCGCAGGAGAATCACAGACGAATTTAGTTTGGTAGAACTCGGATATACTCAAATCTCAGACTTTGCCGAACCCTGGGGTTTTTGGTCACCAAATTTTCTAAATGATGTTTACAAAATTGATGACTTTGTTTCTGATTTCAGCAAAAAGAAACGTCGATTACTGGGTCTGAGAAGAAGCAGCAATGTGAAGAAGATGAGTATGCGCCATGGAATCCTTGCGACTTCGGCTGGAGCTATGACTGTTGGAAACAAGTCCTGACAGTGTCTACAAGCGAGAAATTGTATCTTCCGCCTGCTTATTTTGATCGATTAAATTAATATTCCAATTTCCTGACTGAATACCGATGTTGTTGTTGTCAGCGGCACCCCTGTTTTGGGGGAATCTGTTTTCGTTTTCCATCCGATCGAATTTCGGTGCCATTCTTTTCTCTTGGCCTTCGCTTTTTATTCGATACCCTCGCTTTAAATGGCACTTTTGAATGCGCAATTTCCCTGGGATGGAAGGGGAAGAAAGGAAGGAAGGGAAAGATTGTTTACACCAAAACATTCATTTACATGGTAATGGGTAAAAATAAATTATTTGTTATTGAATACAGCATGTGCATACCGGGTACGGGAAAGGGGGATCGGGTTTCATTCACATTCAGGGAGGTCTACATACAGGACTGAAGGAATTGAAAATGAAGAGAGGGGATTCGTCATTTCAAGAGGTGATTTCGGTGGAAAAGCGGTAAACATTGCATAAGGGAAATCAAAAGCTACTGTCAGAATGTTTAACAATTTTACAATTGTAAGTCGGAAACTCGCCGAACAGGATAAAAGAGGGGCCAAATTTTGTGTTATTCCATTTTTAGGCAAGTATAATCAAATCTAAAACTCAAAATTTCGAAACTTCTACTACAATCAAGTCTAAATTTTAAAATTATAAAGGTTTTATTCTGAAATATCTTTTTGCTACTGTCGACATAACTCTTATGGCCCTTTGTATTCCATCTAAAAACATTTTCTTTTCAAAAATCACAAAAAATGAGAGCATGTGTATTGGAAATGGCGGACAATAATGCTGGCCTTTGACGTTGCTTTCATATTATACAATCTTCTTCTTTCGGATGACGCATTTGTTTTTAAATTATTTTTTGGCGGCCTTCTGCAAATGTCATAAACATTTTTGGAACACAAATTATGCAAATTAGGCGCGGTGAGAGGCTCTGATTGCGAGAGGAAAAGAGTGGGCCGTTTTCATGGCAATTAGAAGGAGGGAATCTGCTGGTCTGGGGTCTCTCAAGGGGCAATACTCCCTTGATTTTATGTCAGACAATCAAGGGTACTGTAGATTATATTGTAGGGGAAAACCCTTCAATTATCCAATTTTTTAAAAATACGATGACAAAAGGTATCTTTTTTCGGCACGTTGGGTCTTCAGCTTCCGACCGGGTGTAAATATATGTTACTTTTTAAGTAAATGTAACTGTAATTATGTATGTCAATTAAATTTCTTGTATCCCACATTTCTAATCTTCACTCTTCTTTTTGCATGTTTATTAATATCAATATCCTTAAAAATAAGGCGCTCATTTGCATTGCAAATTTACAGTGGTTGGACACGAATGAATTCCCGATCTCCTCAGCTCACATTTATCTTTAATTTAAGGACATTTGGTATTTATTAATTGCGTGACCAGTGCCAAGTACAGAAATATAAGGCCAAAAGTCGTTAACATGGGGCCAAGAGTTGAAGATGTGGCCATCTGACAGATGGGCCAAACTTGGCGATACTTTTACTACTTTTATTTCTGCATATTTGAGCATTTTGGACCCACTTCTATCTATTCGTTGCAGTTTTTCCAAATTTTAAAAATCTTTTGATTGAAATTTTGGAGTATTTACATAATCCATGAGTAATATCCTTGCGAAATCTCTCCATTAACCGGTCATTCTCTCCCTTTGCACACCTTTGAAGCCCATTTCGAAAAAAAGAACGATAAAGATCTTTCTCAGGGAACGATTTCGAAAGATTGGTCATTTTGGAAAGGCCATTTGGATGAAGATTATTCATAAGATTGTGAAACCGGAGGACCAATTGGGAGAGGGGGTTTTGAAATCTGGGATCTGCAAAAAAGCGAGTACTGTAAAAGTTCCGGAAATAATGAGTTGAAGAATGTTTGATTACTCGTTACAGTATGCCAAAATTGACGGATTTAAATTGCTGATAACTTGAAAAAATGCTTCCAAATGTTCAAAAATTATAAAATTAGGTCCTCATATTTTTGTCATAAAAAACGTGGCAAAAGTGGGATCCCCTGTAGATCAACAAAACATAATTCTTTTCAATTTTGGTCTATTATTTTCCAATTTATCTGCAAAATAAATCTTTCAGGTCTGGCAGAATCGAGCCAAAAGTGCTGGGTTACCCCTTCCTGGCCCGTGCCTGCATAATTTAGGCCAACCTTTCTTTTCCTTCCTAAATGTCTTCTTTTTTCTTATTTTTCCAAATTTTTTTTATTCTGAGTTCTGTTTCTGAAAAGGGATGATCAATTCCTCTCCAAATGGGTATTCAAAATCTTTTTTTCTCTGTTTTTATGAGTAATTTTTTTGGTAATTAGTTGTTACATGACTCGAGATCGTGTCATGAAAAGGAGGGAGAAGAGGGGATCCTTTTATTCGAACAAGAAGAGTTCGAAAGTTCAATTCGACCGAAATTACACTCGAATCTTCGAATGGAGGGATGACCTCGAAGATCTCTTGAGTTGTGTCGGATTGGCTTAATTGAGTTGTTTTTTGAATGTAGACCTGAACTTAACAGTTCTCTTTGACTCTTTGAACCGTGAAAAGCAGAAAAAAAGTAAAAGTTTTTATAAAATACGCCCGAAAACAGAGTTAAATGGGTACTGTAAGAGAAGGGAAATGGGAAATCAAATCAAAATTGATGGATATTGGAATGGTGTTACAATAATTGTTTTATTTTCCAACCAGTTTTATGAGAGAAACCAAAGAATTCGTTGAAAATTGTGATAAATCGATGTGAAATCTGTTTGGATATCACTCTGTTGATCAAATTACAGTTGGTTTCACACTCTTTTTTGTTGATTAAATTGTAGTTTTCTCAGGAATCAAAGCCTGAAAGCACTCATAATGATGTAATCTTGCATTTTCCAAGAATTCCAAGCCTTTAATCTGAATTTCGAACCGCTTTATCATTCGTCTGACCTCTTATCTTTCGCTTTCGGGAAGTCCAAGACGCTGGAAAGGTCCAAATAAAACGATCAGAGTGTTTAGAACACTTTATTCATACGAAAAGCGGGTCCCTAAGCTGTTAAAGACGAACCTGGTGTTGATAAGGGTGTGAAAGTGGTGGTTTAGCCGCAGGCAATGTTGCTATCTGACTTTCTAATTTCGTAATTCGGCCCGATTTCCCGTTTCCCCTCAGGGTTTGAACAATATTTTTGCTGTTTGCACTCGGCCCAATATGCAAATGCACCCTGGGGGCCTATTTTCGGGCCAAAGTGCAAAAGTGCCGGCCTTATTTTTTGAGAATTAAATTTATTGAAAATGTTTTTTCGGACGATGAAATCCATCAAAAGTCTCGCCTCCCCCGAGGGCATTGTTTTTTCATCTAAATATACATGTTCTTCTCTGTAAAAGTGTTACCAAATATCTTGTGCTTGTCCATTAAAATCACGTCGATTTTGATTTTCGGCCCGAGATTTGAGGGCCCTTGACTTGGCCATCTTTGATTTGTGGACACAACTTTTTGATTGCACGGTGCAGCCACCACTTGATCGGCCGTTTTGAGTGCGAATTAAGAAGTAGGGCCGGGGCAAACAAAGCGAATTATTCAAAAATTTGCACAAAAAGACGACTTTCGGCGACAAAAAAAGCGCAGCATGACATGCGACAAACACGCCGGCGACAAGAAAAGCGGCATTTTTGAAGTGGCGACAAGGCTGTCGCGGGAAAAGGGCAATGATCCATCTCCATCTTTGGCGAGCCTCAAATTTCGGTTTTTAAAGGCGAATTTTGGAATCCAGAGAGACGAATTTTGCCGGCTGGGGGCTTCCTTAGCATTCAAACATCTGAAAAGTTGCTTTCCTTGACTTAATTACCTAAAACAAGGTACAAATTCTCTTCCGACCCGATTTCCGACCAAAAATCGAATGGGGAACTTCCTGATTGTGACGTCTTTCTTCCCTCAAAATGGCGTTTCAAATTTATTTTTGGTAATTTTGCCGCTGGGACTTCCGTTTTAACTTGCTTTCAAATTTTGCCGCCGGCATAATGGTGCATGGCACTGTGCGTAATTTGATTTGGACTGCACGGTGCGGCCACTGATTGGGTGATGATTAGGAAAAAATTGGGATACTTCTCCGGAATCTGGAGTTACTTTACCCGCCAAGGCCATCTCCAAATTTGGTAATTTTCGATAATTCCCGCGCCCCCCCCCCCCTTTTTTTGAGATTTTTTAATTTTTAATGCACTCAATTAGTGACAATATTGCATAGAATATTATTTGTGTTTGTCGTATTAGTGTTTACAGTTGAAGGGCATTTTGAGTGTAATTTAATGAGTATGTTTTCGAGCAGGAGTTGTTTTCCATTCATTCAGTACCTGCTTATTGTCATTTTTTGCTCAGAAACGCCCTTTTAGTCAAAAGTTCTTTGTACTTTCTGTATAGAAGTGGTCGAGATGTGCACTTTGAAGAGTTTTCTCTATAATTATTGCATTTTCGTTGCTTGTCATGGGAGAAAAATTTCGAATTAAACTACTTTCGACTACTTTTTTCGTATCATTATCGTATAAATTTTGTTTTTTACACGAAAAACATCACAAATCTATTCTTTTTCTAGCCATTTTGCGTTCGTATATCTCCAGGATATCCGAATTTCCGCCTTTTTTTACTGACTTTCTCCCCTCGAATGCCCGGAGAAACCGATTCGGCGGCCGAAACGCGGCCTCTGAGCGGTGAATTCGACCGGTAAATTGGGTGACAAAGGGGGTGCCATGCACTTTTTGGTCGTGTCGCTCTCGAATTGTCACGGTTGGTTGGGTGGAAAAGCAACTCCGAACCGATCCTTTGACGGAATCCATTTCGTGTTGCTTGAATGCGTCGACGGAACAAAAGAATCCGCGTTCGAAACGACCGTTTTCCGAAGCCCAATTACCGTAACCAAGTGGCGCAGACAATGGTGCGGGATTTGCGGAGTAATAAGCGCGCAAAATGAAGTCGAAAAGAGTAAATTTTGGATGGAAATGTGGAAAAAA